TAGCATAGTCTAATATATCAGTTTCAATGATTGTTTCTTTTTCTAGATCGTGCTGTACAAGTACTGATAATATAATAAGTCACTACTTGATATCTTCAAACGCGCTCTGCTGTAGTTCTCTCTACTAATACTTCTTCAACTTTTTTATAAGCTTGAAGAATAGCGTTATGTAGATAGCGTATCCATCTATGAATTATTAATAATAATTAACTAATCTGATAAACTGTTATAGTTCTTTCAGATTTCTAAGTTAAGACTAATCCTGTATGACTTATATTTTTACTTGCTCAGTATAGATTTTCTTTGTAAATATCCAATATCCCAGAAACTCTATCTTCTATACATGGAATTCACACTTTTTTAGCTTATATTATAATTAATATAGACATAATTTATACAGAACTAGTCTTATATACCTTACATGTTCTTCCTCAGTTTTTAAAAAGATTAATATATTATCTAAATAAATAATCATAAACTTATCAAGATATTCTTCCAGAACTTTATTAATATATTACTAAAATGACGCTGATGCGTTAGTAAGCCTAAATAATATAATTAAGTACTTAAAATATTTATATTTTATTTTAAATATGGTTTTTCATTCTTTACCTTCCGCGATGCGTATACAATAATATATATTTATAATATTAAGTTTAATAAATCATTTTATTCCTCGTATCTTATCTTAGATTTCTGAAATCAAAGATAATGGGTACTAATCCTTAATCATAATAGTATTTAATGGCCAATAATCCATATATAACTGTAAACTGTTGTTCTTTTTTAATATAAATAGGACTCTATATCTTACTAATAACTTCGAAGGCCTGATATTATCTTTAGCTAGTTAATTATTAATATATTCTTGTAATGCCTGCAATTTCTTTTTAAATATTAGATAAATCTTTCTATATATTAGTAACTTTCCTTTCTTTATAGAAATAATATGGTTATACTTTCTGTACTGAGGTAATTCAGGTTGCTCTGGCTGCTTAAACAAGTCCTTAAATCTTTTATACTGTGATGAAATCTGCGTGTTATTCTTGACTGCAGCTAGAAGTTCCCATAAATCTTCTAATCTCTGGATAGTTATCTTGATCTCTGTGTTAGAGCTGTCAATACTGTACTTGTAATACTCTTTTATTATTATTAGTACCTATTCTGATAATTCTATAAGCTAATCTCTCTATAATAGTTTAATTACTGTTATTACTTATGCAACTATATTTAAGATGCTATTTTCCTCTAAGTTATCTTCAATGCCTGGCGCGTTAGGCTTTCGTGGCAATCTTAACCTCTCCTTGCTAAATTGCTTAATCCTTGCTTTAGCTCTATGCTGAGTAGTAGGCTGTATAGATCCAGACTCCATATCTAGTCCTTGCTGATATTATCTTAGATAATCATAATTTATAAATTAAAGATTCTCAGTCTTCTAATCAATCTGCAGGTTATGATTCCTGAGTCATAAAATCCTTAACATAATATTATACTATTCTAAAAGTATCATGTTAAAGTCTATATATTTATAGTGACTCTTTATAATTATAAATATAGTTCCTGACTTAACTGTTAATGTGAGAGTTCCCAAATTCTCTTTATTCAGTTCTATAATTAGTTCAGATTCTGTTTTCTATTATCTGAATATCCCAAGCTATTATATAAATCCAGGGTGCATGAAGTTCCTGGTTACTCCAGAATCTACCAATACTTAGGCTAGTTAATTTAATATAACTGCTTAGATCTTTAAATATGGTCTTAACTCTGTAATTACTAACTATTATTCCAGCTAGTTAGGTTCTAACTACCGTGGGTGTCTTCTTAAAAATCTTAAGTCTTTTATCTTTATTATATAATGTATTATATATTAATTATTAAAACATGTTAACCAATGTATTAATCTATAATAAAGATATCTCTGATACTCTTTACACGCGCATTTAAAAATATTATATAGATAGTGACTTGCCTTAGTCTTAACCACTTCCAGTATCTTAGATTGGTAGTTAATAATGTATTTTCAATCATAGTATATTAAGCATGTGTTTATATAATATATAAGCTAAGAAAGTTTATCATGTTTTTAATAATCTCTACTTTCTTTAAAATGAATACACAGACATGGTTTATCATATTAAGGCTTTGTTTCTACAATATTTACCTTCTAGCTAATCTTTAATAATTAATAATAATAGTCTATATTATCCTATCTATATATTAAACAAACTTCTAGATGATAAGAATATCTCTGTAGATATTATTTCTAAGTCTTATTTTATGATTTTTAATATTTTAAATCTTAATATGGGTAATACTACATGATTATCTTGAGCTCTAGACAGAATCATGCTGGATTTTCCAAGATCTTTTTCAAGATATAGTTTAACCAGTAAGCAACATTCTCTTAATTATTCTTCTAGTTCTTCTTGTTCTTATCTCACTGCGATAGATAGAGTTCACTAATTTCTGATAGAGACTTTTCAAGAATATCAAGTATCTTGCTAAGTCTCTTCTTACTGGGTTCAAGACCTTCAAGCAGTATACTGTACTCTTTATCTAATAGTTTATCCTTATTCCAAACTATACTAGGATAGTCGTTCCTCGAAACTGGCTTATAACTGTTATTATTGATTTCTGTGGTCCAAGCTAATAATATAGATAATCATTAATCCTCTTGTTAACTAAGTAGTACTGTTAACTTATCCAGAGTGGCCTGTTATCTCAACTAATCACGGTATATTCTGTTCTTTAATAGTCGACCATACTGAATAGCATATAACTTCTTGTTATCTAGTGTCTGTGTTGCGGTATCCGTCCAAACCTCATGCTAAATAATGGTAATATCATAGACTTCTCTGCCTTGATTATGGTTTATAGCTCTTAATTATTTCTAAGGCTATTTCTGACTGCAGTTCTTTGACTGATAACCTGCTTTGCTGTAGCTAAAGCACAAGCGGTCTTGTTTACACTGTTTAAGTTCCTCCTTGGACACTCGAGTCTCTTGAGTCTGATGCTGTGCTGTATCCAGCTCCATGGGCTTCAGCCTGTAAAGATCTTTGTATTCCAAGCTTCTAGATTGTACCGACCTTCCATTATTGGCTCGGTAACCTGGCTGGTTATTACGTCAAGATATAGACCTGCTGGTCTACCGATTTTTTTATTATTTTATATTAAAGTTATACAGCTTATTATTAATCTTCACTACTGCTTTGATTATTTTAGCCAAGGTGTCCGGTTGTTCTTGCTAAATGATTTTTTCTTAGATCTCTATCTTAAGTCCTTCTTTAAATTATAAAATGTAAGTATTATTATCCCAATCCAGATAATTAATAACTTGCTAAAACTCTGAAATATATATAGATATTGATTTTATCTGCTTAAATCATTATAACTTTTATTCAGTATTCCGTGTTGCATCAATGTCTCTGAATATCTGTTTAAGATACTGTTTGAATCTGGTATAACTAGTAAAAAGTTATTTTATATTGTTATTCTGGTTACTTACTAATTTCTCTTATCACTCGCGGATATATAGTTTAAACTAATTAAATACTGCTCCAGTAAGATAAGTAGATATAAAAAAGATCTTGTTTTCTTCATTCTTGAGCTTTTCCTTGTTTATGTTGAGGTACAAGTCTAACTAGGTCAAGAAAGCCCTAAGCTTCGCTCATTTGCCGTTGAATGGCTTGGGTGGTCAGATCTTGACAGATTTGACTGACAAGCGACCTTCAAGTAACTGGTTCTTTTATTCTAAGGCTGTGATGCTTTCTTGTAGCTGACTAACCATGTCCATTAGTTCCTTGATTATCAGGCCCTGCTGCTGAGGCGCACGTGATGTATTCAATATAGTTAATATAATAACTGATTATCACTGGGTAATACTTGTACTGACTGGTGCTCAATATATCAAACCCTAGGATCACTTCTCCTTGTTCCTGTTAGCTTAGCTCCCGTTCCGATATATACCTTGTAAACTGAATCAAAGATAGTCAGGTTATTGACTATCTAAAGATAACTTAATCTGAACAAAAGAAGAAAAGTAAGGCCAGATAATGCCGTACAGCTATCCGTAAGTAAGTGCGGATGAATGTTATTGCTAAGCTTCTACCAAAACATAGATTACTTAAAGATAATTGGAATTGAGTATGAAGAACAGAACTAACTAAGTACATGAAGAAGTGTCCTTATATATCCATCCCTCATATACCATTCTATATACCATCGGGTCTATCGTATACCTGCTTGATAGTCATAGACCATCATGATATGTCGTATACCACATGCCTGTCTGTATACCATGGTCACGTGATCCGTGCTGCCTGACGGTTCGGGTCGGGATCCTCCTCGATAAGAGCCCCCTTCCGTCCGGATGTGGCCTTCTGCCTGACATACCCGCCTTACTAGTTGTTCAGCTAGCAGGGGTCCGTAACAGAAAGCTGCTCAAATGGCTATGCAAACAAATATTCTTTTACAGCAAGAAATCAAGATTTTACGGGCTGAAAATGAGCGAAAATATAAAAAGAAAGTAAGAAGGCGTGCTCTACTAGAAGATGATACCCTTTTATCTGTACAGGAAGGCCAAAATCGCGTTTAACAGCTAAATACGCAGCTTATTAAGCAACCTGAACAATCTACTCCTGTACCTCGTCAACGGGCTCCGCAACGCTGCAGTGGCTGTGGAACAGTTGGACATACAATTCAGAACTGCTCTAGTAAATAGCTACTTTTTCATATATTTATTTAAACAAATTTCATGGAGCTGGTGGTTGAAAAGCTTTAAGTAATGGTGGCTATAGCAAAGGATCCGCGGCTCGCTTAGATTCGCGGCTCGCTTGTGGTTTACGTTAGTTAATATCCCTACTTACTTAAGAAACCATGTCTGGATAGTTAGCTAGTTAGTCAGTAAGCAAGCGCGTCACGTGCTTTATCACATTAATCATTATATTATTACCCTTTTCATCCCGTGTAGCAGAAGCCTCCTAGCTAGTCAATCAATATTACTTGTTTTCTTCGGCTTCGTGTCCTAACATTTATTATTACCTTGTATAGGAGGAGAGAAGCTCCATGCAATGCAATACAAAGACACCAGATGAGAGCTCGCTGATTACAGATCCTATCAATCTCGATTATCTGTACGTTAAAGGCCTGATGACAATGGTGAAGATATTCCTGATATTTCGGAAGATGGTGCCCAAATAAATATCAACAGTCAATGGTATCTACGAATTTTCCATGCTGCCATGCTCCTAGCCATACCGGGCATTTGCAGGCTCATCATCGAACCAAACCGGAGGAACACCATAGTTGATCACGGTGCTCTTGAGCTTCGTATAGCTCTCATAGGCCTCCAGCCCGTTCTCCTTCCCCAAGCCACTCTGTTTGAAACCACCCCATGGTGACGACGGATCATTGAGATGGTGTCCATTGATCCACACAATCCCCGCCTCTATCTTGTCCCCCACCCGATGCGCCTGCTTGAAGTCGTTTGTCCAAACCGATGCCCCCAATGCTAACGAGGAACCGTTCGCGACGCGAATGATGTCCTCCTCCGACTGGCACTTGATGAGCGCAATTACTGGACCAAACACCTCATTACATTCTAGATCTGTCTGTGAACGAGTCTCAATGATGGTTGGCTGGAAGTAGAACCCTTTTCCGTCTTGGTTCGTGGTTGGATGTCCACCACAGATGATCTTCCCTCCTTCCTGCACGGCCCTCTCCACGAAGGCAGAGCATCTCTCCACAGCCGTCTTAGATATGACAGTTCCAATCTGTGTCTGGTCGTCAAACGGATCACCAAGTCGCAAGGCCTCGACCCTTTTCTTTAGCAACGCAATGAAATCATCGTAGATGTCTGCATGTACCAACAATCTGCTCCCCGTGACACATGTCTGCCCACTAGCAATGAAGCTCGCAAACAGCGCCGCCTTGACCGCATGCTCGACATCCATGCTTGGGAAGAAACACACCGGGGCCTTTCCACCCAGCTCGGCCGTGATGGGGATCAAGTTGGCCGACGCAGACGGTGCAATAGCTTTGTATGTGGCCAGTCCTCCTGTCAGGTCGATCTTGGCTAGTAACGGGCTTTCACACAAATACTTTCCGGTCTCATATCCATATCCGCTGACAATCTGCAACACGCCGTCAGGTAGACCAGCCTCCTGGAACAGGGCTCCCAGTTTCAGCACCGACAGCGGCGCCAGCTCCGACGCCTTGACAATGACCACATTCCCCGCTGCCAGCGCCGCACCGATCTTCTTCATCGCAATGAGGAGCGGGTGGTTGTAGGGCGTGATCAGGGCCACGACGCCCAAGGGAAGCCGCGTCAGGGTGTTCACGACAGGACCTTTGAAGGGAGTCACGCGGCCTTCGTGGACGCGCGCCAGGGATGCAAAGTACTCCAACCATTCCGGGACGCGCGCCAGCTGGGCTCGCATCTCGCGGATGGGACGGCCTGTCTGGCGGGTTTCGAGTTCCACGAATTCGGGGATGCGCGAGCGGAGCAATCGTGCTGCTGTGGAGAGGACGGCGAATCGGTCTGACACATCCGCGCGCGACCAGGTGCCATTCTGGAATGTTTGGAGGGACTCGTGGATGATGTGGTCAACGGTTTCTTTTGGCGTTGCGTCGATGGTAGCAATGGGGAGCTCGTTGGCGGGGTTGATGACGGGGATGCGGTTCGTGATGGCAGCAGTATGGGTGCCATTGACCCAGTTAGAAATGTAGGGGAGAGTGTCGGCCATTTTGAAGATGTTAGTTGGAGCCAGATATAGATCTCATGGGGTGAATGATGCATGAGCTGCAGGCTTTATAGAGATATGTATGTAGGCAGGCCTCGTGCCTCGGTATCGGCAGACCCCGCTTTGGATAAGCGGCTTATCAGCCATTCTGACATTCTGTCATCACTCCAAAGATAGCAGATGCTCTGAATAGACTCCGATTGTTCTCTCTTGCCTCCCTGCTGGTGAATCATCGGGTGAATTCCCTACCTGAACAATACCTTCGCCCTCCATAAGAACCAATTCCATGGTTGGGGTCAAACAGTCTGTAGGGAATCAGCGATATTCCCTCCCCATGGTTTCTTGAGAACTGACCATTGTCTTGTTTTGTCTAGACTTTGTGACTCATCCTCGACTTTTCTCCATCTTACAAGAAGCAATCCACAATGTCCACTTCAGACCGAACCAGCTACACCCCTCGTGACACCGTCACCCATCTCTGGCAGGGCCTCCATCTCCCTCCAGACACTCTCGACTCGCTCTGCATTGTCGAATCTTCTCAGCTCGGTCTCCCCTCCTCCTATAAAGTCGGCCACCTCGCGCAAGCCTCTATTGCGCTCTCTGCTCTGCTGGCATCCCAGATCCACAGCCTTCGCAACACCATCCCACCCCCCAAAGTCACCGTGCCCCCCGACCATGCCTGCATCGAGTTCAAGTGTGAACGTCTCTACACGCTGAACGGGGCTCCGGCTCCCTCAGCCTGGGGCCCTATTGGCGGCCTCCACCAAACGTCCGACGGCTACGTGCGCGTCCACGATAACTTTCCCAACCACCGCGAGGGCACAAAATCCCTCCTTGGCTGCTCTCCAACCGCAACCCGGGAGGAAGTCGCCTCCAAGATCTCTGCCTGGCGTTCCGTCGACCTCGAATCTACTGCCGTCGACAACAACCTCGTCATCGCCGCTCTCCGCACCTACGAGCAATGGGATGTCCTTCCCCAAGCCAAAGCCATCGCGGACTTTCCCATCCTACTCCGCAAGATCGGCGACGCCCCCGCCGGTCTGCCAGCCCGGATCGGTCCACACGCAGATAAATGTCTGCGGGGCCTCCGTGTCCTTGAATTGTCGCGGGTCATTGCGGCCCCGCTATGCGGGAAGACGCTCGCTGCACACGGAGCCGATGTGCTTTGGGTGACGAGTCCTTATCTGCCCGACCTGCCGGATCTCGATCGGGAATTCGGCTGCGGCAAGAGGACCATCCAATTCGATCTTAATGAAGAGAAGGATTCAGCGGAGCTGTTCACCCTGCTCAACGACGCAGACGTCTTTATCCAGGGCTACAGACCAGGGAGTCTGGCCTCTCGCGGTCTCTCCCCAGAAGAAATAGTCAAGAGACGTCCCAACCGTGGGATCATCTGCGCAAACATGTCCGCGTATGGTCCCAATGGCCCATGGTCAACCCGACGAGGCTTCGATTCACTTGTCCAAACCTGCTCCGGCATGAACGTCTCAGAGGCCGAACACTTCGGGGCTGGAGAGGCTGCCCGTGCTCTTCCCTGCCAGGCGCTCGATCATGCAGGCGGCTACTTCCTTGCGTCCGGGATCATGGCGGCACTGTATAAGCAAGCCACCGAAGGGGGATCCTGGCAAGTGAATGTCTCGCTAGCGGGGGTGATGAAATACCTGCGCTCTTTGGGCCAATACGAGGGCACGACGGGATTCCAAGGCGCCCCAGACTACATTCGCCCTCAAGACGTCCCGACCGACTATTTAGAAACCCGAGAGACGGGGTTCGGTGAGATGACTACCATCCGTCACGCCGCGAGTATTGAAGGGGTCAACATCGGATGCGACATCATGCCCAAACCACTTGGATCGGACGAAAAGCGGTGGCTGGACTAATAGCGGTGATGTGACGCTGCAATCTACCCCGCATCGTGAGAGCAGAGATGGACACAAAGAAAAAGCACGCATGCAGTGCCGCCTGCACCTCAACAAAGCAAATATGCCACCCAATAACACCCCTCCACGACCGCCCGGTTCTCAATTTTGATGCTGGGCTCGGCAGCATTGCTGACAAGAATGCCCAAGATTTGCTTTTGGGGCCTGCAGGCGCATCCATCTGACTGAGATCCGATCAATCCCGAGGCCGAATAGAAGCCCGGCTGAAGATATGGAGACAACGAAGCAGGAGATAAATAGCACCAGGGTTTCCAGTTCCATTTTCAATATGTTTGTCCACTGATTGCCTGTCGCTTATTCTAATATCCCAGTAACAAACCGGGATTTTTAGTCGACGAGAAGATACGAGGAGAGGAGTAAATAAAGATGAAAATCATTATTGTCGGAGGAGATATTCCCGCCCTGGTATGCGCGATTACGTGTCGTCGAGGGAATGTAGAGGTGGTTGTTCTGGAGGGCGATATTGATGTTGAGGTAAACTCATCATCCTACCTCATCACAAGCAGCGGATATATACTTCCACATGCTCAACTCTGATTAACACTATCCAGACAACCCCGGGCATCCAGATTGCCCCGAACGGAACTTGTCTTCTCCGCCAATTGGGCCTTCTCGATGCAGTCCTAAAGAAAGGGGACATTCTCGAGACGATTGATTTTCGGCGGTATACAGATGGAGGTGTGATCCGGTCAATGCCGTGTGGAGAGGAGACGTGTCGCGTATATGGGGGGCCGTGGGTGTATGTGATTTCATCTGGTGATCTAATATATGAATTAGATGAACTGATTATGATGGCAGGACGATTCATCAAGCAGATTTGCTCCAGGTCTTACGGGATAGGGCGCGAAGTCTGGGCGTGGAGATCCGACGTGTCGCGGTGAAGGAGGTACTCTGTGAGACTGCAGAGGTGAGCTTGGATGATGGGGAGCGGATGCAAGGCGACGTGGTGATCGGGGTAGATGGTATGCTTTCATTCTTCTTAACGTCCATCGCTAATCCATGGGAGCAGGAAGCGATCCCCAAATCCGAGATGCAGTTGTAGGACATTCCAGCCAGATTGGCACAGCGGACGAGGTCATCTACCAGACGACCATCTCGCGGAAACACCTCGAAGCTCTGAACGATTCTAAGATAGATGAACTATGGCAGCGATGCAGCGTCACGGCCTGGTTGGGACCCGACCAACACGCCTTCTTCTATCCTGTCCGACAATGTCAGACCTTCGTCTTGGCCCTCTACCGCACAGACAGCACTGCCGACGTACAAGAAAGCAGTCGGGGCTGGGATGACCGGTTCGATTCCTTAACCCACTATATCATCACAAAAGCTAACACATATACCAGCCTGCAAACCATTCTCTCCATCGCCCCGTCCGTTACCACCTCAACGACACATTCTCTCCCCCTTCCACACGCCTGGACCCAAAACCGTATCGCCCTCCTCGGCACCGCAGCCCACCGAATTCCTCCCCACCAGGCCCAAGAGACAGCCACAGGCATCGAAGACGCCGTCGTCCTCGGCACAGTACTGGGATTACTCAACCAGCACGCGACAAACCCGTATCAAATACGCACTCTGCTCCCCGAAGTCCTCAGACTCTACGAAGACCTCCGCAAACCAGCAGCGGCACGGAATACCCAGAATGCTCTTTCCTGTCGACGGCTCTTTCAATTAGGTAACGGAATCACACAGCAGTTCCGGGATTGGGTTCTCAGCGGCGCAGGCATCACACGGGATACGGAGGTGGGGTGGTGGAGGATGGTGTCAACGCGACAGGAGAGCGTTCTCGCCGGGGGCATGGGGTTGTTGGAGGAGACGGGCCAGGCGTTTGGGGAGTGGCGCAAGGCGCGGCTGCCTGCTTCATCGAGAGGGACTTGTGGGATTGGAGGGTTGCGTAGGAAGTGGTATGCGGGGTGGTGATAGCTTCAGGTGGATTTGGGAGATTGGGCTCTACTCTTTGGGAGGTATGTCTGTAGTCTAACTTGATGATGACCATCACGACCATCACGAATGCATTGGTTCATGCTTGCAAGTATTGCCACCTACATTTCCCAAACGTGAAACATCACATGTATCTCTCTAGCCTCGAATACTTGCTCCACTAACATCTACTAGTAACCCTAGTATAGGTAGAGCCCAAGCATAGACATATCAAGGTTACATCTAGCCCTTCCCAACCCCCCTGGTCCATATACCGCATTGATACTAGTCAACCTGAGCAGATCATTGCTGTATACATCCAACCCAGCTCTATCTCCAAGTCACAGTCACACACATACACCAAGAGTGAGAGTAAGAGACATAGAAAAAAGCTACAACGTTACACAACCATCACTGCCTCCACCATCCCATCCACCTCCAGCACAAACCAAACCAAACCTAAACATAGTATAGTTCCAAGCCGCGTCAGCCCAACCTCCATCAATTAAACTTTCCTTCCCCCCATCCATATCAATAGACACACAGTCATACATCCTGACCTTTCCTTGTCAGGCACCCACACACACACCCAGAATGATTCACATGATGCAGATCAAGGCTAGACAGGTCGTTCGCATAGCTATCCCGATTCGGTAGTTGGAGTGTTACACAACGGTAGGAACTCAAAACATAACCCCAACCTTGAATGGCACTTTTGATGTGCTATGTGTGTGCTATATGTATGCTATATGCGAAGATAGTGTGAACTTAATACAAGTTAGTTATCCACTTATGGATACTATTCGTCCCTAGTTTTGTTTGTGGGAGATATTAGTCTCGACCGAACTGAACTGAACTATACACATAAGTAATAGTAGTAGTCTCTGGATTCAGAGTTCAGGGTCCATTCGGGATTCGCCTACCTACCTGCCTGGTAGGATTCCACTAGGCATTGTATCTTGGCGTAGTTGGAGAGGATGGAATAGGATTCTATCTAGCGTTCCATTCCGTTCCGTTTCGTCCCATCCCTTGGAATGATCCACTTGAAACCATCCATCGGATACCCATAGAACAAGAGTGTAAATACAGTACCATTGAGTAATAGAATAACCTCTATCTTGTACAGATACTCTGATTGGACTACGGGCACGGACAACAGAAGTACCGGACCCATTTGCTGATCCTGAACAGGTAAATTGCTTAATACTAGTAGAAGATTAAGGTTCAAATTCCGCCCTTTGAAAACTGTTGAGATTCATCCTTCGGCCGGAGCGGAGAATTGCTTTGCTTTGCTTTGCTTACTATATTTGAGTTTATTGTTGTGCTACGGGGGACGGAGTGTCCGGTCTTTGGAGTCTTTGTTGTGGTTGAGGTGGGTTTGGGTTTTGATGTGGTAATGGGTTGCTATATTTTTGTGTACTGATTTATTTGCTAATTGGATGTTTTTGTGTCTTTGGGGAGGAAATGGTTGTGTTCACGTGTCTGAAATCATTATGACTGTTTGAGAGGAAGAACGTAGAAGACTATACAGGCAACAGTGCTTAATACTGCCCTGTACATACTAAAAAGTAATAGGAGTCATCCATAGTAGACACCCTTGAAACATTATTCTCATTTCCATTGATAACAGCATAAATCAAGTCCTCTCAACAATCCCCAGACGCTATTAAAACCAACCTCGCAAATCCTTCGAGAACCTTCTGAGACACCAGAAACCACGGGCCATGTTCGACTCGTCCGAATCGGATGAAACGGCACATCCTGACGTAGACCCATGTGTCAGACCGTTGCACGTTGGGTAGAAGCAAAGTTACTCATTTTTGACTCTGGCTGGCCATGGATCGGAATCGGCTTGAGGGAATTGATTGAGTTGGAGAAGGAGAGACTGACTTCAGGGGTAGGAAGAGATTGTGTCTCCACATGATAGAAGAAGAGGAGAAGGGATCTGATCTGGGGCTGGTCTGGGGCTGGTCTGGGGCTGGTCTGGACTAGTCGGTGGGTCAGATGGTCTTGGATTAGAAGGATTCTAGTCAAATTAGTAGGTCAATCACATGAAATGTACTAATAGCATCACCAAGTAAGGATGGATCTCTCCTCGCGAGGACAACTCGTTCATCTAGACGTCATCTAGACATCGGCTCGATGCGGGTGTCTATTTCCCACTCTCTCTCTTCCAGGGGACCGATAAAGCATCCAAGTCTCTGCGCAAAGCACATGTGTCCCAATGAAGTAGTTCCAATGGGTACGGTGGAATATCAGACTTCCCGCTTCTGAAAAACCTGGTCTATGAGCAACCCTGTCATAATGACCGATACCCCTCGAGGGCTCACTCTCGGATCCGGCACGGGGAGATGAGCATTGGCAGTGCTTCTATCGGATTCCATAAACTCTGTTAGCCTCGTTCGAACCAAGTATTTCCAATCAAGAAACAGAAAATGACTCTTACGCAGATCCATACGGATGACAGGTTGAAACCTTTTTAACTGGGTAGTATCACACCACGAACCTAGATGATCGCTAAGGACCTGTCTGTGGAACGACATCAGGCCATAACTCAGTCACACAGGGAGATCCATGGTTCGTGACTCCATCCCTTGGGGGAGATTATCTCTCTGCCTCTGTCTATGACTGCCAAGCGCACATGGCAAGATGCGAAGACAGACTTTATCACATGCCCTGAAGGCCATCCAACGGTTCCCATCCTTGGGGAGACAGTCGGCTCGCAAAGGTTCCTGGAAGAGGGAAAAGGTAAGACGGGGATGGCACATGCAAACCAGGCATCAGGGGTGGTGGTGGTGGCGTTTGGATGAACTCTATAGAGACGGTGGAAAGCAAAAGGGTTGCTTTCTCCGCCAAGAAGATGGTTTGATGCCGTTTTCTGGGTCCGGGAAGTCAACTTGGATCAGGTACCAACGTTTCCAGAGTGAAGGGAGGAGGGGGTGAGATGGTTTTCATTTTGACACCTTGGCAGTTGGGGGGTTCAGCTGTCATGGTTGTGGGACTATACTGGTGAGGCCAAGCTGTGTCTAGTGAGTAGGGATGAATCAGAGATACTCTAAGCAGTGGCAATTGAGATGGAAAGAGTAGAGCAAGATCTAGAGCAAAGAAGTAGAGGAATCCTCAGCCCTACATTCACCATCACCACAATGTATACCAGAGATGGATAACCTCAACTACAAAGGAAGTGAAACAGATCCAGCAAAAGAGTCAAATTGACATCTCATTTCTTTTCTCAACAAAAGCAAAAGCCCAAGGGGTCCATTTTAGTAGGGCAACATACAAACAACTGTAACAATAGCAATAGCAAAGCAATAGCAATAGCAACCTCCAAAGCAACCTCCAAAGCAACCTCCAAAGCAACCTCCAAAGCAACCTCCAAAGCAACCTCCACGCCCATACCATTTTCTCTCTCTGTCTCTCTCTCTCTCTCTCTCTCTCTGTCTGTCTGTGTCTCTCTAGGTGTATCACCTCAAGTCCTCCTCTAATAATGATATCCACCCGTACTCTCATACAGCCCATCCTCATCAAACTCATCGGAGTCATCGGATTTACTCAAGATAACCTCCTCCGCTGTCTGTCGACGAGTCACCTCCATCCGTCTCTGCCGTGAAACTGAACGATAAATGTTGCGTTCATCCCTGGGAATCATCCGACGCCGACTTCGACCTCTCGGCTCTGGTCCATTCGGCTCCGGTGCCCATCTAGAATGTAGTCAATTCATCAGCACCGTCAGCCACTTCTCAAAGCCTCCACCCACCTGACATGCCGGCGAGGAAACCATCGTGGCAGCCACGCGCGTAGCCATCTGCCAGGCCAATTGAATAGAGTGTTTCGCCGGCGAACTGGGCGAACTGGACGCCGGAACTGGCGCTGACCCAGATAGGGCTCCGGCACCATGAGGTACACCTCCTTGATGGCGTCCGATCCGTCGATGAGGTCCCTCCACGCCCGGCACACGCGCTTGGAGAAATTCAGCGTGCGCGAGTCCAGATTCAACAGCAAGTCCTCCACGAGCTTGTACACGGCAAGGAACCGCTGCATGGCCGTGAGGTTGACTGGGGGGTCTGCGGTGTTTGCCATGGTTTCGTGCGTGCTATCAGCTAACTTGAGAGGAAAGGGGGGGAGAGGATAGGGGAAAAGACTTGGTTGATGGGTGACAGAAAAGCAACGAGGAGAGATGAACCAGAGGCCTCTTATATAGATGAGCCCGGCGGCATGCCCCAGGCCCCCAGGCCCCCAGGCCTCAGGGCAGCCGCGGCATGATGGATGATGGATGATGGACACATGATTTCATGGCGTGGAAGGCCCTTCCGGCCGGCCAAGACTACTACCAAGAGAGCTCTACCAGGGGGACGCTCCTAACCGAGCCAGTGGCGTATATACAGTTACAATGCATGGTGCGTCTACTCTTGGTATATCCAACAAACAAGGTTGCACGAAACACGCATCCCATGGCACGGCCGCGCAACCGCCCCTAGCACCAATACATCCCATTACTCCTCCTGGTAGGAAATCTTGCGCATCTCTCCCAGCCGTTGCCGGGCCCGAGCCAGGCTGTTCTCCAGCTGGAGAATCTCGACCTGAAGTTACATCGTTAGTGGGGGTCACGGACAACACAAGGGAACGACCGACCTGCTGCTCCATCTCCTGAACCTTAAACTCGTGCGAGCTCAACTTCGAATAATCCACCGCCTCGTTGTCATCCTGGTTCTTCTCCCTGATGATGTCTTGCACCTGTCGTACCAGAGCCCGACAGGCCGCCCCAACAGCCTTACTGGCCGTCTCCAGCCGATCCTGCGTCTTGCTCATGAAGGTGGCCTTGACACGACTGGCCGCTACCAGCTGGGCCGTACTGGCCGCTACATCGTTACTGGCAACGATCAGCTGCTCAGGGGAGTTGCGGCCTGATATGACCCCGTCGGCGGTCTCGATCAAAGTGTTGGTCGAGTTAGCAACTGCCTTGGCAGCCGAGATCAGACCCTCTGTCCATCGGTTGTTCTTCTTGTAGAAGGCAGTCCGTGACGAGCTACCGCGGCCCTCACGGACAATCTCCTGCTGAGACTCAGTGGCTGCCTTGATCAGCTCGGCAATTGCGTTGGTCACCGCAATAGCAGCCGCCAGGATGACATCGTTGATCCGAAGTTCGTATGTGCTGAAGCCGTCGCGGGGCTTGTTCTTAAGCTTGGCCAGTCGCTGGGCCGCGGCATCAATGGCGTCCGCCGCCTTGAGAAGTTCCTGGTCGACCAAGTCGCCCAGATCGCCGTTGGTGGAAATCTTCGCACTCTTGGGTGTGAACGTCTCAACCAGCTTCGAGAGAGATTGCAAGTCTCTCTGCACTTCGAGGTTGTTGTTGATCACCACATCGGTCTTTTGCAGCGCCTCCAGCCCTTCGAGGCGGAAAGACTGCAGGCCTCGGAAGAACCGCACCGTCGCCTGGGCGGATTTGCGGGCGGCGTTGATCAGCTGGTCAGCACTCTTGTCGTCGTTGGCGAAGCGTGTCAACCCCTTCGTGTTGCTCAGCACGTCGGCAACGGACCCAGAGAAGATGGACACCGTCCGGATGATTTCAGCATGGGTGCTGTTGGGCCCGTCCGCAATGAAGTTATTGAAGGCCGTGGAGAACTCGGTGGCCGAAGCTGAGGCCTTCTCAATCTGCGAAAGCACATATGGAGGGGAGGCATTCTGGTTACCGGCCTGGTTGGAAGAGTCCAACTCATATAGAGCGTCATCCACACGCTGCACACCCGTTTGGAGCACCGAATCAATGATGTCGTTGATCTTAGAGACAGTGCTGTGCAGAACGTGGTCAATCTGGGAATCCAGTGCAGTGTCGACATCACCTTGGCTCTATTGTGCGCAGCCTGTTAGCCCAGTAACAACACCATGGGTCATCATCCACCAACATACCAGTTTCAGCTCCTCGAGTTCCATCAAAGCCTGCTCCATTCCCGACTTGTACACCTCAATTTCCTCGTCCTTCTCGCGAAGAGCGAGATCATGGTCCCCGGCACGCTCAGAGGTCTTGCTGGAGATGTCCTCCAGGGCGCGGGACTTGTTCTATATCCACCATTAGGAAAACCTGAGAGGAAAGTCTGGGGATAAACTTACCCGGAGTGCCTCTTCCAAGTCTGCCATCTCTCTGTTGTATTTCGACAACAGAGTTGAGATCTCCGTGCCCTTGGAGCGTTCCGCATTTTCGGCCCGCTCGAGGGCAAAGCGAAGTTCCCTCTTGATCTTCTCCAGCTCTTCTTTGTTGTTACCGGTCAGACGATCTCTGTCGTGCAACGCGCGGTCTCTCTCGCGGATCATGTCGGCCAGCTCGAGGTTCTTAGTCTTGATCTCACGCTCAAGCTTCTCGCGGCGCTCAATAGCCTCCTGCGCTGAGGCGGCTTTAAGCTTGAGGCTCTTGGTCGTCTGCAAAAGGTCGAGATGCTCCTGACGGAGTTGGGAGTAAAGCTTGGCCAAGGCTTCATACTTGGACCGCCACGTGTTAACCTGCTCTTGCAGTGACCGGATCAAGTCGTCCTTCGAAGCATTCTGCAGGTTGAGGTTCGCGGTCAGCTGGTTCATCTGTTCCTCCAGGTCCTTGACACGACGGTCGTATTGTTGCAGCATCAGCTGGTCGCGCTCATACTGGGCCCGGGCGTTCAAATTCTCCTGCTCAAGCTCGGCCAAGCGACCCTGGGTCTGTGTCTGGTACTGATCGCGCAGTAGCTGTTCCTGAGCAAGACGTTGTTGTTCTGCCTGGAGACGTTGCTGTTCCTCGAAATCACGCTGGGCCTGCTGCTGCGCGAGAAGTTGCTGCCGCTGCTGATCCTCCCACTGCTGCTGCAAGCGTTGCTGCTCTGCTTCATACTCCTCTTGCTGGCGCTTGGCTTCGGTGGTCCAGAAGTCATTGATGGGCTCTGGGTCAGCTCCGGTCACCTTGGGTGGCGGGGATGGCTGGGGCTCGGGCTCTTTCACCGGTCGCTTCGGCAGAGCCGGACGCTCGTCATCATCCGACAGCAAATTGGGCGGGTCCTGGGGCAGTTTAGGAACAGTGATGAGGCTGGTGAGATACCGCAGGTTGGAACATTCATAGTAAAAGCGGACCAGACGGTAGTGTTGAGCATCGTATCGGCCACGGAGGGGCTCTAGCGCTTCTGTATCACCCGTCGCTGAACAAGCCCACGTCAGTTTCCATCATACCATTGCAGGAAGAATGCGCCTACTCGTATGCATGGCCCTCAGCATGCTGGTGATGAACTTGTAGATGCCATAGCTCTCCTGCACCAGGGGGACCAGCGCCGAGATCCGACATTCGTTGTTGGTGCCGGATTGGAAATGAGAGAAAATCAATTTCTGGAAGGCATCGATCTGGTCCTGCAGCGTCATGAGATCGCTAATGGCCTCGTACCTATTCTACTATCAGCGAGCTGTGGCACGTGAGGCACGTGAGGCACGTGAGTCGCGCATCGGACATACCCTTCATTCGGATCGTTGATTGTCTTCAAGCTGATGTACTCTTCATATTCAAACAGGCCTAAATCAATTAGTAACCATGCGGGGAGCGTCGTATGTGTGCTCTAACCGTTGAATTCGGGGTGGTTTCGGTGAAACGCCAGCTTTGACTCGAGGAAAAAGACATATTCGCGAATCAGAGGGCCGTATCCTGTTACCACAGCCCCGGTGTCAGCTTCCATCCAAACATCTTTTCCAATTTGACTGGGCGCACCTCGAATACCATCCCCTCCAACACCTCGCATCAGACTATCAATCCAATTGACATGCTGCTGTGCTTCACGGACCACCACCGGGTGACCTTCTTGCAGCACCTTGTGTATCGTGATGAGCGCCTTGAACGTTTGGACTTCATCGGCAAGGACAGGTTGACTAAACGGCAGTGATAAATCAGCCAATGCAAGGAATATGGGAACAAGTACGAAACAGTCACATACATCTTCATGCCAGCCCAGAAGGCGACGGATGATTTATGGTCCCATGTGTACACGATACAGCTCCGAACATGTTTCCCTGAGCAAGGATTAGCGATGGGTGGGTTGTGTAGCACACGGGCGACGCGTGGATACTGCACGAAGCTAGGGGAGGGGTCAATCCGTACGTTTCGGGGCGGTTTCCTCTGTGGTTGCGATATGATCAGTCACCAGAACGCATCAGGCCAGCGTGGGATACAACTGCGACTGCGACTTACCGATACTCGTGGCTTTGCGAATGTTAATCGCCAAATCAGTCTCCGTGCTAGTCCCACATGTTAGCATTCCATCACCGAGCACGGTCAGCGCATAGTTATCCAGGAGAACACCACGTACCGACTCATGCTGACGGTTGCGAAGCTCTCGATGAGCGTGGATCAGGGGAACAGAAGACGGAGAGGTGCGGCGGGAGCCGGTGGGCCCGTGTCCGAGAGCGCAATCAGTTCGTCGGAGGATGCGCTAAAGGAAAGGGGGGTGGAAAGGAGAAGTAAGCGAGATGGGGAGATTGTTGATAACACCCGTGCAGTGCAAGAGGGCAATGGCCAGCTGCAGAGAATTCGAGTCGAGCCGGGAGAAGAGGAGAGGAGGGGAAGATGGAAATAGCAACAGGCACCCCCGAGGCGAGATGACGTCCGGAAGGGAAAGAGCGACTGCGGCCAGGCTTGGCACCGCCGCCCGGCACCTCCTATTGACAGATGATGCGTCGTCAATGGCTCTCGCTACTAGGCAGCGATTTTGTCGCCCAATCGTTCCATGCCCAAACCAACCAACAACAGGCTACTTTCTACGGCGGGACAACATAAAACTTCAGTCAAAGAACCTTCCGACTACCTAGTGAGCAAACCAAATAAACCATACGACTAGAGAGGCGAGGGTGACCCCCATATCGCTATCGACGCCGGACACTGTCAAGCACGCTCAAGAACCAGCTGAGAGGGTATACCATGGGTCAGAAGCCAAGGAATAGCAGTCGCCCAGTACCACGGTACCAGTCTCGTCTCACGCCTTTCTGTCCTAATCAAAACGCCCGCTCCAGTGGAGAGCGCTCTGCGCTGCAGAGCTTCCTTTATGCATTGTCAAGGGTAAATGCGACATCATACGTTCTATCCTTCATACATCGCTCCGCTGCATGCAGATTTCCTTCATCACGGAATAATTCCGTCCGTGGCTGACAAGATCTCCATGCCGTGTTTTTCGGTATCGAGTCTAGTCCTCGGACCTTGAGTCTGGGGGTCTTGCTCGGTGGTTTCATGCTCTCTTTGCTCATTCCCGCGACTTTGGCCGGCAGCGGACTCGCCTGGTCTTGCTGACAGTGGTGAGTTGCCCTTGGTGTTTGACTCTGCCGCTAGTCCTGCATCGGGGGTTATGTCCACGACCGGGCTGTTAGGCCCCGAATCGTATGGGGCTTCAACCACGAGCAACTCTTCAGACCGATTGCCCCCCTCTTCTGGGTGATAGATTGGCTTTCGTTTGGGTAGAGGTGGCTTGGGAACAGGCCTCTTATTCTCCCTGTCAGATTTCGGCTCTGGAAAGTTTGGGATTCCCACGGGTTTTCGCTTCGGGACTGCTACGGTGCTCCTCTTGTAGCCAACCTTGTCGGGACGCGGTAACGGGGTCCCTGGGGGTGGGAGAGGGTGCCCACGTCCTATCGGCTGGTCCGGGGTGCCTGCAGGACGAGACGCATCTTGAGCGGAGCTAGACTCGCCTCTGCCGAACATATTCCACCCCCACTTTTTGGCCACGGAAGTTGCCGTATTCAGGAGTGGGCCGGGCGATTTATTCTCTGCGGTGGTTGAAGATGTCATAGATCGGGTCAAAGTTTCCAGCGTGCTGCGCCGTCGCGATTTGTTGCTATTCAAAGACGCACTGGAACCGTTCTCCATGCCTCGCAGGTTGCTAGACGAGTCGTTTCCATGATGAATAGAAGGTGGCCGGGTAGGCAAGTCACTAATCGACTCCTCGAAGCTCCCGGTGGATTCGACAATGGAAGGATCCCGACTCTGCGGTATATTGTCCGGGACCATGTGACTAGCAGTTGGCGGGGAGTTTTCGGGGGTCTTGTCCGGCGAACCGGGTGGAGAACGGTTCGATATCTCGATCATGGCGCTTGTTGCATAGCTCTTTTCCTCGCCCTTGGCTTCAGACAAGGCTTTGTCCATTTTTACGTGGTCGGCTGTCAGGACAGGGTCGGCCGCATGGGAGAAGGTCTGAGATCTAATGACCCGTGGGGGCGAGCTGCCTAACTTCTCAACAGCAGAAGATAAAGCGCTTGGATTAGTGTTCTCCGAGTCCCCAATAGAGGCCTTGGAGTTCTTGCGGGCTTTCAAAGTGCCATTCACAGTCTCGGCCAGCACAGGTGCACTCATGGTGCGCTCATCCTTCATCTTCAGCACTTCAATTGACTCCTCTTTGGGAGTTCCTGATGTCTGAATCTGAGCACCCGACTCGTCGGGAATGTCCGTTTTTGTATCGGGCTTCGGTATCTCTCGCTCCCAGATGCCTCCTCGGAATTTTTGCGATTCAGTGTCCAAAAAGGGGATGTCGTCCCAAAACGGTTGAACAACGCTCTCCGCGAGCACTTCCCGGATCCTACTCTCAATCGTACGTAAGATGATCCCGTAAGTAATCTGTTTCGAGCTAACGATCGGTTCAATATCCATAACCATGTTCGGCATGGTTTCAAAGGAAATCCAGATTCGGTTACTCGGAGGAGGCTTAAACCAGATCAGCAAATGGCCTTCGAGCTTCTTCAACACCACAGCCAGAACAATGTCAACTTCCCTGGCCTTGAAACGAGGCCCCAAGTCGATGCGCACGGTTGCCGAAATCTCCAGGCGGAAGTTGCCAGTGTACTGAACATCCGTCTCGACGCAACAGTTCCCGTCGACTGTCAGATCTTTAAGTCTGGGGTTGATGATGAAGGGCGCCCCTTCCCCCATGTCGATTTTCTGGAGACCAATCTTGCTGATGAAGTTCGGCTTGTTGACGCGAGAGATCTTCTTGGTGACCTTTTTGCGAATGAATTCCTCCATCTCTGGGGTTCTGTACGTGGCAAGAAACAGCCTGCCCAACACCGCGTTGATCCATCGCGTCTGCAATTGCTCCTCGGAAGAATGCAATCGCTGGACTAGAGTAACTATGTGTTTCACATCGAACGCCTGGTGCTTGGGAGGGCCATCTGGAGAACTCCACATCCTGGACTGGTTCTGGAGCATGGCAAAATAAAAGTCCTCCTTGTCGGATAAGTTTTCTGAGAAGAGGAAGAAGGGCGGCGTAGGTCCTCCCAGGTCGCCCAGCGACTCCAACCGTCGCGAGAGGCAGATGGCGTTTCTCTTTAACCACAACTCCCCTTCCGGGATCTGTCCCTCTCCGCCGTGTATACTAACATCGTGGTGGGCCAGTGAGATGACATATCGGACTTCCACCTGGTTCGCGTTGTCATAGAGCATCAAATGACCATGTCTAAACCGTATCGAGCATTAGCGTCTGCATGGGTTACAAGGGTAGTGCAGAGATAGCGGAGTTTAGTGGGGCGGACAGGGAAGAAATACCGAAGAACAATGTAGAACACGTTGCGCCCTCGCTTTCCGTTCTTTGGGTTGTTTTTGGCTGGCTCGATGGTAGGTGCCTGCTTGCGGTCAAAGAGGCTTCTATACATAGCCTGATAGACGCTCGGGCTCTCGGCGGCGATCACCTCACCCGCCGGAGTGGTTCTCTCGGGCGGCCGCCCATTGACACCACCTGGGACGTATTCACGACAGACGGCGAAATAGCCAGCGGCGACATCGGAGTCGTGGGTGCGATGGAATTTCTCGGCCAACTCATCGGTGCCGGATTTCAGGCTATATTGATCGTCGGTCGGACGTTGGAGGCCACCGTGCGTGGAGTTGCTTGATTTCTCGGAGGGTGGGGGAAGGGACGGAAGGGTGAGATAGGCGAAGAGGAGGACCAGCGACAGGACTAGCGGGATGAAGGTGAGTCCGCCGAGGACGTAGACGAAGAGAAAGCTGGCGTAGGAACCCATTGGGAGCCGGTCGTTCAGGAGGCCAGCGACAAACACTCCTCCATCATCCTGAGGTAACAAAAGACCAAGTGGCAGGCCGAGGCAGAGAGTGGAAGGGGATCTGGCTGAGACCAGCGCGCGGATAAGCGGAGGAAGGGAAGGATGAAAAAGGGGGGAAACGAAAGGACAAGTGTACCTGGAGAGGATGGGGATTAGGGAGGCCGGGGAGATGAAGACAGCGAGATGAGGATGGCAGGTTGCACTGGCAGGATGGCAGCAAGTTGTACAGAGTGACGGTACCTCGCTGGAACCGCCTTGCCTAGTTGGGGGAGCCGATTTCCTTTCGTCTCCGCGCTTTCCGTACTTTCCGTTGTTCTAGTCGACTAAGCACTTTTAGCACTTTAGCAGGTCTCCAAGTCAGCAGATCCGGTCAGCGATCATGACGGAATCCCGTGGGTCCGGGAACAACGTTGCCCCGCGTTCCTCCAACAACGGTCCCGTGACCCCCAGCCTTCTCACTACAAATAATCAGCAGACGACGCTGCTAATAGCATTTCCTCCGGAGATTAAGCTGGCGATTGAGTTCGACGGATGCAAGGTGGTGAAAAGCAAACACGAATATCTGCATGGATCGATTGTATTCCTCCAAGGTTCCTGATTTCTATATGCAATTGGGGACGGGACTGGTTTCCACGGAACCTTATCAGGGTCCGGTGCACGAGCTTATCACGTCGTCAGGGACATCCCTGAGCTCAACTGTATACTGAATACTTGTCACGCTCTCATTAAGGATGCAGCTTCAACATCGGATTATAAGTGTCTGTACACACTGGCTTGATCAGAAACCACGCGTCGATAATCCTACCAAGGCGTTAGCCTATAGTATCTAGCAACCTGCTCTATAGTACTACCGAGTACAGTTGGTCAATTTGCAATGTCATAGTATCCTACTTATTGGAGTCAACCTCATGCAGAATGTTTTCGTATAATGGGCTTTGTTCAACTAATGGAAAAATACGACGAATACCCTCAATGGCTGGAGTGATATGTCAGCACAACACCCAATGCAACAATTATGCACAGAGGAGTGTATGTAAAAACAAGAATTCTCTTCTACTTTGTGTAATAATATCTAGATGATGACTATCCCAGGGGGGCTTATACTCGATAGCTACAACGTTGGAAATACGAAGAGTAATCCCAGACAGCCAATCAGATGCTCTGGAGCTGTCCAGCAGATGAGCCTAGGGCTGACAGGCTCCAATCTGACAATCCACTGATTGGCCACATCGTTTCGAGTGGAGCCTACATCGTCTCTCCACTCGAGGATGTATACAACTTTTGGCTTCAACCAGCACATATAAACCCTCTCTTCCTCGCTTTTTGATCCTCTTTCCTTCTCATCAACCTCTTCTCTTTTCTTCACTTCAGCATACTTCTTACTTTCTCATCTACATATACTTTCCATCTATCCACCAAATCTCCAAACTCCAACCACCCAGGATCACCACCGCCATGACGACCAACCTGATCACCCTCACCACCAAACCCACCGCCCAACTCAGCTACACCTTCTATCCTCCATCCCCCTCGCTATCCCCCTCTTCCACCCCAACAACAACCCTCCTCATCTTCCTCAACGGCCTCACAGCCCCCCAAACCTCCTGGACGCCCGTAATCCAACACCTCCAAACCACCCGCACAAACCTCCCCTCCCCCTCCCCGCAATCCTCACCTACGACCGCTTCGGCCAAGGCCAAACCCCCAGTCGCGATCCCCTCGACACCAACGCCCCGGACCCATCCCACGGCCACGACATCCTCTCCGCGGTGGCAGACCTCCACCAACTCATTCTCCAAATCGCCCAAACCCACCTCAACATCACCGACCCATTTCCCACCACCACCACCCAACCAACATCACCAAACCTCCAAATAATCTTCACGGCCAACTCCCTCGGCTGCGCCCTCGCCCGTGTCTACGCCCAAACCTACCCCGGAACCGTCTCCGCCCTGCTCCTACTAGACAGCATCCTCGCCAACTCCGATTTCGTCTCTGTCTTCCCAGACCCTAGCACATTCGACCCCTCCACTACCCTTCCGGAGGGAATCACGTCCCAAGATCTAGCAATAGCCCGCGCCATCGCCTCAAAGGTCTTCCATCCTTCGGTGGGTAACAAGGAGGGACTTTCGAGGAGGAATCTCGCGTCTTTATTACCGGATAGTAATGGGCCGAGGCTTACGGGACCGGATGGAAAGGGTCCGTGGGTGACGGTTGTGGGACACGACGGGGTGGCGTTTGCGGAGGAGAGTGTGAAGATGTCGGGGGGACGGGTGTCGGGACGGGTGTTTGAGGAGTATGTGACGCCGTACTGGGGGGAGTATAATCGGGGGTTGGTGGGGCTTACGGAGGAGGAGAGAGGTCGGGGACCCGTCGTGGCGGAGGGGAGTGGCCATGTTGTGCAGTTGGGGAATCCGGCGGTGGTGGGCAGGGAGTTGGCGGGGTTGTTGGATAGGGTGTTGGGTTGATTTGGCTTTACTAGTTACTATTAGTATGTATTTATTTTGAGTGGGTGGGGAGGGGGGGAGAGGGTGTGTTTGTGCTGTATTTTGTTCTTAGAGATTGGATATAATCTCCATGATGCTATTTATATCTTCTGGAAACTACTACTAGTACCTCAAGGCCCTGGCAGCTAATCATCCCGCGCATACAGACTCCATTTTCGCAGCGCCACCCCATAATACCTCAGCAAAATCGGTGCCGGAATACCCACAACTACCGCTATCAGTCCCAGTAGTGTATTTCCCCATCCGAAGCCCAGATTCCCATACCTGGCGTAGTCAGCACAACCAACCTGTTTCAGACGAGAGAGAGGGAGAGAGAGAGAGAGCACTCACAAACTCGGCGCAGCCAACGGCAATGCAAAAGCCAACAGACTCCGAAAACACACCACCGCTGCCACCGCGCTGGCCGCATATTTCGGGTACGTGTCGATGATGTACCCGATCACGCAGAGGATCTCGAGCAGTGTGCCAGCGCCGTAAATAGCAGCTCCGATGTTTCTGCGGGGTATTGGTTAGTATATGAGAGGGGAGTTGGGCTGGGGGGGTACGTACGGCATAATCCAGTGGATACTTCGTCGCGCACTCCAGCCGTACCAGAAGAGTCCGATCGGGACAATCACGGATCCGATCATCAGGACTGGCAGGCGGAACTCGGGCAGGCTGCGTCCGCCGTTCTGGGCGCAGAGCTTTCGGTAGTAGCGATCGGCCAGACGGGTGCCGGCCTGCGAGGCGAGGACCATGCCTAGGAATAAGGAGATATAGTTGAGGGAGCCGATGGATACGGATTCTCCGTATATGTCGGTCCAGACGTTGGGGAAGGTCGCAATGAGTAGGAACAGAGTCCCGTAGAGGAAAGCGCAGTATAGACTCCACACCTGAATTACTGGCTGCGTGGCGAGCAGCTTGAAGGGGCGAACGAGACTAGTTCGGAGTAGTTGTGGCAGAGGTGTCGTGTCATGGAGAGTGTAGAGGTTTGGGTTTTGAGTGCTCTTGCGCAGGCACTTGCATCGTCTTTGTAGTAGAACTGGAGCGTAGGTCTCGCGGAAGAAGGGCAGGCCGAGAATCTGCACCGCACCGCCCATGATGGACACAAGGTAGAAGCACCATGGCCAGGTCGTGTATTGGGCGAGGAAGCCGCCTGCGATGGGGCCGACAGCCATGCCGAACAATGGGGCGAGGGCATAGACGGAGAGGGCCTTGCCTCGCTCCTGAGGGATAAAGAGGTCTGAAATGATGCCGCTTCCGATCTACAGTGGTGAGCATTGGCGTGAAAGTGCGAGGGATGCGACTCATACCGAATTGGCGCCTGCACCGCCCAGACCAGCCAAGAGACGGAAACCAATAAGCTGGATTGGGGTCTTTGCAACACCGCATAAGGTGTTGAATAGAATGTAAAACATGTCGGTGACCTGGAGGACGACCACCCTTCCAAACACCTCTGACAAGGGCGCAGTGAACAAGGGAACGATCGCCATTCCCAGCAAGAATACGGACAGCGACAGCACGGCCAGCATATTCGACGAGAAATGAAGGTCTTGCTGGATGCTGTCCAGAGCTGGTGCCATGGTAGCCGAGCTCATGGAGGATAGAAAGTTGAACAGCGACATGGGAATGATTGTCGTCCATTTCTTGACCGGTGGCCAGTTCTTCGGGTTGTCGGGATCTTCGGGGCCATCCCACGTTACCTTGCGTTGATTAGGCTATTTTGGCTGAGCCGCTGGGCGTTGGGCGTAGACTTACCAGGTCAGGATCATGGTCGGGATCCTGACGATATGGGGGTAGTTCTATCAGAGGCTGAAGTGGCGGGCTCTGGGAAACCGGGTATCCATTGGAAGAAGCGTTGGTGACATCCTCTTTTTCAGCCATTACACGATGCAGTTTCGCAGTTGAGAGATACCACCAAGTCGAAAATGGGCCAGGCAGTTTAGTCAATTCGAATTGTTTGTAAATGAATAACCTTCTTCGGCATGTGGAATCGTATGTTGTCGAGAAGAGTAACTCAAGTTGTCCAACAAACGGGCACATAAAAACCATCGCGGCAGGAAATTTTAGTCATGATGTGCTGCGCTTGACTTCACAAATTCGATTCAGCCACTTAATTTCGTTCATAACGGCGCATTATGGAAAGTGGGAGATGGCAGGTCCGCTCTCCCTGCAATGACCCTCTTGTCTGCAGGTGGCCAGCTAGGGTCGAGAAGCAGCAGTTTTACATAGTATAAGTTAGGGTTCGGGCAGTCAGCGGGAAGCCAGTCGCTAGCCGGTTCCGGTTAGACTTGTGTAACCACCAGCAGTTCAGCCAATCTGCATTCGCCGTGGTCGATGATAGAGTTCCTCAGAGTAGGCAATAATCCAAGAAGCTGGGACTCCATGCAGGCCGGTTGGAACTATTCAGCCTTGGCGCAGCTCTTGTCCTCACAGTTCAAGGAAACCTGTGGCAGAAAATCCAAATTTAAGCATTGACGATGGTCAGCATTAGCTCTTCTGGGAAAGTTGGTTGGGCTCATGCAGGCTCGTCGCAATGTAGACCAATCCCTGCCACCAAATCCCGCTCGCAAATTCATTAAGACCACCAATCTCCATTTCTTGTGCAACAGAGTAAAAATGAATAGGGTGGCTAACTTGGGAGCGAGGCCATACTTCGGAGTATGCGCCTGACACATGCCCGCTCAGAAAGAATTCTCTGGCTAGGGAGTTATTTGGGGATCGAGGCAACCTTCCGAGAGTTGGTTTCGCAGTAAGCTTGCTGGGAAATACTGGAGACGATATTTGCTGAGTTGATGCATATTGGAGACGTAGGTGAGACGTAGGTGAGAACCGACGCAATCCTTGTCTTTCCTATATACATTAGAGTCCATAGTCAATTGTTCAGGAGCTTGAGCACAGACCATCCATGGCAGATCCAGTACCTTGTTAGAGACAGTGTTTGTTCAGGGAGGGAGAAATTCCCCCGGCTCACGTGGATTCATGTTCGCACAAGCAGACATCCTTCAAACCCCTACATTGAGCAGCGAGTCCCCTTTGCGTTCAGACTGAAACTCTCCCAGACTCGACCCCAATGTATATCATAATTCCATGTAACCAATCAACCAAAAATGAAATGAAATTGTATGATTAGTCCTTGGGTCTATCCCTAACATTCTAAGCTCTCCAGCAAGAATACAGAGGATGGTCTATACCAGCAGACTCGCGATAATACAGAGAACGTAGTGGTACACGGGCATGATCGCGCCCAATATCAACAAGGAAGATCGCACAACCAACGCCAATCCGCTTAAAGGGAACGCTGATGGATCGCTTACTGTCTCACTTCCTCCGCTTCATGGTCTTCTCGCACATCTGGGCCAGCCCCGCCTTGGCTTCGCTGTCGGGGAAGTCTGAGATCGCAGCAATGGCCTTGTCGGCATAATCCTGGGCCAGAATACGGGTTTGCTCAACTCCGTCGGCTTTGATGACGAATTCCCGGGCCTAGATGGATCAATGTTAGCCATGCAGCTCCTCTATTGCAACCAGATCGCCTTACCTTCTGAACATCGCCGGCCTGGCTGAATTTCCGGCCGACCAACGGACCAAGCTCTGGGTACTCTTTCCAGGCAAAGAGCAGCGGCGCCGTAGCAAGACCCAGCTCCAGGTCGGCACCAGCAGGCTTTCCCAGTTCAGCCTCGCTCACTGTATAGTCCAGCATGTCATCCACCAGCTGGAACGCCAGCCCCAAGTTGCGTCCATACTGGTATGCGGCCTCAACCACCTCGGGAACGCTGTGACCGAGCACGGCAGTCGACCGGCAGGATTTGCTGATCAAGCTACCCGTCTTCAGGTATGTCTTCTGCAAGTAGTACGAGAGAGTGTCGTCCGTGAAGACGGGGTTCTTCTCATCTGCAGCCGTGTTCTTCAACTGCATGAACTCGCCCTCGACAAGGTTGGTGATGACAGTCGACATCAGCTCGATGACCTCCGGGTCCCGCAACCGTGCCAGCGCTACGGAGGCCCGGCCCAGCATGAAGTCTCCTGCCAAAACCGCCATCTTGTTTCCGAACTGGAGATTAGCGGACGTAAAAGAACGACGGGTCACGGCGTTATCGATGACGTCGTCATGCAGGAGAGACGCAGTGTGGATCAGCTCGGTGATTTCAGCAAGCCGCCGCTGAGTCGGGAGGATGTCCTTATCACCGGCAAAATCGTACGGCGCGTCGGCGCTAGTCGACGAGAGCGAGCTCAGGTCCGGGTTGGTGTCGACAAGGATCGAGGGGTCGCTAATAGGGTCGTTCACTGTCGCGGAATTGTTGTCCGTGTCCGGCTTCCGGGGACACAACGCGGTGGCCTGGGACATCAGCAGCACCAGAAGCGGCCGCATATGTTTGCCCTCACTCCGGGTGTAGTATTTGGCCACCTTGTCCAGGGTCGGATGACCAGACCCGAGCAGCTGACGGAGGTTCTTCGTCAAGAATTTGAGCTCCTTGCCGACCATCCGCAAAGGGTCCACGGAGATGCCGGGCGGTGCCTTGGGGAGGCCTTTGAAGATGGTCTGAGCTGCAGAAACGGCGGCACCGAGAGGCGAGATATCCTTCCGTTTCGTAGGATGATATTTGCGCGTTTGCAGCTGGAGTTGGCTCGAAAGGAGATCGTTCCGGAGGCATTGCCAGCAGACTATGGTGGAGGGTGTGACGCGTGACGAGAGCACCAGCCCGGAGGCTGGTACTGTGCGAGCTCTCATGATTGGGAGAGATGTGCGGAGCAGTGACTAGAAATAAAACTGAATAATGAATTGCAGGGTCATAATACCGGGGGAACGAAGGATTGGAAACCGGTCCGGGTCCGGGGGCAGCACCAGTGCCTGGGGTGGATGAGCAAAGCGCAAGTGCTGAGCCGCCGAAGATTTCAAGGCGGAAGTCGCCTCGGGCCGGCTCGGGGTTCCTGGCCGGGCACCACGACCTTGACTTCTGGACTTCTGGACTTCTCTACGTCTCTACCTTCTCTCCGCCATTTGACAGCTTCATTACAAGTGTTTCTGTCTAGGTAGTCGGGCGAGAAATTACAGCGGCCATCCCCATTATTCACACCCCTCACCATCAACTCAACCCAACTCACAGGCCAGACGGACCACATCTACACCGGGATTATCGGTCCAGCCACACACACACACATAGGAAACGGTTCAGTCACATACAGGAAACAAGTGAGATCACGCCGGCAAAGCTCAATCCTACCCATTCCTTCATACACACCCAAAGGACGAAACTGCAAATAAGAACACACTGTGGAAGATTCCCTCCGTCCTCGGCCCAACTGGACGGGATATAACAGGATTACAAACGAAAGGTTGCTGTATGCTTATAACTTCACACCCACTAGATAGCATCGAAGTCGCCACCGGCATCCTCGTCATCCATGTCTCCTTCCTGGATCTCCTTGGCCAACTCCCGCTCGCGTTCCCGAGCCTCCTGTGCACTCTTCAACTCAAGTCGGTGTTGGTTCATGGGGAATCGCATGGCCTATGGGCACAGGGAAGTCAGCTTGATACTCTTGACAGGATCCGAGGATCCGGAAATTCGCCTCGTAGAAACTCACCTTGACGCTCTCATCGTGGAGACTCAAGCAGGCCCTAATGCGCTCGTGGAACACCTCCCCAGGCTCCCGGGTGGCATAGATGTCTCCCACCTCCTTGCTCTTCATGAATCCCCGCTCGTGGTCCAAGCTCGCCTCGATGACACCATCTCGGATAGCCTTGGCCACGATATACTCGGCCGATTCCTCGCTGTCCAGTCCGAGACGGAGGCAAATGTCCCGAAGCGAGATGCGAGAGTAGGAGAGAGACATCATACGGATACCCGTCTTGATGACGTTCTGCCTCAGGCGCAGGATGAGCGTGTACGTGCCATCCTTGCGGAACGTCGCACTGTGGGTGTTGACGATGTTGAGGAACCCGTCCAGATCACCCACGCTCACAGCCTGGACAAGCAGGAAGTAAGGGTGCATGGCGCGCTCCAGGGCCGGCTGTCGGAAGATGGAGCGGTCGGGAATATCGCCCATGAGGAGCTCTACCACCACAAGCAGCTTATGGGAGGCCTGGTAGAAGCCGCGTGCACTGTGGCTAGAGGGCGATTTGCGAGTGGCGCCAATCAAGTGTCCATGGGCATCAGTATACTGCAATTGAATGGCACGGATGCGGCCCAGGTAGTAGAGATACCGGGCAATCTGGTTGTTGGACGCCGAGGGAGGAAACTTGTTGTGAGAGATGAGAAGATCTGCCTGAGAGATGTGGGACGTAGACAGGTAGTTGCGCAGTAGTAGCGTCATCACGGTGGCCTGAGTGTCTACATCCTTGCGGAGGACGGCCGTCCGCAGGGCTGCAAGCAAAGACTGACGAATCTTAGTGACCGTCGCGGCGGGGGATGGGGGGAGAGGTGCAATCTGCTCGTAGAAGAGGGAGTAGTAGAAGTAGACGCGGGCTGCCAAAGAGTCGAGGGTGCGGCGGTTGAGCGTCCGCAGGCGCTCAATCAGATTCGTCGAAAACTTGGCGCCCAACTGGATCTCCTTCCGGTCGTAGAGATAGATCTGGACGAGGATAGATAGATAGATGTCAACCTCGGGCAGAATCTCCTTGGGGGAAGACTTAGTCTTCTCCGACTCGATCTCCATCTTCGCGCTGGCCCGACCGCTGCCCAAGGCACCCGCCTGATCGAGGGCATTCAACAAGAACGATGCGGTAACAATTGTTGCCGAGTAGGTCTCCTCGATGACTTCTGCGAGAACATCACCCGTAATGTGTTTGCGCATAGACGATATCGAGCGCAAGACGCGGAGGGTGAATCTGGGGTCGAAGTGGGTGACAGCTCGTTCGAGAAGTGTGAAGTTTGTCTTGATGTCTGGGTGAGGGGTATAGCATTTTTAGTACCGAGCGCTGCGCGGTCCCAAACAGGGGAAGATGAAACCAACCTTGGATGGCCTTGACCTTGGGGTCAACCTCGGGCTCGGTGTCCTCGCCCTCTGCTCCTTCCATGGCGACGTCGCCTTCTTGGTCCGTACCTTTCTCGCCGGATAACCTGGAACCCTTGGTGGGAGGCACTACAACAGTCATCTTCTCGTCACCTTTGCGGTCCTGACTGGTGTTGAATGAGGATGTAGGCCCACCTGCCGTATCCTCTCCCATCTCCACATCTTCTGAGCCATTCACGCCATTCTCTGTCGGGTCGGACCCGTTGGCACGCGGCTGGTCTCGCTGCTCACCCATACCGGAGTTGGCAGTGCTGTTCGATGAGGCGGCCTTCGTGGTAGAGGCAGCTTTGGCCTTGTTGGCAGCGGCGCGGGTAGGCGCCGGCTTATCCTTATTGGAGCTTGAGTTCTGCGAGGTAGAGCGTGCCTTCTCACCGTTAGCAGATGAAGAGGTATCTGACTTGCTGTTCGATCTCAAAGAGCGTCTCTCAGCCGGCATCTTTCGTGTTTTCTTGTCTGAATTTCCAGCTTGGAGCTCCGGTGAGCACTGGGGACCGCGGTAACCGGAGACAGAGGAAGGGGGAGATGGAAGACCACTGTCCAAAGTCCGGAGATACAGGGATGAAAGATGACAGTAGTCACGACGAGAGAAGCCAGAGAAGCCGAGACACAGGGTGGGGGATGATAGGGGATGGGGATTGGGTTGAGTTGGGAGCAGATGGTTGATGAGGTGGTGATGTGATGTCAAGGCTGGCTCCTGGATGGACAGCAAGAGAACCAGCACAGGAGCTTAGTCAGTATCGGGTTGGGGGGACCAAACTTACCAACGGAGCAACCGGTCAGCTGGAGACCTGCGTGACGCCCTCGGCTGTTCGCGTCTGGATGGAGAACAGGAGCAGTCGGTCGGAGGTCCGGATAGGTGACAATGGGCGCGTGGGATGGGCTCTGGACGTGATGCTGGGGAGGTAAGTTGCCCAGAATTGCTGGAGAATTTCGGTGACTCGCAGTCGGGTTGCGTTGCGTTGCCACCATTCCTCGGGGCCCGCCTGAGGCACCCACAGCTGGAGAGCTCTTCTTGGCGTGTTTACCCGTGTTGCTCTCCCCCCCAAACTAATAATAATATTAATTAATTAAGCCAGAACAATAATAATAGTAGTAGCCTCCTTCAGCCATTCTTATTATTATTCTTGATTGCTTTCTCCCCCGCAGTACCCTCTCCCTCTCAGCAGAACAGACCACAGCAACCTCCCCCCTCCCCCTCCCACACAGCATGTCGCTCCTCGAAAGCCATCTAGAGCAGATCTCGCTCTCTTCAAATGCGATTGCGGAGCTACCGTATGCACCCCTCCCTCTCGCCTTGCTTCTTACACGACAGTGATTGATTATGTCGCACCAGCTTTCCCCCACCACGGATCTTTACCAACGCGCTTCTGGGTCCCCACGACATCACCTCCTTGATTCGCGATACGGAGGCTCATGAGCGGGCTCTCTTCCAGACCAACCCTTCCGTCAAATCAGCCAGCTCACAGCGACGAGCCACCCGACGCGGCACACAGTTTCCACAGGAATCCGTGGGCGAGTCCATGGCCAGTCGAATCTATTCGGCTAGAGAAGAGAAGAGTCAGTCGGCTGTCGCAAGGGTCCTAGGTTCCGATATGATGGAGGAGATCAAGCGATCCGCGGGCACATCAAGTAGAGGCCGTGGTGAGGTTAATGTTGATGTGCTGCTCCGGGGCGCGGAGATTCTCTGCAATGTCTAGTACGCTGTTCTTCCCCTCTAAAATCAGATTTTGCTTGCAAATTCTGACTGCATACAAAGTCCTGTCGCTGGTGCTCATGAGAAGATCGCCGGTCTGCGGTATCGTCACGAGCTGATTACAGACTCGATCACTGAGTTGGAGGCGCGTGTGGCCAGGAATACCGCCGAATTAGAAAAGATGAGCCATTCTTATGGAGACGACTTTGATGACTACGATGAAGCCGATGCCATACAGCCGGAGGTGGCGCACGTCACGGATGCCGACATCGAGCGAGAGATTGCGGAGATCCGAGAGTTGGAGAGGAAAAAGCGCTCCTTGGAGGCCCGCGTCAATGGTATGGAGCGAGATCTTGGTGGATTATTGGGGTGAAGACTTCGTGAGACTCCATTCTAGATTATTCATTGTCTCGAAGGAGACAGTGTTCCCGATCATTGTTGTGTCGCAGGCACTTGCAACGCATACGTCACCCACAGATTTATGAGCAAGCTGGTACTGCACAGTCATGACAGATATCGCTGTTATTGCAGCTGGTTTAGACGTCATTCTCTGGCATGACGGGAGGCTCTGCTTAAAAGACGTCTATCGATATTCGGGCAAGCCACTCCAGACTACTCCAAGTGAGCGGATACTGTGCAGCTCTTTCTGCCAGCTAGCTTCCTCAGCTACATGCTACCCATTCCGCAGCCTCCAGTCAAGTGAACCTTTGCCAGGTACATTCGTGGAAGTTGACTGCGAGTAAATTTTTAACGCAAGTATCGTCTTTGGTTGTTACACGAAGGATGAATCGCAGTATGACCCGCGGGGATTGGCTTGAAATAGCCAATACATCAGGGCGTCACGGCTTAACCGGGGACGAAGGGGTTGAAACTGGGTGATGGATTTGATATGCCTGATATGAGGCCAACGTTCCTGTTTGTATATTGTCATCACAGATCAGCACTTGCTATGTTCCCTTAGACTCGTACCACCTAGTCTTTTGTGACTCAAGAAGGAGTGCCGGGCTGCACCGAGTGAGTCATTGATTGAGTGTGTAGTAGATGTCAGACCTACTACACTCATAAGTGAATAGTAGTATCATACTATAAGTATACTGTTGTAATGTTGAAGCATTCGTTCATTTCCAATTGGCTATACTTGATCCCTCCCAGTTCCTGGTGAGGTTATCGTTTGTTCGTATTCCTTTCATCTTCTTCAATGGTGATTCTATACGTCCTCATCACACTGTCACGGCGGCTGGAAGCGGAGACTGAACGAACACCCTGCCTCTCATTCAATGTGCTCCATAGCACCTGGCAGGCATCGCCACGACGACCAGCCCTCACAAGCAGCCGAGCCCTTGGAGAGTGAGTATCCAGCAAGCTGCGGGTGACTGGGTATTGTTTCATTGCCGGAATCTTCACTGAATCTCGTCGAATTGCTCTGAATCACCTCTCGGAAGTCGCAGGGTGTGCCAAGACTGAGGCTCTCCGACCCCCTCGATCTCCAATTCTCGCTTCATCCCCCTATCAAAACGGATCCTCGGCGATTCCATCCCTCTCAGGTGGAGAACAGCGGCGACAGGTGCAAGCCTTTGATCCTTGGGCGATACCCATTTAACTTGGCTTTCTCCGGATCTCATTTTCCCATCGCATCGCCGGTCGGGGCGCTTGGTACACGTGTGAGGAACCTAACGGACCATCAGCCTCTCATCGCGGTCACCTTTCCCCCTCTCGACGTAATCCAAGCATCATCCTCCTCATCATCATCATCTCGGAATGGACAACTCACAGGCACAACCGCAAGCTCAGGCCCAGGCGCCTGCAGCCCAACCGATGATGCCGCAGCACTCGAACCTGATCCGGACTGACCAAGTCCAGAAGCTTCCGCATCTCAACGACCAGCAGAAAGCCCAGCACACCCAGCTAGTGCGGACCCTCTGGGAACTCCTCAACACTCGAGACCCTCAAAGCACCGATTACCAACAGGCGCACGCCAGACTCACTCAGATCTCCCAGAATCTCATGAAAGGCATGCGTGCGTTTCAACAAAGCCGTCAGATGCAGCATCAACAAATGCAAGCTGCTTCGGCAGCGCAACCAGGCCAACCGGTGCAGCGGTCGCAGTCGGTCAATCCTCAGACTTTTGCACAGCTGCTTCCGCAGATTCAGCAGAAGGTCAACACCCTCCAGTTCTACCTCCCGCCCAATATCAGCAACGAACAGGCCCAGACCTGGCTCCCGGAGGCCAAGCTGCGATATGGGATCGCTCTGCAGAAGCAGGAAATCGGACGGGCGCGCATCGCAGACCTCCGGCAGCAGTTTGCGGCGCGCCAGGCTGCGGGGAGTTTGGGACAGGAAGATGTGCAGGATCTGAAAAACCGACAGCTTGCGGCGGAGAAGCTTTACCGGGAGGGCAGCGACTTTCTGAACAAGTTCAAGGAACAGCAGGACAGCTTCAAGGCCCAGCAACAGAGAGCGGGAGTGCAGCAGCATGTTCCTGCCCAGGCACACCCTCAACAAGCTGCGGCTCAAGCGGCCACCGGCCAAGCCTCAACTGCCGCCGACGGTCGGCCACCAAGCGTCCCGGCCTCGATGCACCCAGGCCAGACCCCTACCCCGGCGCCTCACACCATCACATCGGCCGTCTCCGCGGCTCGCAATCAAGCCGGGCAGACTGCCATGTCCCCCTCCACCTCTCAGCCAGGCCAGACCCCGACTTCCCAGGGCCCCGCTCCTGCCGTTCCACCCGCCGTCACTCCGCAGCCACCGCCGCCGCCGCCGCATCAGCAGCAGCAACAGCAGCAGCAACAGGCACCGCAGCAACAGCCCCCCCAGGCCCAGGTCCAGTCACAGCAGGGTCCACCCGGTTCGCAAGTCACCTTCACTCAGGTCCCCAACGTGGACGGCTCGACGCCCACCCCGACCCCCGCCCAGACCTTGGTCCAAGGTCCCCCCCGCCCGTTGTCTCAGCAGGCGGCCATGGCTCAGGCTGCGCAGAGCTACTCCAACAACAACGTCAACAACAACAACTTGGGACAGCAGCAGAACATGACCCCCGGTGCCAACTCCCACGCTCACCCTCCGGGCTATATTCCCAACCGTTCCGCCGATAACTCGGCTCGTAGCATCAACATGGCTATCCCCAAGAACTTGAGTGTGCCGCCTCCAGAACCCGTCAACATGGCGCCTGCTCGGCCGACCTTGTCTGGTGGGCCCAGTCACGCTGCAGTCGGTGTTATGAACCAGCCAGCAATCCAGAAACACCCCGGTTATGTGCTCGAAGGCGAAGGCCAGCGCGTCCTGAGCAAAAAGATGCTGGATATCCTCGTCCGTCAGGTTACCGGCGGTGGAGAGGGCGAAGGGCTTACTCCCGACGCCGAAGAGGTAAATCAACCTTGCTCCCTTTACCCTGCTCGTAAATAACAATACTGAACCCACTCCGCACAGTTCATTCTCCAAATGGCCGATGACTTTGTCGACGATGTGATCACCGATGCCTGCCGTCTTGCCAAACTCCGTCCCTCGTCGACCCTTGAAATCCGCGACATCCAGCTCGTACTGGAGCGTAAATACAACATGCGCATCTCTGGATTTTCCACCGACGACCTGCGCACCGTTAAGAAACCTCAACCCACTCAAGGCTGGACCCAAAAGATGTCCGCCATCCAGGCTGCCAAGGTAACTCAGGGCAAAGCTGAGTAATCCATGACAGACCGACCGACGGCGTGCATGTTCCTTTTCTCATTACGACTTTACGCGTGGGCTTCGTTTCGGTGTGCATGTGGGTTGGCATTCTACTATAAAGGCGATGGCAGGGATCTGGATGTTACAGAGGGTTGGTTTGCATTATTGCACTTGCTTCGCACTTTTGAATTTTCACCACTTAAAATGTCTAAACAGCAACAGCAACACATGGTACTGTCATCTTGGTCCTGATCACTGTTCTTGGGTGGCGTTAGGGGGAATACGGCGGCTTTTCTCTTATTCCTTCCACTTTTCTGTTCTCATGTTTCCCCAACAGTCACCTGATCATCAACATTGCTTTCCCTTTTCCGCAGTGAATATTCCGATTAATCATGAAATGACTTGAACCCAGCATCTTGCAACAGCGTCATTTGTGTTCCTTACCTTTCCTACCTAGTTCTTTTCATCTTCTAATACTTTCTCGTGTCCCTTTTCTTTTTCTTTCTCCCTTCCTCCTTTCCTCGTTTTCGTGGCTTGAGCTATGTTGCCTCTTGCTCTTATCTTATTTGCTTGCTTGTTTGGTCTTCTCTTCTGCAGATCAACTGATCATGGAAATACCCACTTAGGCAGGGTCCGGATGAATGAATTATGACTTAGATTGTGGGTTCAATTTGGCTGCTTACTTGTCTAGACATGGGATGGGGTTAGGATAGGGTTTGGATAAGTCTCTGTACCTGGTAGTGCCATGGCCGACTCCACAGTATTAAACCACAACAACTCTGTCACCCTTCCGGGTCGTAGCCAGCAACAAGTAGGTGCGATCTCGGGGACTACAGAGTTGCATACGAAGAAAGGACGAGGAAGGATGTCATGAGCACAAAAGGCGATGATGGTATCAATTCTCTACTTGCTGTGCGTCTTCTATCAATCTTCTAAAGGAAATACGAGCTCAATGACAAAGGACATCAAAAACACCAACACAATTAAGTCGCTCGAACCTGCTCACGCACAGTCGCTTCTCCCGTCCATGTATACAAGCAAACAGAGGCCCAAGAATGCCAAACAACCAGACGATGTATGCTAAACCAAAAGAGGAAAAGGGGTAAGGAAATAAATATAGTCAGTCAAAGAGTGAGGCTGGATAAAGTTCCAAAAGTTGGTGGCAAAGTTGAGCAGTAGTGTGCACAAAAGGAACAGAGTGAAGAGTAAAAAAAAAGAAAATAGAAAACGCAATAAAATATTTAATACAGGGAAATGTGAGCCACTAGAAGCATTTGGGATGTTACCATTCGATGCTTGGAGGCAGAAAAGGTGGACGAGCTAGGAAGCTGGCGTCAACAAAAGCGGTCACAACATGACACTAGGAAAAAAGTGAAGTTAAAAAAAAAAATAGACAATAGGAAATAGAGAGTGTGAGGTAATGGATACAAAAGATGTTAGACATGATCGAATATTGCTTGCCATGCTGAGTCGATAGAAAGGAAAGTAGGGCCAGAGCGGGCAAGACCACTTGGTCAAGAGAATGACCAACGTCAACCGATAGCCGGTGGGATGTCAAGACGAAAAGGATTGATCCTGACGGACGGGCAGCGCCCGATGATGCAAAAGGAATCACATCAATCGTGGTAACATGAGACTATCACAGAGACGGTTGCGGAGCAGAGGTGGGGAGTATGGAGGGAGAAGATGCGTGGCGGGCGTGGCGGGCAGGAGTAGAGAATCCGTGGCGCCAGGGGTATGTATGAGATGGAACAAAGCGGTATGGGCTGCGAAGTAGGATATCATGAAGATGGACGAAAATCAGCACCGTGGAGGTTATTGTCTGCCCGAGACAGAGACCCCCCCGTCCGGTTGCCCATCTCGAACGATTCCCTTACCTTTTCCAGCAAAGGGCGTCCCATTGGCTTGGGGAACCGGAGGGAGTTCTTTTTCCTGGGCAGACGATGGGCCATGACGACTGTGTTGGCTATGACCCCCGACGCTGCTGGCCTCCCCGGCTTCATCCACGATCGGCAGGAAAGAAGGCGCAACAACACCGCTGGGGTCGGCCGGGTCTCGAACCGTCGATAGCGTCCGGGGCTGGGCTAGCGACACTTCCTTGGAGGCTTCCTTCTCGGCGGCTTGCATGGTCCGTTCAACGGACTCCGATCGATCCTCAGAGGGCCTACCTTGTGCTCGGGCTTCGCGGTGTCGTTCGGCCTCTTCCTTGGACATTGTAATGCCCTTGATGAAGTTGATGAAGCGATCACCATAGCCCTCCGGGGGTATAGGCGAGATTTGAGTCCGGTCATGAGAAAGGCCCTTGAAGAAGTGTTCGATCTTCTTCACCATCCCGTACTACCCAGGCGGTTAGTCCAATCCAAAGAGCCAAGAATTCCAACCCTAACTTACGTGAGTCAAGCAGTCAATGATGCCCAGATAATAGATTTCCTCGCCAGGCTGACCATTTTCATGCGTGGCTCGGAATCCACCATCGTCGGCATAGAAGACATGAAATTTCCGTTCATCAAGGATCTCCTCAGGCATCTTAGCAGCCGCTTTATCGAGCGGCACTGGACGCTCACGCTTGATGAGCATGCGAAGTTCGCGGGCCTTGCGCTCATTCTCCAATTTAGAAGGCGTGCGCATCAGCATGTTTGGACTGGCGTCTTCCTCGCGATCACCCCCAGGTTGGAAAACCTGCAAGGTCTTGTCCCGGAGCTTCTCCTCATTTCCTCGTGCCCCGTCGTGAATCCCCACCAGAAGCGAATAATCCATAATCTTTAGCTTCTTCAACAGCTCAACATCGCGTTTCAGCTGAGCCAGAAAAAACTCCCGCTTTGACGGGCCACATTGTATCTCACGGTTTCTCCGTACCCAGTTCAAGTCCTTCAATGTAGCTCGCGGGTTCTTCTCCAAATCCTCTTCGCGCAAGTCACGGCCGATCATCGAACCCTTTAAATCGAACGTCTGGTGAATATCACGATGAGGTGGAAACAGATTGTTCATAACCACAAAGTGAATTTTACGACCATAGGCCATCTTGACACGATGGAGACCATAGAATTGCGAGATCAGAGTGTTCGGGTTCTGCTCAACGTGCCGGTAGTACTCGGGAAGGATTTTCCGCAACAGTTTGTGTTCGGAGTGGTGGATAGTTTTAATGATGTACTTGTAATCCCTAGAGAAGTAGAAGAAGCTTCCACTCTTCCCCGGTGAGCCAAGCTCGGAAAGGATATACTTGCTAGTTAGCGACATCAGGTAGTCGGCAGGATCAAGTCGGAATTTCGCTCGGAGGTGACGAAAAACCCAGGGCGCATAGTCCTTGAACTTGAAATCGTATCTGGCGGAGGGCGTAAGTTCGTTTCCGGTTCTGTCCAACATCAATCATCAGTAACTGGATGGTAGATAAAGGCAGTAAGAAGATAGGCGCATACATGTCGAAGGAGAACTTGTGCTTAGCCTCAAAATCCGCCGGAGTTAACTCCCGATCCATCTTCGCATTGATTCTCGATACGGTGAACCGAATTCCGGTGAGCATGTTGTAGGCCGTAACATAGTTCACATGGTTTTGGTCGACCTTTGTCCCAACAATGACGCGCTCGTCGTCGTCGTCGTCCCGGCGTCGTCTCTTGGAGGCCCGCCTCTGTTTGATGGCTTCCGCCCAACGGGCCGCCTCTTCATCTGGAGGGGCGTCGTCGGAAAGTATATCTGACTGGTTGGTCCGAGTGGCCCGACGGGCCAAGCTGAAGGAAGTACGGCGAATTCCCGCCGTAGGAGACAACCGACCACTGCTGTAAGCGGCATCCTCCGCGTTGTCCCGGCTACTGCGACGCCCGCTGGTCGTTCTCGGGACTTGCAACGTGTGTCGATGCCGGAGACCGGTGTTAGCCGGCTCTTGTGCGCTACCGTCCAAGTTCGACGGTACAGGAGGGGAGGAGTAACGATGAGGGCTTTTCTGCGAGGGCGACAGTCGATCAAGGTCTGGTGAGAGACGGCCAGCGTCATCGGGTTGAGAGGTCGACAATCGTGTGCCTGAAACATTGGCTACCGAGTCCGGAGCAATCAGTTCGTCGGCGGAGGGTCGGGGGTAATCCCCATTCATCGTCGGCTTGCCGTTGAGCGACCGGGGATTTAACGTCCCATTGACCTGCTGGCTTGCGATAGACGCCGTCGGAGAGCCTGCGCGAGCCCCTGTCTCTACTGACTTCCTAGATAGATCGCGATCCAATGTAGTCGAAGGCCTTCCGCCTTCTCTGAAATCCCGGGCCGATCCGTTTCCCAAGGAGTGCATGCTGCCGTCTTTCGAGTGCGGCAATTCCTTCGTATATGAGCTGGCGCTTGATCGCGGTCCATTCAAAGAGTAGGCACTGCCGTTGGTGAGTTGGCGGTCATTGGGAGGGGCATCGAGATGATTGGAGTCGCCATTGGGCCAATTTGTCCACAAGAAGGTATTCCCCACGGAGTTTTTCTCGGTCGGTTTGCCCGGGGGGGGGTCGAAGGGACGAGGGTGAGTGGCCGTCGCAGTGGACGATTGATAAGCGACGTCGTTGGAGAAGGATGGCATGGTCGCTTGGATCGGATTCGGAGGAGGGGAAAGCGGAGGTAGAAGGGGATAGGAAAGGGGGGGAAGCAGCGACGGGGATAGTCGGTCGCTGGTGGCCTCAGGATCGGGGAGGCCGAGTCGAATGATCCTATCGGCGGAGCGACGGGGAGAGAGGGAAGCGCGAAAACAGGAAGGGGGGGAATTAAATCGATCAATGGCAGATGGCGAAATGCAAGAACAAGGTTCCCGGGTTTAAGCTGGGGAAGCCAGCCGGCGGCAGAGAGTTTAACGACCGATAGGCATGTTCAGGCGAACACTTGAAGAGGCAGACGGTGCGACACAATCGACGTGTCCGCGTAGGATGATGGCGTGGAGGCTGGGTAAAATCGGCCGATGAAGGAAGGAGATGGAAATGTGTACGATCGAATTGAAACGGGTGGGAAAAAACGAAAAGTGCACGGTCAGGGTATCAGTTGCAGAAAATAGCGCCAAACAGGAAAATGAAAGGAGGAGGTTGGTGTCGATAGGGAGAGACGAAGGAGGAGGAAGAGATGGTGGGAATGAAGAGGGAGGGGGGAGCAGCAGGATAAGAGAATGAAGATGGAGCGGAAGAGAGTGAAGAGAGAGAGGCAGAGAGAGAGCGAGAGAGCGAAGTGTCGATTGGTAGTTGGTACCCGTATTTCCTTGAGCAAAACGAAGGTGGAGGGTTACGGCCAAAGTGGGTAGTACCTTGGTAAGGTAATAATACCACGCGAAAGGGGACGGGAAACGAGAGAGTGAGCAAGAGAGTGTGTGAGAGAGGCTGAGCAAAAGAGAGAAAAGACGACTGACTACCTACGTACGGAGCGAACAGGAGATGGAGTAAAAAGAGAGAAAAGAAGAATTGGGCGTGGACGGGAGAGAAAAAGTTCGACTTGTTCTTGTTGACATACAATCTCCCCCCCTTCTTGTCTCAGTTGGCAGCCTAAGAATATGATCTGAGAGATTGATTATTACGATGATTATTAACTCCTTCCAGAGTGCTGAAAAACAAAGTTGGTCCAAAGTGAAAAAGAAGGGGAAAAGGACCCGGTTTGCGTCTGGTCCGATGGCAGCAGCTCCACTTCTCAGCTGTATAGTACATCGCAGTGTTAGGTACTGATCACTGATCCGTGTCCCGATGTATATTCCAGCATATCCCAGCATCCAAATCTTCTATCTGAATGGTATCATTCGGATCATTCCCTTCCTCTTTATCGTTATCTTTATCATCATCATCATCATCATCATCATACTCATGCTCCACAAAGTATGTATGCACCTTATCTCTCAGGTCTTCCCCCCTCCTCCAAAAATGACTGCCATGATATTCATCCATACGGTATGAGAGCACTAGTATGTAAGTATGGTATCAGGAGGCTTGGCATAATTACCCCGTCGCAGGCAGCTTTCCAAGTATCTATCTAGTGCCTTCTTCCATCCTCACACCCTGAGCCGATCTACCTGAACCTTTAGTCTTGGAAGGATGCCCTAGCTGTCCTGTCAGGTGGAGGGCGGGTATTCTTTAGGATTCAGCCTTGAGAGTCAAATGCCAGAAATAACCCTCGAAAGAACGAGGCAGTAAGGTACATCCTCCTTACCACGCTGCATGCAAGAGACAACCAACACAACGACCCCCGGAGAGATTGAGCACGCACAGCAAGGATGCATAAGCCATAAGGGCCATCTGTCGGTCCCCACCCGTCTATGACATGTTAGATTGGGAATCGGGTTCGAGCTACTGTGAGGGCCCCTGATCATGGGGGATAGTCAGTGTGTACTGGTGTAGCAATGATCTCCTGTGTATGGAGTAGAGTGGTGGGATACCCAACACCTGGCTTCTTTGCCATCCACCAGGGATGGGGATGAAGTACTCTCCAGTCTCCAGACATAGATAGGATTGTCAATACCCCGTGATCTCCCCCCCCCCCCCCCTGGTTTGCTGAATACGTCCCAGCCCAAACCAGAATCACTTTCGTCAACAATGGCAAATGACCGCCACTCCAAGGCCATTGTTATCTCCCAGCTCATAATTTTATTATGGCTGTCCGTGTCCGATTCAGCCGGGGGGCAGTCTCAGATGGCTGGGGGCATACTAGCACCTAATAATCCTGCGTCTCAATTCTCAAACATGGCGGCATTCGATAGATACAGCAACCGACTCGAATCGAGGGTACGACTTCCGTAATCCCGTTTCTGCTTAGGCAGACCTCCGTACTGTGTAGTTCTCCCACCGCGCGCCAGTGGGCTGTGTGTGGGTTCTGCTCTAATGATCGACAATAATGCCAACGTCACACCCAAAACCACTCCTCCTTGCCCTGACGCAATGAGATTGACCAGGTAGAGGCGATGTTCCGCCAGCTTCGTCGGCCAGACGTATCGGGCCAGCTGCAGCCAATCTTGCAACTGACGACAAGCGGGGAAAAAAAAGGCAGCCCTAGCCAGGGATGGCATTCTGGGCCCAAGGTTGAGTTCATGCAGAACATTGACGTCCCGGTTCTTTTCGCGGGATACCAATACGGGGCACGTACATACTACTACATAGTAACGTACCGTAGCCCCGGGCACTACTCCGGAGTTATGAACACACAAAATCCGCGTGACTCAGCGGAGAGCGGAGAACGGGCAAGTGGGCGGATTGCTATTTTTGGGCGAGTTCGGTCCTGCTCATCCGCCTTCCGGCCACGCCTCGGTATCAAATCATCGGAGTCATCCGTACTAACTGCTTACTACTCCGTACTAAACTCCCTCATGCTCCGTATCAAATATCAATCCACCGCCCGGTCCACTCCCAAACAGCCCCGTGGATACATACATTAAGCTTAAAATCGCCTTTCAGCCTTTCTGAGCTATAATGGTCAATGATGGCCTACACGCACACTAGTTGCGAATCACTGCACATCACCTTAGCCGCCTAGCACTGCAGCTACTGGCTTTGCGCCCACTACCCCATAGACCACGCATAGATGACGCCTCTACTCCGTACCGAACCATCTTCACATCTACAACACAGCATCTTAGTCGAGATCCCGGTGGAAGAAATGGATAAGCAGTTTCATTGCATAACATTACACCTGCCCTTGGACGGGTGCCCCAAACATAACAGGCAAGAAAAGAAAACATATCCCGTTGCAAGATCCATCGCAAGACGCCAACCCAACCGACACTGAGTGAAAACGAAAGAGTAAACAGTCCACAGCATATCCCAGAACCAATTCCCCGATTGATCAAAAAGAATAAAGAAAAAGTGGCCAAGGAGCAAAAAATTACAACAGAAGTGAGAAAGGGATGTGGCCCAAGAGTGATTATTTCGGGCACACATCGCAGACTAGGAAGAGCCGTATTCGAATGGTCGGTGAGAACAATTCTCCAGACGGTCAGAGCTTTAAGCCTTCTTCGCGGTCTTCTTGGTAGCCTTCTCTGCAGGCTTAGCCGTCGTCTTGGTCACACGGCCAGACTTGGTCGTGCCGAGGACCTTGGGCTTGTCGACAACGGCGGGGGCCTGCTTGAGGATCAGTATTTCGTGTCCGGGGAAAGGATGCAAGGGTCTATCACGTACAGTGGTGGAGGCCTTGCGGGGCTTAGCGGTGTTGGCCTTGGGTCGGCCAACGGGCTTCTTAGCAGTGGTGGTGCCCTTCGCGGCGGTGGTGGTGGCCTTCTTGGCCTTGGGCTTCTCGGCCTTCTCGGTCTTCTCGGCCTTCTCAGCCTTCTTGGCAGTGGTCTTCTTCGGCGCAGCAGCCTTGGTGGCGGAGGTCTTCTATACGCGATGTGAGTAAGGTTTTCTTCGTCTGGAAGAGGGGTTCATAGTTACTTACCTTAGCAGCAGCAGGCTTGGGAGTAGCCTCCTTCTTGGCGAGCTTCACGGGTCCGGACGGGCCTGAAGATGCGACGCGTCATTTGGCACGCCCCATCAAAAATCGAGGGCGGGAAAAAATAAAAAAAAAAAAAAAAAAAAAAAAGGACGCGTGGCGATGGGAGTCATGCACTCCTCTCGAGAAGAGAAGAGCGACGAGTGCCGTAAATACAAATGAAGGGAAATGCGCGCGACGGATTAACTTACCCTTGGGCTGAACGAACTCGCCCTTCTCAACACCAGCCTTGATAGCCTTGTTGAACTGGCTATCAAAAGCATTGGAGGAGGCGGAAGCAATCTTGTTGTTCGCCTGAACATATTTCTTGATGGACTGGCGGCTAATGACGAGGGGGAAAAGAGGACGAGTCAGCCAGGATCGCGACATGGACACCGTCGTGAGTTGCCACGTCGCCGAGGAACGGGACCCTGCATCGGGCGGGGACAAGAAAGACAAATCAACTTACCTGCTACCATTGCGCTCTTTCAGCTGTTGCGAAAGAAGTCAGCGACCAGCTTGGGATGAAACAAGCAGGAGCCCGATGGGGCGTTGGGACGATTAAGCAGCGTGTAGACGTGTCACGGTCGGGGGGAGATCCCGCCCAGCGCCCGTCATCCCAACGCGCCGCGGGAACAGCGTGATTAACTCACATTCAAGATAGCATCCTTGATCATATCTATATTCACAGAATCAGCAGGCATTCGCGACAAAAACAATATACAGTTCAGCTCCATGCGATGTGGTGGGGGTGGAAGATCAGTCAAAACATACCACGGTAGGAGGCGTGGCTCGAGCCGGCCTTCTTGGTCGAGGTGGTGGAGGTCTTCTTGGGAGGCATCTTGAAAGAGGGAAGGTGTTTCTTGGGATGAAAGAAAGGTGGATATGAGAAGATGACTTGACGAGAAGGATGGCAGGATCGAGATGAGAAGCAAGGTGGGTGGAGGTGGGATGGAAGCAGAAGAAGAGAAAAGCAGTCGACGACGGAAGGGGTGGAAGGCCGCGGGGCATCCGCGCTTTATAGGGCAGCGGGTGTTGACACAGGATCACCTCGCGGACAATCGAGAATCGAGCACAACACGTCAGGGCCTTTTCTGCCTCTCCTCTTCGTTTTTTTTTGGCTCTCTTTCCCTCTTTCCTTTTTTTTTTTCCTTCGCTCGCTTTTCTGGCACAACTAATTGTGTCTTTTTCTCGGCTGTTTAGTGGCCCAATTACTGTGATTTCATAGTCCCGGTGGTGCCCTTGTAAGCCGTCTTGTAGATGCCCATGCATTCATTCCTTCTGGCCCGACTTTGCTACTCTCGACGCGCAGCTTGCGACAACGCTTGCTCTCGACGCCCTACGCGTGCTTGCTTCCCCTCAATCGTGCCCCTTTCCCATGGGAGACTGGGGGCTAAGAACTGGTCGATGCACATTCCAAGTGGTGTTCCTATCGCTCTATCGCCGGGAGAAATGTGCAAGAACTCATGTGGTGCCTTAAACCCTCGACTCTTTCCATCCTAGCATTTCGGGTGCCGTCGTGATGCTTTTCGCATCCACCACCCCAACTTCAATTGCATCCCCATCCCATCCTCCAATGCAATTTTCTAGTTCACTGAATGTGATATGGAGATCAAGGACAGGCTTATGGTTTACATTTTGCACACAAATGAAGGAAACCTGTAGTTGCACCTGGATTCTGAGGGGGCCATTCACGCTGGGCTCCTGATCCCCCCCTCCCAATCCGTGTCCGCCCGATTACTTCTGCAGTCCGATCAAGCTCATGGATCTCCTGGCAGCCTACGCTGTGATCATAAAAATAAGAGCTGGTTTGGCGCAGTACCAAGCCCCTTGCATCGACCGCAGTCATTGGCCTTTGGATTGTGGACAGGCCATGAAATGGAACGACCGGGGGAGGGCGTTGTTTCACTTGGGCTCCCTCGTGCGGAGGCTCGGGGTCACGAGGAGAGATGATGTTATGGGTTTGGCTTTGGGGGCGTGTTCCAGCCGGGCTAGCTTCACGTCGGGAGGCAGTGAAAGGGCCTGGGGAGATGGCCTATGATCGCCGTCCCTGCGGTGTGATCCAGAGCTCATTGACTTCCATCCCGTGGTTCGCATCGGCTTGCTCGCTTGGCGGTTGCTCGCGGTTCGACGGACGAGGACTATGCCCATGGCGTAAACCTGGAAGCTCCCTGTCCCACCTGATCTGGCCAGCTTGGATGGTGCATGGCTTCGTGCCTCGTTGTAGTTGATCAATCCTTGGTCGTGGTTGATATCGAGTGGCTGATGCCAACCCATGAGTCCTGATAAGAATATTCTCCCCCTCTTGATCCTCACCTCAAACATATACCTCTCTCTTTCATTCTGCACCATGACCAACTTCCTAGATCATGCAATGAGCAGCATCCAAAGTTGGACATGACAGCGGAGGGCAGACCTATCGATCTTGAGGAATGCTTGGCCTGAATATCAGGTCCATTGCGGATGGCCTCGATATTCGACCTGCATGCAGGATCTACTCCCGCTCGGCCGCAACGGTGCGGGATTTAGTTTCTAGGGTACCTGCCAGGCATCACCTTGCCTTGGTTGGTGAATTAGACATTCTTTCGGCATGGCTGCCTGGGACTTTCATCGACTTGCGGAGCAGGTTCATCTTCCCCGAATTGTGGGTGTCGATCTCACTTCACCCCCCGCCCGCAATCTGGTTACCAGTATATATTTCCCTCACCCAAGCCTGGATCACTCGATCACCAGTGAAGTATGGAGTCCTCCGTACAAAGATGGTCATGTAAACCCCAACGGGGTCAACCATCTATTGAATTACTATCCATGAGATCTATTTGTGTGCGACAAACCGTCTCATCATCGCGTGTTGAGCCAGCACACGCCGTCCATCCGATCTATGAGGGCAGAGCATCGCGTGACCCCACCACAGGCACTGGCACCAACAGGGCAATCGTACCACCTCTCCTACCTTTGAGGATGGGGTATATCAACCCATCAATATAGGTTTCACATCGGATTGGCCCAAATGCTTCCTGGGATCACAATGAAACCTGAATTCCTGGACAGGTGCGTGCGCCTCGGCTCGCTGCCCGTCGTCTCACCGAATCCGTTCCGATCTACAAACCTTGATTGATACTAGGTACCAGTCGGGTTGAACCCCCTTTCGCGAAAAGGACGCCAGGCAACAAAGTTCTGCAGAGTGTATTGTCATCTGCCTTATCTACATATGCATTTCATCCCTCAGGACAACCAAAAGAAACCTCCACGTCGTAAGTACGTGGCATACTTGATTCGTACATCCCGCCGCTGAAACGCCTCGCCGTACTGCATATAAGCCAAACCAGAAACGCCGCCAAGAATCATGAGAACTATCCGGCCCCCCATACACCGACATTCGGCACCCGTGTCGATCAATCATATTATCTAGCTGGATTTTCTTTTGTTCATTTCGCCCTGTTTTCCCCAATCGATGTGTAGGTTCCTAACCGGCACCGCGAGGCCGCGACTTGGCCTCTTTCTTGGCCTTGGCCTCCTCCTTCTTCCGCTTCTTCTGCTCCTGTAGCTTCTCATCATGCTTGCGCTTCAGAGTCGCCTTCTCTGCATCCGTCTTGGCCACCGGCTTGAAGAAGCCCTCCAAGCGGGATTGTTGAGCGGACTTCAGGTTTTTCTGCAAGCGAGCAGCTCCATTCTTAACGCGGTCTTCATTGAAGCCTTTGTCCTTGACCAGGAAATCTATCAGACCTGGCACGTCGGGCGCTTCCCATTTGAAGTCGCACTCGGGGTCGTTGGCATCCCTCACGTCCGGGTTGAGGAAGAGTTCCCGGGCATCTTGGTATGGCCAGTCTTCCGGGATAACAAACTTCTTCTTCGGATCATTCTCCATGAATTCGATCACCTTCTCCAGACTTCCGTGGTCGCGGATCAGCTTCAGCGCCGTGTTCGGTCCGACCTTGGGGATCGGTTCCAAGTAGTCGCAGCCCAGCAAAATGCAGAGATCAATGAACTGTAACGCACGTGAGCCTCTATGAGACACTTTCACATGGGTCTGGGGAGTGTACCTGCTTGCGGTCCATACCAAGCCCCTCCAGCGCGCGGTTAAGATGAATCTCCTGGATAGGCTCCTTTCTCTGCTCGCTGAACGTAAGATGTCGCAGAAGAATGGGTGTTTCAAAGCACAGTGTGTCCATATCCTCCGAAGCAGCCGCGTAAACCTTTCCAGCGCGTGCGAGCACTGCGCACTGCGCCTCTGCTTCGGTGGGAGCGTCGATGTACGGAATGCCCATCAGCTTCAGAAGCTTTTTACATTCTGCATTGTGCTCCCTGGTGACCCGTACTGTCCGTCGCGAGAACTTCTCGATGTCTTCCGCCGTACCGGTCTCCTTGGCCTCCTCGTGAGCCTCGGTCGCCTCGCTCTTCCGAGCAAAACGCTTGGCTAACTCGCCAGACTTGAGTTTTGGCGGAGCTCCATCAAACACATACAGAGGTTTGATACCATTGTCGACCATGCGCAGTGTACGGTAGAACATGCCCATCAAATGCGACGTTGTCTCGCCGGTGTCGCTCATGAGCTGTTGACCTTCGGAACGAACGGCAATTAGGAAGCTGTAGATACTCATGGAACTATACAACGTTAGTGGGGGAGAGCAGTTGGATCTTCGGGTCAGGAAAAGCCTACGCATCCTATAATGCCCATTCTCGTCAGCTTTGCCTGCTAAGCGAACGGCTTCATGTGAGCTACCAAGATAAGGATAGGAAGGCTTTACATACGATGGCGACCTTTCGTCCGAAGTGATTTTTGATATCCCCTGCCTTGACGGCATCTGAGGCGTTCTCGGAAATGACCGAGAACAGCTCTGGATATGGTCAGCTTCCAGTGAGCTCCTGGGAGGAGGAGTTGTGCAGTGGCACGGTGATCTCGCTCGAGATGATGGGGGATCAAAAAATAACCATACACTCACGTTTAATACCCATTTTGGAATCTGCTCTGGACTCAAAGACCAGGGGAAGAGATGAGGAAGAGGTGAGGTTTCCCAGCTGGCGCAAGTGGTTTTGTCACGAAAATTCGCAGGCAGGGCATCTGCTAGCCGCGACAGGAACGCGGCGCGGAGCACACGCGCCATGCGGTCATCATTAGACCCGGTTCAGTTTAGCGGCAGCCGGCAAGCTACGCCACACGTGACAAACGCCGCCCCGCGGATGGAAGGTTCCCCGGTTCCTCTTAGGCTCTTACATAAGCCGGTTCAGGCTGCAAGGCCCTCAGGACCCACCGCCATGAACCCCGTGCAGGCAACTCGGTCCGAAGCAGTAAGGCGCCGTCTGTTATCGGGCCTGGCCGTCTCGGTCGAGTAGGCAAATCGCAGCTCACGGAAAAGCAACCGCCAGCATCTGCCATGCCCAGCCTCAAACCCCTCTCTCGTCCTCGTCTCTGCTTCGTGCCGTTTGTCTGGTCTTGGTAGATTAAGATCGAGCCACCCCCACCCAAGCTAGCTACATGATCTGCCTATGACGATGCGCGCACCGGCACCATGAAGCGAAGCCGTCTTCAATTCGAGTCTAATGGTGACGCCTCATCAGCGGCTTCCCCTCAAGAGCCGCGCCCACATCCTACCCCGGAAAATGACTCACAGCAGAGCCCAAGGCATGTCCCCAAAATCTCGCGCAGGATTCGTGCCTGCACAGAATGCAAACGGCATAAGGTCCGCTGCGATATGAATGTGGGGGAGTCCGTTTGCCATAGATGCCGCCGCATGGGCTTGGATTGTATCGTCAACAAGAGCCTTCAGACGTTGCTGGATGACGAGACGGAGTAATTATGCCCTTTGCCATGTCTGTGTAGCTTGCAATAGACCATGCAGCTAACCATCACCGGTGGTTCTCTAGATGGAAGGCCACAATGGAGCTCGCAATGGCAGATTTGCTCCGAAAAGCCCAATTGCCGGATCTCACACACTATCAAGCCATCAGAAAGTCGACGGAGCCACCATCCAAGAAAAGGGATCGACAAGATTCCACGGTGTCAATGGAGGATACGCCTCTTTCGACGGGTCATGATGCGGGAACAGAGCCGCTCGAGACCAGCGTGCAAAGAGGAGCACATCAATCCGGTACGTCCGACACGACTTTTCAACAACACTCACAATATGCCCTTGACAGGGAAGAGAACGGAACCTCCTCACTAGTCACTGCTCCGATGGGGAGCCTGTACGAAGTGACTCAGTTGAGTGATATTCAGACGACATCACCAGGGAGACATCATGCTCCAGATCGGGCTCTTGTCAGCGATTTCATTTCGCGGGGAGTGGTATATTTACACGAGGCAGAGGAGTTATTCTCCTACTTTGATCAAGTACTTAGCCGTTACCTTTGGGATGGGATATTACTGGACCACAAAGACCTGACCTCTGTGAGGAACTCTTCCTCGATGCTCTCCGCCGCCATCTTGGCTGTCACGGCACTTCATATGCCCAAGAAAGAACGGACTTTCGATATTTGCTATACGGAGTTTGCTAGATTAGCATCAGAATCAATGCTAGACAGACACCACACCCTGGATGATTTGCGCGCGTTATGTATAGGCGCCTTTTGGCTTGCGGACGTAAGCTGGAAGCTGTCCGGGTATGCAGTCCGGATTGCCACCGAGCGCAATCTACACCAGTCTTACCGAAAAGCTATTCAAGGATCCCCGGAGCATATAGAACAAGCTAGGCTGTGGTATCTTCTTTATGTACGTCCCTAGGTCATCAGGATTGGCCGTTGTTGTGCTTCGCGCAACGAGACTAACCTTCTTAGACCCTAGAGCACCACTTCTCTATCGCCTATGGACGACCACCGATAATCCATGAGGATCAGAGTATCACGAACCATAATACATTCACCCTTCCTCCTAACGTTCAACAAGGCGATCTGCGCCTACACAGCCAGGTCGATTTGTTTATTATCCTGACTCGGATATATCACGCCTTTGGGCCTGATGTTGACCTGGAAGTTCCCGATAGCCAATTCTCAACAATCGAAAAATTTGATGCTGATCTTGAGGACTGGCGGACTTCTTGGTATCCCCGTCTAGGTACAGTCTATCCCGTCATATCATCTCCTCGTCCAGATTTGCTAACGTGGCTCCTACAATTAGTTGGGAGTCGATATGTCGGTGCGTATCCTTACAGGGCTGTCAATCTGCATTACCACTTTTCTCGTCTACAGCTGAATTCGGTGGCTTTGCGGACCTATCACTCTTCGATATCGACGCGTTACATGTCTAGTCAGCGAAAGAAACGAGCGAACCTGGCCATCCAGTCTGCTATCGACACGCTCTTGGTCGTTCTGGATGAACCTGATATCCAGAGGGCTTTGGTTGGTGTTCCGTTGTACCTCCACAGCATGATCACTTTTGCCGCCGTTTTTCTGCTGAAGATTGCTGCCAAGGGCTGCTCCAACAACAGTTCCAGTAATCAGGGTCAGCAGAACTCCATTTCATCGGCCGGCCTACTCATCGATGTCGGGTACGTACGTGAATTGGTCGGTCGGATTGTTGAGATGATGGTTTCCTGTAGCAAGCGTGCAAGCGAGCATCACCTCAGTCACCATATAGCCCGTGGTCTGAGAAAGATGCTCACGGGGTTGGAGGAATGGGAGAAGAGGAACTCTGGAAATAACCAATCTCTGGCACACAGTTCCCTTGACAACTCGTCGATGTTTAAACCTATTATAATCCCTGGGGCTCAGCCTTTGGGCGAACGGGACACCATACTAAACCATCCTCCTCCGTTGTTGGGCGTTGCTCCTCTGTCCGCTGAGAGGGGGAACAGCTTCGATTCCGAGGCAACACAGGCGAAGCAACAGACTGGTCTCTCTGAAGGCTCCGTCGATCCCATGATGGCTGATCTCTGGGGCTTTGATGAGGACTACTTTCCAACCGGGGTCTTCGATTTCCTTCAGTCCCAGATGCCTGCTTGAAGCGTTACGTCCTCCCGCAGGACAGACAAGGAGATCTAGACTGACGTGGACTAGTCCTTTGGGAATCCAGCTCGGTTAATAATGATATATAGTGCTCAAGCTCATACATTAAATCCCAATTGCCTTCTCGACATGGTCCTGGAGAGTCTCTAACTGCGTTACCCTTAGTAGATAGACTCTGCATGAAAACGATATAGAACCATGTTCCAGTAAGCTGGCCACAGAATGACTGCACCCCAAGCCAGAGCAAGTGGAGAGGTCGAGTCCAGAGTCACTGTGTACCTATCTATATCAGTCTGAGGCGAGCCGGTTATTGGACGCCATCGCCGACGGAGCGGGATGTCACCCGAGTCGGCCGCGGCAAAGACCCTCCGCGGCTCGGTTGAAGAGAAGAGTCTTTGGTCTTTCACTGATATAAAGGGCGATGACGAACATACAGAATACTCCAGCTGGCCTCCCACCCGAGCAAACCCCAGCACAATTGCCTTCCAGCGTGGTCGTGCATCCTTGGGTAAGTTTCCCGCCGTTCCGACGGATTGCCGAGACTTGAGGGTCCCAGCGCCGACTCGGTCGTGCCTGGAACTCTCCCCCGCAACATCCTTCGAACTATCCTATCCATCCCTTTAGTGTCGCAAGCCCAGTTAGCCGTCCGGGCCTGCATCTGAACACGCTGGAGATTCTTGCGCTTATCAATTGACTCTCTCTTGTCACAGATTATTACCTAGCAACTACACCCTTGCTGTCGCCTCAATCTCCGATCATGAATCCATCGGTCTTCCGCACGGCGTCGCGCCACTTCCAGTCCGCAAACCGCCTGTGCAGGGCATCCGCAGCTTCGCGCAATGCTTCGGTCCGGGGATACGCCACTGCTTTTAACTGGGAGGACCCCTTGGTGACATCGGATTTGTACACAGAAGAGGAATTGGCTATTCAAGACACAGCTAGGCAGTACTGCCAGGAACGATTGCTACCCCGCGTTCTAGGTACGAAGATGATTTTATTCAAAGAATCTCCATGCATTGATAGTATATTTAATGGTTAGTATGGCTAATTCTGATGCACCTATTAGATGCCTACCGAAACGAGAACTATGACCGCCAGATCCTGACTGAGATGGGCGAACTCGGCCTTCTCGGAGCGAGTATTGAAGGATATGGTTGCGCTGGCGTGAGCACCGTTGCCTCCGGTCTGATTACAAAGGAAGTTGAGCGCGTGGACTCAGGATATCGCTCGGGAATGTCCGTGCAGAGCTCTCTGGCAATGACGGCCATCCATGACTTTGGTACCCAGGAGCTCAAGGACAGACTCTTGCCGGATCTGGCGAAGGGAAAGCTGGCTGGATGCTTTGGTCTCACGGAACCCAATCATGGTTCCGACCCTGGCTCGATGGAGACGGTTGCGCGGGAGCATCCTACCAAGAAGGGATACTATCTGTTGTCTGGCACAAAGACATGGATCACCAACTCTCCTATCTCCGACATCATGATCGTCTGGGCTAAACTGCAGACCACGGGTAAGATTCGCGGTTTCGTGGTGGAGCGCAGCCAATGCCCTCCAGGCACCATGGAGACGCCCGCCATTAAAAACAAGACTGCGCTGCGCGCTTCAATCACCGGCATGATCCAGTTGGACGATTGTCCTGTGCCTGCGGAGAACATGTTCCCTGAAGTCCAGGGCCTCGCTGGTCCCTTCACCTGTCTCAATAGTGCTCGTTTGGGTATCGCCTTCGGAGCTATGGGTGCCCTCGAAGATTGCCTGAGCCGCGCGCGCACCTACGCGTTGGAGCGCAAGCAGTTCAAGGGTAATCCGCTGGCGAAGTACCAACTGATTCAGAAGAAGTTGGCGGATGCCGCCACGGATGCCGCGTACGGCACTCTGGCTGCAACACAGGTAGCCAGGCTGAAGGATGCTGGAAAATGCACGCCGGAAATGATCTCCATGGTCAAGAGACAGAATTGTGATCGAGCCCTGGCGAACTCTCGGATGTATGCATCTCCCTTCTCTTGTTTATTATGCCTTCGGCATGATATATTCTACAAAACATTGGGCTGACCTGATACTTTACTTTCCATAGACTCCAGGAAGTTTTTGGAGGTAATGCCGCCAGTGACGAGTACCATATTGCACGGCATGTCGCCAATCTGTTCGTGGTGCAGACATATGAGGGACAAAGTGACATCCACTGCGAGTGCCACATCCCCTGCATCTAGAAGTCGGCGACTAACTACTTGACTACGCAGCCTTGATCCTGGGACGTGCCATCACTGGCGTGCAGGCATTTGTCTAGACAACAAGCCCATTCACGATATAGATGCTCTAAGTTGCGCGGAGCATAATGTCCACCTGGTGGACGTCCTCGTCATATGTACATAAGCACTCTGCCCTGACGAAGACATAACCAACTAGGACAACCACAACCAACCATCCACACCTTCCATATGCCATGAATGTAACCACTGAATCCCATCGATCCTTCCAGAAACAGCCATCTCATCTGATATCACGTGAGAAAACTGCTGCGCCACGTGGCAAGGCTTCATGACCATTGATTATTGAAACTGGTAATTTTCCCCTAGTCACGAAGCGTTTCGCCTCTCAGCGGAAGACTTACCATGTCTGCCACCCTAACCACCGGAAAAGTCCAAAGTATAACCCGCACTCCCCCCGGCAATGAACATTATCTCACCAGTGATTCGAGTCTTGAATTCCCGAAGAAGAGGGGGCAAGTCGTAGTAACCTTCTTTTTGAGTGGGGTTATGATTCTTACTTAGTCCGGAGTAAATATCAATACTATCCCTGTTCTTGACTCTTCTAGCCGTCGCCACTGCCGCGTTCCAATCTCAGATTCATGTGGCACAGACACTACCTGATCCAGTTGGAAAGGGGGGCACTGGACTGAGGAGTTCGATGGGGCTAGATGGTTTAGTTGGGACTACTCCGTATTTTGGAGAATAAATATGACAGGGAAAGATATCGGGTAGGCTTTACCTAGTGTGCATCTAATATACATGTATACTACCTCAATATATATCGGAGTATCTTTTGGGAAGTTACATGCATGTTGGTATATGCAGGTTGCGCTATAGTAAAGAGCCTAGGAGAGTTGGTGTATGACGTCCGCAGTGGATTACGGGTTAAATTACAAGGAGGGAAAAAAAAAAAGGAAGAAAAGATCCATTTTCATGATGTTGGCCCAGTTAACGGGCAGAACCAGCATTGGGAAAAGAAAGTGGCCACCAGCGAGAGTGGATTTGCCTATCGGTTTCCCCCGTCCGATTGCCGTCTGGGAGGGACCCGAGACTGCGCTGTCCTAGAGTGTGGCTGGATGATGAATGAATGGAGGGGTTGTTAATGTGCATTGGGGGGGTGATGTTGGGGCTAATGGAGTGAGAGGGTGGGATACTGGTACTGATGGGAAGAGGGAGTGTTGGCAATTGTTGTAGGATGTGATATTTAGGATCCATTCATCTAGATATCTAGGATGAGGGAACGATTGCATGTATCAAATCCTAAATAATGACGATGGATGAGGGGAGAGAGGGGGGGGAATGTGGCGCCGTGTGGCTGAAAGATGCCTGACTAAGGCCCCCCCGGCGTGTGGCCGGGTCGGTAATGACGGGTAATACGGCGTGATTGGGGGGGCTGGTGACTTTCCCTCTTTCTCGCTCGATCCCGTCCACTTCCCTTTCTTCCTCTCTCTCTCCCTCTCTCTCTCTTCCTTCCTTCCTTCTCAGCCCAATTCCCCCTCTTCGTCTTCCGACGTAATCAGCCCACGGTGAGTCTCCCTCCACCACCACTCCAGTCCAGCCACCACCCCCCTTTGGATCTCCCCCCCTCCCTCCAGTCTAGTCGACATTGTTATCTTCTACACTTCGTCTTCTCTCGTCGTCCTCCCCTCCGTTTCTATTCTGCGTCCGTTGCTGACCCGGAATCCTCGAGTGCAGATTTCCACCTTCAAATTCAATACCACTCGCTTTCCCACCTAACCCAGGAGATCCTCTCCGTTCTTTTCACATCACACCTCTTTCACCATGGCTCTCAAGAGAATTAACAAGGAACTCACTGATCTCGGCCGGTAAGCGATGCCTTGAACCCTCTCTGTCCCCCTCTTCCTTGTTGCCGCCTGGTGTTACACCCCCCACCACGGCCGCGGGGCGCCGCTTTGCTCCTCCGCCAAACAGCGCCTCTGGTGACACATGGCCGGGGTCTTGTATAGAATTATGCTAATGCGGTTGTCTTCGATCTTACAGTGATCCCCCCTCCTCCTGCTCTGCTGGTCCCTCGGGAGATGATCTGGTATGGTTTTAGCCCCTCCGACCCCTCGTTCCAGACGGTCGCATCGCCGCTCCTGCCGGCTGCGGCGGGGCAGCCCTACGCAACATCTGCGCAACAACCCCTTGTCGTCACAGTCCATTGTCTAGATGTGAATACTGACAAGTAGTCTTGCTGCACAGTTCCACTGGCAAGCAACCATCATGGGTCCTGTGAGTATCCCCGGAGTGTTTTGCTGGAGCCCGGATGTTTGAGAAGAGCCTTTGTCCCCTTTGTTTGACAAGGGGACCTTGCGGCACTCGACGGCATTCTATAGCCATGTTACCTTAGCGGAATCATGCTGATGCGATTTACACCAGGGTGACTCTCCATACTCGGGAGGAGTTTTCTTCTTGAACATCCACTTCCCAACCGACTACCCATTCAAGCCCCCGAAGGTCAACTTCACCACCCGGATCTACCACCCCAACATCAACTCCAACGGCAGCATCTGCCTTGACATTCTCAGAGACCAGTGGAGCCCTGCTCTCACGATCTCCAAGGGTTTGTATTCCCACATCCCGTCTCCCGCACGTTCCGACCGTGTAGAGTCTAATTTGCTCCTTACAGTGCTGCTCTCGATCTGCTCGATGCTCACAGACCCCAACCCCGACGACCCGTTGGTGCCGGAAATAGCTCACGTGTACAAGACGGACCGTCCCCGCTACGAGGCGACCGCGCGTGAATGGACTCGCAAATATGCCATCTGATCTTCTCAATTCAAGTTTCCACGGCCACCTTGGTCTTCCCAATTCGCTTCTGCGTCTTCTTTCTCCCCGTTAGATCAGATCCGAAGCCTGGCGTACCGTGATCGTAGATCCTTTCCTTGTTTTCGTGACAATTTGCGTGTGTCTGAAATTCCGCGTTTACCCATTATTTCGCTTTCTCCTTTTGGCGGGAAATGTCATATCCAACGATCATTATGACGACTTCTCATTATGCATTCATGGCATGTTTTATTTCACTCGGCGGAGTCGGATAAATGTTACCTGATGAACATAAGACCCGGGAGGCGCGTGGTTTCGAATTTCCCCGGGTCGGGGCTGGGGCGAGGATGTTGCTGGTACGGTCGTGAGGCTTGCCTGAGGTGGTGGAATGGGGAGAAGCCAGGGAGGTGATGAATGGCGATGCTGCTGGTGGCGATTGGCGGGTTGTATCCAATAGGGAAAATCGAACAAAAGACCAATGCAGCCAGTGGATCGAGCCGTGTTTCGTTGTCGTAGAGGGGCCGGGATCGTCCTGCTATGTAACCCCCTCTGTTGAGGTACTGTGCAGTACGTAGTAGATCGTCACTAGTAGGAATGATTTGACTCAGAATGGCGGTGTATGCATTTCTAGAGCCAACGAATGGGATAATGATCATCCTTCTAGAAGGACACCCGAAATCTAAACGAATCCAGGGCACCCGACAGCTAACTATGCATTCAATGTTTCGCCCCAATGCTGACCAACAGTGACTGGGTCCGTAATGCTCAAAATATGAAAAGGCCAATAAGATAGAAAGTAAGTTCCACATTTGTATGCAGCTCTTGTATAGTATAGAAGATGAACTGCTAGACCGAACTGAAGTAAAACAAAACAAAACGACATAACCAACCCGCATATATTAGACAATGATTAGAACAAAACGCCTCATTTCATGCTCGTCCAAATCCTCAATGTGTAGAGAAACAAATATGCCTCACGTACAAGTAAGTAATGCAATGTGTGTGTTGATAGAGTTGCCGGGGCAGACGGTCCAAGACCACGCCCGTCGATCGGCGGATAGATAAATTATCACAACCATGTGGATGCCGTGGAGTGAGAAGAAAAGTAATAAAAGTGGTGATGGAGAAGAAGGGGACATGATGGTGGTCTGGTCTAGGCTACCTGGCTGGTAGTTCTGCGACTGACTTTCGAGGCTGCCTTGGAGGGAGCGATGCTGCCGCCGCTGCCATCACCACCGGCTTTCATGGTCCGCTGAGAGGCCTTGGAGACGTTGGTAGAAACTTGGCTGACGCTGTCGCTGGGCTTGACGGGGTCGTCAAACTTCGAGTGCTTGGACACTCGGGAGGCAGGCTTCGAAGCATGCGACCGATGGGAGTAGGAGGACCGCCGGGAGTCGTCCACTTGACTGATCGAATCGTCGGGGGTGACATGGCTTTGGACATCGAGATCAACGACACTCTCGGGAAGAGGAACCTGGCGAGCCGAGACACCGGATTTGGTAGCGCTGCGGTAGGAGTTGAAGGAGGCGATAGAACCCTCCGGGACAGGGGCCTGGCGGGCAGTGCGGTTGGAAGAGGCAGTGCTGCCGGCCTGGGAACGGGTCACGGAGTGGTAGGAAGAGTGGTGGGATGAGTGATGAGAGCTATGGTGAGACTCTTGGTAGTTGGCCTTGGAGGGAGAACGGACTGTAGAGGACGAATACACACTCGCCCCGTCCATCGCCCGCGATTTGTCGTGGAAGCTGCTGACCAGGGTGTTTTGGTAGCCGCGGGGATCGGCCGGCGGGGCGTACTCGATCGCCCGCAAGGGGATATCCTTGGTGGTGTACACGCTTCCATCGGATGCCCGGCGGCCGTTCTCGTCGAGATAGACGCTGCCGCCACTGCCCCGGGGGACGAATTCGGTGCCCTCGTAGATGGTGCTGGCGCGAGGGTTCTTCGAGGTGACACTGCGAGTAAGACTGGGACGGGCGTCGGATCGCGAAGAATACACGCTCCGCGGAGGGGGAGCCTCGATGGCCCTGAAGCCGGGATATTCGTCCTGGGCCTGGGATGGTGCTTGAGACGGGGAGAGCAACTGCGCGATGTCGCGAGGAGAATACGACGGGGGCGGCGTGGTCTCAGATGCTTCCGTGGAGTCGGATTTGGTCATTGCATAAGCGAGTGCAGCGCCCGCAGCAGCACCAATCAGGGTGCCGACAATGGTTTTGGCCGTCTTGCCGTCGTCAGCCTTCTGGGTGGTAGTGTGAGTGGTGTGGTGAACGATATAGGTGGGCGATGGGGCCGGCTGGATCTCGCGGGTGATCACCGTGGGAGCCTGCTGGATATCACGACTGACAACAGACGGGGCGCGCTCCGACGGGGGAGGCAGTCTCTCGACGGCAGTCGTGGCCTTTGAAGCATACGAGCGGGCTTCAGACCTGGGGGGCGCAACGCTCTCAGGCCTGACGGAGCTGACTTTGGTGCTCGCCTTCGACACAACCGAGCCGTTCTCGAGCAACGCCAGGGCCGGCCGGGTGAGCTCAGACTTGACCTCAGACTTGGCCACGGACCGGACCTCTGATTTGACCTCTGACCGGGCCGAGGAGATGCTAGGGCGGTATACTGCCTCGATGCTGTTGCCATCGAAGTCAATGACGGCTGCGCTGTAGTAGCCGGAGTCTGAGTCGCGCTGCTTGGGCTCGCCATGGATTTTACCACCCGACTTTAGGGCATTGATGAAGAAGGCGCTCACAGCGTCCTTGGAGGTTGCGGGAAAGGCAACATGAGCGGCACCCGCAGGAACGCTAGAAGGCCGCAGTCAGTCACTATTACCAATATGAGTAGAAGTTTGGGGGGGTCACCTACCCTGGTTTTTGCTCGGTGATCCAGAAGTCTGCGGGTTCGCCGGTCTTTTGACCGAAGCCAATGTAGTCATCATGGCGCCCAATGAATTGGTACCCCAGAGGCTGTAGACAAGAAAGGAAGAATGATGTGGAGGTAGGCAGGTGGGCAACCGTCAGGGTTAGATGTGAGACAGGCATGGCTGTCTGTATGAATTCGCTGGGTAGAGCCCCCTGCGAGTTGCGGAAGTAGATATGGTCAGGGGAAGAGGTACGGAGGGGTAGCAAGAAGAGAATAAAAGAGATCTCAGATGGATGGATGGATCCACCAGCAAGACAGATCAAAGTCGATTGCAGAGTAGAAGCGAGTAAGAGATGAGGAAGATATATATATATATATATATATATACACAGAGAGAGAGACTAGAGGGACCCAAGACCATGAAATCAGGAGAGAGGAATGGGAGGGACCAGCCGAGAAGCAGCACTAGAATTTCGAGGCAAGATGCAGGCGGACCTTAGGACTCAGGAGTATGCTCCCGAAATGCCCAACTTGGGATCCAATTATGAGCGGTCAGGAGCTAACAGGGGACCAAATTAACATGGGAAAGAGACCAGTTGTTCCAATCGTGGAGCACGACTAGGCCGGTTATCGCAGGCAGTCTTGCATAGACTCGCACGGCATCCGGACGATGCCCAGTATCCGCGAGGCATCAACCTCGTCCGGGCTCTGCAGGCTGCTGCCAAAAGGGATAGGCTCGCTCCTGGCTGCTATCGGAAGGCTGCCGCCCTCTCCGACACTCAGACGACCCATGATGTTACTTTTTCGGTGAAGCTAACAACGAGGGGTACGAAGTCTCAAGATGGCCGCCAGGTCATCGTGGGGAAAGCCGGCGGACGGTGCTGTAGGTGGCCCTGTCGACGGCGGACGGGGCGCCTATCAGAAAACGGTGGGGACCAGGCAGGAGCCAAGCGCAAACAGGAGCATCTTGTCAAAAAAGTATCTCGAGTGAGGCGAGAGGGTCCAGGACAAGGTGGATGAAGGGGATTGGCAGGGGTGGAGACGACAGTTACCAAACGACTAACGAGAGAGACGCTGAAACCGCGACAGGTGCGTAGCCCGGCGCCAGCCAAGGGATTACTGGGGGGATTTCACTTGACTTTCCTGAAGACCTAAAACTATTGCAATTTGCAACGCGGGCTCACTCGGTTAGGGCCAGGGATTGGACATTGGACGCCTTGGGTGGTCACCAATCACGAGGGAACAACGAATCGCAGGCGGGCATGTCAGCAAGCAACCGTGCTGAGGGAGGGGAGTGCCACTGAGGGGCAAATCTGCTTGACCGATGGGGGGGTTTGGTGTTCCTGCTTCGGGCACATCTGCTGCTGTTAGTCGCCGGCCGGTGCGATCTGACCGCCAAATGTGCTCCATTCCAGTGACTCTGCGGCGTGGATCATCCCCTCCCCCCCCCGGTAAGTATGAGGTACCTAGGGGGCCAGGGGCATCTAGAACAACCGAACAGGAATATTTCGGAAATCACGGCGGAAGGAGGCGAACATCATGGGGCTGGTGGTCGTCCATCGGAGGAGGGCGTTGGTTGCCCCTCTGAGAGGTGGTGTTTCTGGTGACCATCAGCCAACAGCATCATCATGATCATTCGGATGATTTTGATCCTCCATTGGTCTCATGTACGGAGTAAATCCATCGAACCAAGCGGGCGATCCACCTGCTGCGATGGCTGCATGCCACGTCGAACTGGAGACTCCATCCCCAGCCACCGGCGCCACCCGATTGACTCTGGTCATCAAGTTGGAACAATCATGCTCTCCACTGAGTATTGACAGACCCTTGAGGGAGTGAGTCAGAGTTCATTTCCTCGTAACTGATTACGGGGAAGGAGAAACGGGATGGGTAGGAGACGAAGAGGAAAGTCAAACTCAGGAGTAAGGAGAGAGCCGATGTGAGAAAAGACAAACTACTCCGTAGAGAAGGAAGGTGTCAGGCACCCCGGCCTGAGGCAGTATCCCCTCCCTGCTTTGCCCTCCTGGCCCTCTCCCCAGTCCCAGTTCCATTTCTCTCCTTCCCACTTTTCCCGGTTCTTCTCTCGCGCTTCGACATTGATTCCGACCCTCTTCATGGTGCGATCGGCTCTAGTCTCCCCGTCGATGGGATTGGCTCCTTGAGGCAATAAACGTCACCACCCACCACTGCTGCGCCATGACCACGGGACTCCTCTCGGCGAATACCAACTACCAGCTACCACGACTATCGATTAGGTGCATCCACTACGGGGTCTACGACACTAACGGGCCTGCCAGTGGACCGGCTGGGATATCCACAGGCCAAGGGCGAGGGAAAACGAGGTCGAGAAGACAGGGACGAGTATCAGGGGCGCTGAATGGCGGGTTTCAAAGCCATCCGAGACCGTTCTGTTTCCTCCATTCATAGAAATATGTATCGGGTGTATTCGCGTGTATGTATGTTTGCCCCGAGTGCAGGGCGGCGACACTATACAACACCCTGCCGGGGCATTCGAGATTACAGAGCAATAGATCATCCAGATCACCCACATAGACATTGGAAATGGACCCAGACCCGCGTCAAAGACAATCGATCCTGCAGAACTCAAAACAGAGGCATCTACCAGAAGAGACCGGAGCAGGGTTGCCGCGCAGTGACCCCGGTGCCGGCCCGCCGAAAGGGGCCGCCAGTGCGTCACGAGGTCCATATATATGATGTGATCTTAGTTTCCATATCGCATCCAGCGGCCGAGCGGCGACCGCGATGCGAGGCGCGAAAAAGACACGAAAACCCATCAAGACGTGCAGATAACAGCAAGCGATGCAAATCCACCCAGGCAGAGAGAAAGTCGACAGCGCGCGGAAGACAAGTTCGTCCCCGATCTAGGACCCACTTACCGTTCTCGATCATGCCCATCCAGTGTATCAGCGCAAGGAAATTCGTCACCTCGTCAAGCTTTGGCCGTTTCTGAGAAGCGGGATAGGAGCGTCAATCGTGCCTCGCTCAGACAATATCCCACACTTCCTCGGCGGCATGGCAGAACTTGCTGCACGCAACACTCGCACTCAAGCTGTAGTTGCTGATACTGATCGTGTCATCCTTGAAGGAGTCGGCAAAATCATCGTGACCCTTGGCCATGGCACCCACGAAGATACACACGCTCTCCTTAGGGCCCAGCGACTCGATGTAGTCCCGGGTACGCACCACGGGGGCTTCGAAACTGAGGGTCACCTTACGGCAGTTGGGGGGCAGGTGGTCGGTGATGGGGTTCTTGATGACCTTCAGGAGCTTTTCCTGGGAGTTGGTGGAACGGATGGAGAGCCGGTGGAGGAGCTGGACCATCAAACCGGCGAACCGCTTGAACGTACGGGGAATGCGAACGGTGGGGTTCACTTCGATCAAAACGCCCTTGGCGGTGTGGATAAAGATCTGCAGCTTACCGGCCTTGTTCACGGGGGAGTCGAGCAGGGTGAGCAGGCACTAGAAATCAAGTATCATCAGCAACTTGCCACCAGTGCTTCTTGGCTAATGAGCCCGGGGGATCAACCGACCTGATGTGTAATATCCGGGCGAGCCTCGCTGATGTCCCGGTTCATCTTGCGCATGACACCGATGTGCTCGTCACTGTTGAGCAAGGAGTATTTCTCATCACGGCCTGAGCCGTTGCGCCCGCTCGAAGCCTTATAGGTTTCCAAGCTGGCATGGGAGAGAACAACGATCAAACGCTGGGTCTCCTTGTCATGGGCGGGGATAGGAGCATGCTGCTCCGCAACGAGCTGCGGCAATTCGGGAGGCGGGCAGGACTGCGTCCCTGCGGGTTGAGTCAGGTTAGCTACCATTTTGATGTGAATTCACCAAAAAAGAAAAAAAAAAAAATTTCCACGCAGTCGGTATTTGCGCAGCTTGAAAAATAGGGCGGTGCGATAGATGGATGTGTCTCCAAGAGGAGATATAACACAAGAACCGGAGATTTGGAAATAGAAGAGAGGCAGTGATACAGGCAATCAAATCGGGGAGTGGGGGCAGTGGTGAGAAGACTGTGAAAATAAAGACGACAGCGAAGAAGAAGAATGTTGATCTCCCGCATTGGAGATAAGGAAGAAAAGAAGGCGGGGAATGCACGAGATGCCAGAGGGACAGGGGGGGATGGCAGAGGGAGGAGGGATTATTGGGATCGAGATGAGTGAATAGGACGTCCCGATGAGACCAAACCGCGCGGTTCTAATTGGATTGCTGAACGTACTGGCTCGCTTTCTCTTCCCTGCAACCTGGAGAGGGTCCGACATGGCCTGATGTGAATTGGCGGCGGTGGTGGAGGTAGACTTGGTTCGAGAGCGGCAGAGCTTTCTGGAGTTTCTTGCTATCGACCGGGAATCGGGACCGCAACGGCAGCAGAGGGAGAAAAAGCAAAGAAAAAAAAAGACCCAAGAGCGCGAGGGAAGAGAGATGAACAATGAATGGGCTGGCGGAGTTTATAAACGATGCAGCAGCAGCTTCTGCCCCCTTCCTTATTATTCTCTCACGTTATCGCTCTGCAGCTTCCCCTCACTTGGAAAAAGAATGAGGCCGAGAAGGAAGAGGATCACGATGCTTTTTGCGAATGAAAAGTCGCCGAGAGCACGAAGGGAGTGAGACGAAGGAGCGCCGGGGTAATTCTTGGGGGCTGGACGGCTGGCGGAGTTTCGGGTTTGGGGGAGATTCGCAGCAGGAAAAACGGGCTCGGGATGGAAAAACGAGGAAAAAATTGTGGTTTGGTTCAATTGGGTTCAGTTGGGGGGTCCCGTTCCCCATTCACCACAGCCCGCCAATACGATGCTATCTTAGTCCATCAAATCACCTAATGAGAACGATGGGGGGTTGGAGTAGTAGTACTACTATATATCACTATGTACGTCAAAGGACCCCCCTAGAGCATGGCATACGCAAGTATACGCAAGTACTTGAAAGTACTTAGTCTTCCTCCCTCCCCCCCTCTGGGGCTGCAGTCTGACTACTCCGTACGCGGAGTAGGTATCTACTAGAAATCTACAGAGAGACTAGAACAGCCATCTCCAAGACTACCTAGAAGCTAATGAAAACACCGCTAGAACCAAACTGTCCCTCCCCCCCTCCCCAGCGCGGTCCAATGAACGCCCTCTCCGATCAACAGTGCATTCGACCGGCGCCTTCCCTGGCCATCATTGGCCTGCTCACCTTTCTTCACGCCAACTTCGCTCCCGTCAGCCTCGTTTGATCCCCGGACCAGGGTCGATCGAGGGGATGGGACGGCCATGCTCTCCGGAGATAGGTCAGATAACTCCTTAGCCTCTGCCGTATTCGGGGTACCAAGGCACTGTTCACTTACCAACTAAACTACTAGTAGGAGGTACGGTAGTTGGAGCCTTGGAGGACGCCGCCTCTTACTCAGACTGAAGACTCGTCTCATCACCTTGCATCCATCAAGCATCCCGCTGGGATACTCTCGGGAGTATTGAGTAGGTAGGTCATATCTCCGGTTCCCTGGTCCATGATCTCCCCCGCGGAAGGCCCCCCGTACACAATAATACCTGGAGGTGTAACCGCCATGTCGCACAGAGGCGTGACTGTCGGGCCAGTGAGAGCCCCCAATGGCCTCCTCCATCGACATCATGTCCCACCTGCCGTGGCTCGAGAAGCTCCTGGCGGCGGCATCTAGCCTGATTTGACAGCAGTCTGAGGGGATCTGGTCACGGTTCCCCGCCCCGGGGCTTGAACGGGCCTGATTAGTATATCTACACCCAGGTTGGGTTCCCTACGAGGGGCGCATAAGTTGTGCTATCTACTCCGTACTCGGGATTGAGTGATACCTTCGTGCAGGTACGAATGGGAGGGGGAGGGATCGGATGGTTCAGCTCACCACAGGCATCACTCCTGAAGGTCGGGAGCGATAGGCGATAACCATGACCCGGTGAGAAAGAGCAGAAGGGTAAAATGAGAAAAAAGCAAACACCCTTAGTAGGAAGATGATGCGCGTTCTTACGATCGGCAACTTCGATCCGGCTGTCAGGGAGTGGTTCTGATCCCAGTCAGAGGAGGGGGCCTTGTTTTGGGTGTGATGACATCGAGACCTCCTGTACTCTGTAACTCGAGACGGAAGAACCCCCATGTGGTGTGGGAGCTGACCTCCAGAGAAAGAAGAAAAGAGGGAAGAAGTTGTAGGTAGATCAAGATCACCCGGAGCCCTGTGTAGCAGTCACATCCAATCCCGGAACAAATCTGGGAACCCGAGCTGCAAGTCAATGTCTAGGGGAGGTGCCATGACATGGCCATGACCCAGTAAGGCATCACTATCGCCCAGCAAGGGCGAGGCTGGGGGCGCAGAAAAGAGGATGGCTCCCGGTCGATCTGTGAATTTGCCCCCCTCCCAAGCAACGGAGTGGATGATCCGGTATGCGGTGGAGGGGACCAACGGGAGATGCGCGATAGATAATAGAATGATTACTTGTAGAGGCCCGCAAGCTGAGGAAGAAGCGACGAGGCCTGCCACCTCAGCTACCACCGACTTGTCCGTACATAGTACTAGGTCATCCTGTGTGTTGCACCGACGAGCCTGGTTGGTTGGGGGCTCATGATATAAGGAGGCGAAGTCGGGACGGAAGATGATTCACAATGTCCACTGTCCAGGTTTTCTTTCATAAGAAGTAAGCCGGCCCTCGTCCAGTGACGGAGGATTCCCTCATTATTACTATTGTCTCTTGTCCAGTGGACCTTCATTGCCGGCACCATAGTGTTCCACACGTATCACCCGCGAGTATAATTGGATTGACTCAGGAGCCTTTTGGCATCCCGGCACGCCACCACCGACTTCAACGGGCAACTGGAGCCTGGATACGGGGATACGGAAGGGGTATATTAGCTTTGCTGATAGCTGGCTGATAGCTGCCTGGAGGGGGTGAGTGAATGAGTGAATGAGTGAGAGAGAGTGTGTGTGAGAGAGAGAGTGAGTGAGTATAAACTGAACAACATTTTCCCTTTCTGGGGGAGGAATAATAATTGAGAAGGGAGATAGATTATAATTGATCCCCAAGTGAAACAAGTGGAAGAGGGGCAGCGAGAACCTTCCTCGGAGCGTGGTGAGTGAGCAGAAGCCATCGAGAAGAATCCCGAGAGCAATATGACTGAATGGGGCCTAGCTCGGCGGTATTCACGCGTTTCCCGTCGATCGGCGACCGCCATCCGCCCTTCCCATCATAATTTCCTGGCATTCCGTCAGGCAGCTCATTCCACTGCATCATCGATCAGCGGCTCTCCCTACTTCTCCCTTCTTCTTCCCTTCTTCTCTCCCCCCCCAATAATCCAACTTGCCATAGATGCTCTACCTCGCTTGAATGCATCTTTTACATCAGAAAGGGAGATGCCGTGGACTGTGACAAATTCATTCAAGCGGTACGTGTGCTGCTACCCCTGCTCCCTGCTCCCTATCCCTTGGATTCCGCCACTAGAACTAACACGCTCCCCTCTTCCCCCCCACGCAGAGGTCTCATGATGAAAACTTACGGACGGCCCCTGTGGCGCGTCTACGACGATGACCAGCGGCCAGCGGCCAAAAAACGACGCGTTCTCTCCGACAATGATTCCGACGAGGCCGAGAACAGTCTTCAATATGCTATCCGCGAGTCCTCCGCAGCGGTCATGTCAAGCCCATCGCGTCGCAATTCGGTCCTCCTGTCCGAAGGGACACAAGAGGATGAGCTGTCGACGCCCCCATCGTCACCACCGCCCCGGCTAAGCCCCCCTCCGCCCAACACGCGCAAACCCACGTTTGCCTTCCTCAAGCGTAAACACTCCGCCACCAAGGATGTCAGCAACGCCACCCCACTCACGGAAGTCAACTCGAACAGCGTACGCGCCTCGGTGGATCCACCTAAGAAGAAAGCGCCCCAGCCGCAGCAGCCGGCTGCCTTGAAGCAAATGCAAATCGATCTGGGCCACGAAGTGCGGAGGACGTGTGCAACATGTGGCATGGAGTATGTGCCGTCGAACGCGGAGGATCTGGCTCTTCATAAGAAATTCCACGACATGAACTCGACGGGGGTGGATCTTGGGAAGGCCTTCATGCGGGCCAACGCATCGCGCTGGGTCTACGAAGCCACTCGGTTTGATGAGGGATATGTGGTCATTGTGGACCGCAAGGCATCGCCATCGGCGAAGAACCAGGCCAAGAAAGTGCTGGAGGTGATCTGCAAGGAGCTCTCCTCCCCCACGATCGACGACGAGATTCTCTGGAGCCAGACTGAACCGCCGCAACATCTACACCAAAATGCGGCGACAGAGAAGGTGGACCGGTATAAGGTGTTCCTGCACATGAAGGACAGCCGATGTGTTGGGGCGTGTTTGACGGAGCGGATCTGGGAGTCACGACCGGTCCAAAAGTCGACTACCTCGACCAGTGGACCAGACTCGTCCGTCACGGTCGGGGAAGAAACGCACCCGGCCATAGTGGGGATCTCGCGCATTTGGACGTCCGGCTCATCGCGCCGGAAGGGAATTGCCATGGATCTGCTGGACTGCGTGGTGAGCAACTTTATCTACGGGATGGAGATCCCCAAGGAACAGATCGCCTTCAGCCAACCGACGGAAAGTGGCAAGGGCCTGGCGCAGGCCTTTTTTAGCAACGACGAGTGGCATGTTTACGAGGAAAGCTAAACGACTATAGACTGAATCTGCATTGGGAGGAAGGAGGAGGGGTGGTGATTGTTTTCGTGATACACGGGCGAGTTGATACCCAGGCTTTCTCGGGCATTGACCTTTGAGGGAGGACTACTGTGATGACCATTTGATTGCACCGTTGATTCAATTTTTAATTCTATGTATAACTGGAGAGGTGTTTTTGGGAGGGTTCGTTGGGTTCCGCGTGGGTGGGTACTATGCGACTTATACCTACCTATCTACCATTCTTCACTGTACCATATATACCTTTATTTCTTCTTTTTTTTTTATTTTTCATCTTCTATTGTGTCTTTTTTTTTTTTTGACAATTTTGGGAACAGAGACTAGGGAAAGTATGAGACACACACACACACACACACACACAGAGAGAGAGAGAGAGAGAGAGAGAGAGAGAGAGGAGGGGAAATTGCAGGCCAGAATGCAGCATTGGAGAAGAGTCAAAGTGATTGATTGCATGCGTGGTACATGGTAGTAGTAGTTTAATCGTAGGGATTGGATGTAGTACGGAGTCGAGGCCGAGGAACCTTAGAATGAACCTTAGTTGTTGACGGCCGAAAGTCGACCTCCCTTTTCTTCCTCGCCAACCCAACCTTCCCTCCCAACAATCCTTCCCTTTCCTCCTTTCCTGCTCTCATGGTCAGTGCTGCCCTTCTCCTCCTTCGCGATGTCTGGATCAAATCCTTTCCGCCTTAAGAAGCCCGAGAGTGAGTCCGTCCGACGGTTCCGGTTCCTGCGCACCGTCCGTCGCGTGCTGGTCGGACGAGATGGACTGAGCTGAGCTGAGCTGAACTGAGCTGAGCTGAACCTACCTGGAGACTGCTGACTGTCCATCCCAGATGCCTTCGCGCCTCCCAATCCCAATCCCTCCCTCCCCTCGTATCCCTCGACCTCCTCGAAACCCCCCGCCGTGACCTTCCCTTCGATGCCCTTCCAGTTCCGCCCCGTCGCTCAAACCCCTCCAGCTTCTCTGACCCCGGATCTCGACGACACGGCCTCCTCCGATGACCAGTCCGTCTCGGACCCGTTCCACCAGCCCTCGTATGCGACCGATGAGGCCGATGAGGATGCAGAGGAGGATGAGCAGCCGGATGTCGATGATCTGAATCCCAAACGCACCTACCAGGTCGCTCAACCGCCTCCCGGGGCCGATGATCGCTCCCAGCCATCGATCAGGACCGTTCCAGACCCAGCCTTATCCTCCAGGGGACCCGCGCCGCCTGCAGCTGTCACAGCCCCAGTGCAGAGGAGCATCCACAACCCTCCAGTAGACCTGGAGCAGGTCGGGCCATCGCGAGAGAGCGCGCCCGTAGCTGGGTCGACCGTGTCGACTCGCTCCTTTACGTCTTATGGGGGCACCCGGACGCCCGACAGTAGCTCAACGGATGTATCTCGACCGTCCGACCTGCGTCCTGCACCAGCTAGTCGTGCTGGGTCGGGCTTGCCCCTATCATCAGACATATGTTCACGCCCTCTCGCCAGCCGCCCGGGCAATAGGGACAGGATACCACCCCCTCCGCCCAAGAGTCATCACGGGAAACGGATCGCCCTAAGCCCCGGCATCGCGCCCGCTCTCACCCAAACCACCCCCGGCAAGTCTACCAGCCGGTTCTCCTTCCATGGCTCCCCGTCTGAGCCTTCATACTCCCGCCGACCCTCCCAGTCGGGGTCGGACTATTTCTCAGCCCAGCCCAGGGACGAGCCAGCCCCGCCGCAGCCGGCAGAGTCCCTCCGGCGCAGTCAGTCACAGAACAAGCGGCCACCAACGCCCCCGCTCAGTAGACGACACAGTCAGATGAGACGGTCAAAGACCACAATGTCTAAAGTCAACCCATTGCGGCTCTCCATTCATGCGGCACAGGAGTCCACTGCTGCGTCGTCGCCGCCCCCTAGTCCGGGCTCCTGGTCCTTGAATCCGGCACGAACGCGGGAGTCCCGCACGGGTAGTACACCATCCGAAGAGCCTATGGACTCAGCAACCTCGTCCTTGCGCCCTGAGCCATCGTCCGCTACTCCTGCTGCTGCTACTCCGTTATCGCCCACGGAGCTATCGCCATCGACACCAGCAGGCACGTCGACAAAGCGGACCTCGCTATACAACCCCCTACCCCCACCTCCGCCGCCGCGACGCTCCCGTGGATCGAGCAACCACAGCAACGATAGCAGTGGACTCAGTCTCCGATCAGGGAAACCAGTCGACAAGATACCTACGGCAGCGGCACCAGTCCCGGCGGAGGTCGAGTTCATCCCACACCCATCGAATGCCAATGACATCCTGGCCGATTTGACCCGGCTCCAGAAGGAGGTAGACGACTTGCGCGGGCATTACGAGAGCCGAAAGGCCAGCGAATAGTCATATATCCTTTCGTTGCGGTAAGTGGGATAGGAATCGTAACCGGGGAAGTGTGTGTCAATAAATACAGGCACGTGAACGAGTGATGAAGCATAGCGCTGTTCTTTTTCTTCTGGAGTACTACTTATTTTTTATTTCATTTTTTTTTTTTTGCATCCATGTACGCACGGGTCATTATGATCTTTATGAGAATCCTCTTATCTTGGTATTCATTCTTTGGAGTCTGAGGGTTACTCAGTAAAACTCGGAGTAAAGTAGCCAGTCCATGACTACTATAGCATAGTCTCCGTCCTAGTATTAATATGTAGATAGGACAGTTCGTGAAATCTATGGACGTGACATTATTTTCTGGTCTTCTATTGAGGTGGTCAGGCCGTCTCTCTTCTACTGTGTGATTTATGCTATATATTTCATACACCCACCCCCAACACACACCAAAAATCACGTCGTTGGCTAAGGAGGAGGAGAGACTATCCCAAGTACAACTCTAGCGGCAAATCATGATACATCTGATAATCCAACTCCACGCTCCATTCCAAAACAAAGAACTTGACTAGCGCCACAACAGCCATGGAACTGAGCCCTTCACTACCACTATTATTGCCACCGGGACCGGAAGTAAAACTGTCATCTGATATTACCGAGGGAGAAAGAGGGCTAAGAGGAGTAGGTTCAACCCTCCAGAACATCGTCTCATCGTACGATGTTATGTCTTCGCGACTTTCGCACCAGACTGCCGCAATATCCGTGACGATGCGGACCGCATCGCCGGAATTGCCGCTCCCGGCTAACACGGCACCCGCGGCCATGTCGGCCATGCTGCCGTCTTGGACGAACTGCGCGTCCCAGCCCCGGGCGATGAGTCGGTCTGGCCGGGTGGAGACCGTAGAACGGAGGGTTTGCGCGAGTTGGCTGCGGTGGTGGTTCATGCGCGGCTTGGCGAAGGCGATGAGAATGTCCCGCAGCCCCCGGTGAATGGACCAGGAGAGAGACGTCCAGGGGAGGTAGTCGAGGCAGTTGTTGAGGATGGTGGCTTCGTTGGGAAGGATGTAGAGGGTTACTGGGTCTTGGTTGCTGTTTTGGTGTCGGGGATTGGCTTCACTACTGGGGAGGGAGAGGATGGTGATTGGTTCTGCGATTGGGCTGGCTTCGTCGTCGGCGAGGGGCTTCATGAATAGGAAGTCGACTTCATTGACGTTGCCCCCAATCATGTTATAGAGATGTCTGCTGCCATGGGCGCCGCCGAAGCCTCGGACGGTGTGTTCCAGAATCCATGTCCCGGATGCTTTGCGTCCAGGAAAGGCGCATTTGAATGGCGTGGATGGTACCGATGCAGGACTTTCAATTACGCCGGCTAGCATGCGCAGACAACGGTCGACTCGTAATTCGAATGCGGGGGGATAGACGTCTTTGTTCAGCATGAGTGAATCATGCGCTGCGAAGTGGACGTGTGCGGCATCTCCTATCGGCCATTCCACGTACCATTGTCCGCAGTAGGAGGCGTAGGCGGCCCGATGGCCGGATGCACTGCTGTGACGGAAGACAGGTCTGGCATTGGTCACGGTGAACAGAGCCATGAGGGTTGCGCGAGAAATGACCGTACAAGCGGTCAGTTTGTGCTTTGTAAGAGGTCCCCGAGGCAGACTGTCCCATGTTGGCAGCTGGATAGGTGGTTCTCCAGAAATGGTCAGGATGTGTTCTGCTTTTGCGGTGCTTCGGCCAGACAGTAGTGATCCCGTCTGGTGGTCCTCGTTGGAAGCAGCAGCAGATGGATGGATGGCGTTGAGCAGGACTGAGCAGGACTGACCAGGCAGCCTTGCCGGTTGGCTGCGTGAGCGGCCGGCGACTGACATGGACAGTCTTCCTGCCACAGAGACCAGACGGCAGGTTGGCGCTGATTACCGGCCCCACGAGAGGGGGCTTCACGACCCTATACCATGGAATGTGTGGTTGCCAAAACCGCCAGCGACCCAGGTGTCGTACGTCTCGCAGGAATGAAACGGGTCTGTCTGATCGATGATCGTCCCAAACTGGGCGACGATGGAGCCCAGCCCTACCACCGTGACGGCGAGGGAGAGCCAGGTAGCCACGGTTGACGAGACATCCATTCGAAGGCTTAACCCAGCAAGCAGCTGGGCGAGGGTGTTTCTGACAGGCATCGAAAAGGAACTCATGACCTCTGGAGGGGTCTGGGGTATGTATGTTGGAGAGAAGATGATGGGCTGTTGCGCTAATGCACCTGAGCGCTTCGACCGCCAACCATCACCGCCGCCATCGAAGGATCCGAGCGACATCAGCTTGGGCTCATGTAGCTGTTTGCACTTTGAGTCTCTCTCTATGAGACGCCCCAGATCCTGCCGCGTGTTGTCACACAGATAAAATGACTACGTTGGTTGAAGACAGGAGTATAGTGTGTATAAGGCTTTAGGACGAGCGATCGGACCATGGCGCCCATATTGCGATCATTTCTCGACTCTGTCAAGACGTGGCCAGATCTCATACCAGCATCGTTGTTGAACAGCTTGATGACTACCAGTTGCGAGGCAGTAACCCAGTCGCTAGAAAATGGAGTCCGCCACCGGTAATGATCGATTATCCTGGGCCAAAACCGGGCATGCAAGAGTGTACAGGCAGTGGCGCAGTGGCGCGCCCTACTTTCTTCCGGCCTTCTCCTCGAGACCCATTGTCAGAAAACCTGCGAGCACAGCAGCACATCCTCCAAGTCTCATCACCCAGCCCGTGCTAGTGTCCCAAGGCTCCCCTCGTGGCTTCTGCAGCGCCTTGAAGATGAGGCTGCCGACAGCACTGGAAACGATCTGAGGAAAGGAAATTGCGACGTTGTGCAGCCCAAGAACGACTCCAGCTTGGTTTGCCCCTTCGTTGCCCGCGTCCCTCGATTCATCAGCCCCTTCGCTGTACGGGAGAATACTTGACCCTTCAGCCTCGCTAAATCTTCCTCGGTAATTCTGAGTTGGCCGCCCAGGGTCTTCCTGTGCGATCTCAGATGAGATGAGAGCATATGGCGCCCAGGCTGTGACGGCCCAGGTAATGCCAATGGCCCCTGTCATCACCGATGCCTGTCCGGGAGACGATATAACGAAGGTGCTAAGCATACAGATAGAAAACAGAAAATGAGAGAGAAGCCATGCGCGCCGCAGCGTAAACCCAGGGATCCGAAGCTTTAAGTGTGACCTGCTTGAGCCAGTGCTTTCTTGAGCTGCCATCTGCCTCTCTGAAGGAACAACTAGTAGCGGCAGAATAACACTTGCTGCGAAAGACACAAGTGCGTTTACGAGCAGGGCCAAGGTACCGATGCGTGTAGCTTCTTCCCACACCTTGTTGACCTCATCGTCTGATAGATCACGGTGCATATCAAAAATAGGGTTCACATATAGTTGCCCTATGTATGTGGTGGCGTAGAATAAGAATGAGAACCATCCGAACCATGCTGCGGCCTGGATTATATAGACCTTACGTATACGCAAGGGGAGACCGTGGACAGAGGCTTTGATAGACTGGAGCAATGAGATAAGACCCAGTCCTGCATATGTCAATGGCTCCGCGCGTGGATCTTTTTCCTCGATATAAGAGCAGCTGATGGACAAGGTGATTGCCAGAAATACACTGGCGATGACACTAATCGCCTTAAACTGGGTATTCCAGAGAAAGGGAAGGGCCCTTGGCAGATCCATACCGCCGATTATAAAGCCTAAAATGTTCCCTGCGCTAACATGACGGCTTGCCCAGGCATTTGCCGTCTCCTGCTGATGAGCAGGGGCGTTATCAACGATGAACGCCCGGGTTGCTGCTTGAACTGTGATAGGGGGTCAGCTTCGCGTCTGAGAAAGAAGAGTGCCCAGATTAGGCTGAAGCGTATACCAGTATTGATAGAAAAGTCTTGACAGTACATCAAGAGGGTTGCAGCGATGATCACTGCGGTTTTAGCTCCAGCTGTCTGAGCATCGATGCCGAGGAGGCCAATTATGCTGCCAACTATTTCTCGCACCCATGCCAGCGCCAACAGGCAGATGGCCAGGAGTGCTCCACCAAATACCATAAACGGCTTCCTCTTTCCCCAGGAGATGCGGCAATTGTCACTTCGGATGCCAATGTAAGGCTGCACGAGAGTACCTGTAAGGGGCCCCGCGATCCAGACAAATGCGAGCAATGCTTTGCTCATCCCTAGAGACAGCAGATATGGCTACAGGAGAAGGAGAAGCAATGTTAGATTAGTGGCCAATACTCGCCTTCATATGGGGTTCAAACTCACCGATCCACTGGAATGCTGGATTGAGTAGACAATCTGGAGACTAGGCGACAAGTTAATGAGGCCGACTGGCGGACCTTGTGCAGCCAATGACTCACCCTCCCATGGCCAGGGTCAGTATGAAGAGATAACCACTACTCCTGGATGTCTCGTTGGTGTTCCGTTGACCTGCCAGGATATTCAAATCTGCCCCAGTCCGTCCATGACGGATTAGAGGCTCCGCCTCATTGCCGCGCTCCGTCATCAGACCAGGCAATCAGGTCTTTATTGGGTTTCCTAGTAGCGGGGTAAAAGATAAAGTGTTTCGCTGCCAGTGAGTTAGTGTTTTTTTGATAATAGGAGACCTAGAAGGGATCCTGGCAAGCCGGTGATGGATAGAAGGAGGTGTTTACTTTCTCAGAGGGAGTAGAATCAGTAGATAGATCGGGCTGACCGCCTAAAGGACCGGAAAGGGGAAAGGATCGGCCCAGTTTATAGATAGCATCCTTTGCACCCACGTTATTGATAAAGGCATTCATTTGAAAAGTACGGAGTAAGTATGTTGACAGACTATCCTACAGCTAACAGACATCAAAATTGTACGAGTCCTTGCATCTACAAAATGTGGGAGTGGAAACCAGTACCTACATATCTACATCGATAGGGATAAAGCATGCTCCGCAGGTAATACCGGTACCAGATCCGAGCCCCGACAGGGCGGAACCAATATCTGTCTAGTAGTGTCTACCACGACGCTTTCTTCGGTCGTGAAGAACCCCCATGAAATTGAATCAGGCCTCCCGAGGTTATTCTTCCATGTCCGATCCCTGACTAATGCTGCACTCGCGATAAGGATAAGAATGGAGATATCGCTAGGACGAAGCCGGTTAGGCTTGCCGTGATGATGCGAGGCACCCCTCGCGCCATCTCCCCTCTTCTGCGTCTTACTCCCGAGATAGCGACAGCCCGTCCTCAGAGTTGAAAGCGCAAGCAGCCATTTGCCAGAGTCAACCACTACGGGTGCCAGCCGTGTTCTCAACGTTGCACCATCATCCGCAACCCTGATAGTCATCTATCTATATTTTATAGGTCATGGCCCACAACAGCGGCGTTCCCCGCATCACGGATGCGACAAGAGGTACATGCCAACGACGACCTTGGAGAGCACTCAGAGCTAACCTTCCCTTCCCAGTGTGGACCACTCTCATCACAAATACTGCCTACCTGTCCGGGCTTCTGACCCTGGAGTATTCACTGCGCAAAGTAGGGTCAAAATATCCGCTGGTAGCCCTCTACACCGACGCCTTCCCTGCTGAGGGCCATGCTGCGCTTGATGCTCGGGGGATCTTGAAGCAGCGTGTTCCCTATCTTCTTCCATCGGTACCCAAAGACTACGTTAATGATGTGCGGTTCTATGACTGCTGGAGCAAGCTCACGGCCTTCTCTCTGGTGGAGTATGAGCGCGTCGTGCAGCTAGACAGTGACATGATGGTTCTCCGGAATATGGACGAGCTGATGGAAATCGAACTGGACCCGCCAGCCCTGGCCGGGACAGGGAACCGGGTCTTTGCTTCCAGCCACGCCTGTGTCTGTAATCCGCTGCAGAAGCCGCACTACCCTCAGGATTGGTATGAACTCACTCTTGCCCCCCAAACCTGCAGGAAAGATGCAACTTTCCTAAGGATTACTGACTAATGCACCATCGTACAGGACCCCATCCAACTGTGCGTACACTTCACAGCATGCGGCATCTGACGTCGCTCAGACAGAGGGTGCGTCACCCACTATCGGCTTGGGGATATCAAACGGCGGTCTCCTGGTGGTCAACCCATCCAAAGAAGTCTATGATAAGATCATCTCGCAACTCGCCTCGACCGCGACATCAAACTACGAATTCGCCGACCAATCCTTGCTGTCGGACGTGTTCTTTGGGCGTTGGGTTGCGTTGCCATATGTGTACAATGCCCTCAAGACCATGCGGTGGGAGGGGGTGCATGATGCGATCTGGCGGGACGAGAGCGTCAAGAATATGCACTATCTTCTGAGCCCGAAACCCTGGGATGAGAGTGAGGATATCCGGACAGGTCGCAAAGCTCGACTCAGCCGAGATGCGCCGCATACATGGTGGTGGGAGATGACGGAGGAGAGAGTAAAGGAGGAAAAGGCAAAAGGAGTCAATGACCGGTTCTAAAGGCCATGTGGAGAATCTGGACCACAGTGGCACCGTGTAGACCTGTCACAACGCAATATCAATGGTACTACTTTCGTACTATGTACTATTTACATGAATAGATGGAAGTGGAATTTACCAAGCATTGTCCGGTTCCAGACAGGGGGAACTGGCTGTCAGGCTGCCAGGCTGCATTCGGAACCCGCCAATTCAGGCTCCCAGGTGTTGAGCCCCGCGCCGCAGCCTGATTGGCCGGGGAGCGACTGGCGGCGGGGATGACGTCAGGGGCCGCCTGGGCGGGACTAGTACTGATTGGATTGTATGCATCGTCCAGCTTCACCACCACCAGGGGAAATGCGCCCAGCGACCGCGGGGAACTTGCCTGGCTTTCCGAAACATCCCCCTAGAAGGCGCATGGAATGGACCTGCATTAAGGCTAGGACCCGCGAGATCGAAAGGAGGCAAACCTACTTCAGCAGTTCAGTGGCTCTGGCCCACCGGCAGCCTCACTTTCACTGACCCGTTCATTCATTGACTTCCATACTCCCTGAACGACCTGCCGTACTCCAGGCTGCTGCTACCAAACCTTAAAAGGCCCATGGCAATCCCCCCAATCCGACCACCGTTACGCGACTTTGTACATCTCGAATGATAGCGCAATTCACGGCCCCGCAGATCGCCCCCGTCTTTTGGATTCATCCTTATCGCCTCGCAACCAGATCGACCTTCTGACCGCTACCTCTTCTCTAATTGTCTTTCTTTTCCCATCTGTTCATCCCTAAGCCTGACTTTGAGCTGGCGGAGACCCTGCCCTACGGTTTGCGCACACCACCTACATTCGAGCTTTGTCAGGGCAAAAATGACTACCCCGACTCTGATCAACCTTCCTCCCCCGCCGTCTGACCCGGTGACTCCATCGGACATGGGCCCGTAAGCTATCCGGCTTCTTTAAACGTCTATTCTGGTTTTCCTATTGCCTTTTCATCCCCTCTTTATACCTGCACCGAGTCAAGCTGACAAGAAGCTCGCGACTCATCAGGGGGACCCCCAATTCGGGCACAACGTCGTTGTCGGCATTGTCTACAACCGCCATCAAGGATGGCCACCAAGGCCAGCCTCTCCCCCACGGTCGCCATGCCCACCACGCCCATTCTGCATCCTCCACATCTACCACGACCCTGGAAGCAGAGCGCGCCGACCGTATCTCTCGCCTAGCCGGCCTAGAACGGGTGGCCACTGCCCGGGCGGGCGGCACACCTCAGCCCAGTGGCATGGTACCGGTGACTCAGTATCCCGGATACTTCGACAGTGGCCCAGGCATCAAGGAGAGAAGCACGGTAGGTAGCGCCAGTGCAACGGGCAGCATAGGGGCCCGCACGACGTGGGCGAGCGGCAGTGATGCCTTTGATGCGGACCGAATGAGTGAGTACCCGGAGGATGGGACGTCGAGCGTGGGTAACTTCAGTGATGAAGGGGACAACAGCCTGGTCGCATTTGGAGAAGGGGCCAGTACTATCAGTGGGCCGACTTCGCATCCACTGCTGAACCGGACATCATCGGGACATCGACCGAGTTCGTTGGGCAGCCCTGGAGTGAGCCGCGCGAACCCTTTCGCATCCCATCTCCAGCACTCTGGGGAGGGGCCGATGATGCTGTCAGCCCAGTCGCCCACTGGATCCGTCACGCCCGAACCTACACAGGATGCACGGATGGTGGATGGGATGACCTATGATTCAAATGTGGTTGACACCACCGTGAGGACCCCGCGGTTGGCCACTCCCGCTCAGGGTGGCGAACCAACCGACTACTAACTAGTCGGGGGCGCGGATAAAAAAAAAAAAAAAAAAAAAAAAGAAACGGACGAAAAGGACTATGGGCGTTTCTCCGGGGACTCTGGTTTTTAATGATTTTTTTGCTTCTAATCGGCCTGGGGTCTTTGGAAATGTAATTGTACGGGAAAGAATGGGACACAACCTATGCTGGGATAGGAGAGGTGGGGGGAAGGTGGCTTTTCGTAGACTCTGGGCTATTGAAACTTGGGACAATGGGAGATGGACAACATTTGCAGCGAAAATGAATTGTAGGATAGCTAGCGACGCGTGATTTGTTTTCTTTTTTTGTTTTTCCCGATAATTTTCTTAAGAAATGAAGGTTCTTCAGATATCTATCAGACAGCCACTAGGCACGACTAGGATCTCCATCCCGACCGGAGGCAGATTGAAACAATGACGAATCGGGAGAATCTTCGTTCAAGGCTGGACGGCAAGGCGAGTCTAGACCCGGTTCATCTCTTCTTCTTCTTCCTCTTCTTCCTTCTCCACCAAGAGATCCTCGAGATCCTCGAGATCTTTGAGACGGGCGGGTCACGTCCTTCACCATAACTGAAGTGCACAAGTAAGAAAAGAAGAAGACCGACAGGTTTGGGGCAAGAAAATGGGCAGCTGTTGCAGGACTGGGGCCGAGACCGCCCAATGGGAGGGGCCCATCGCGGCCTTAGAGCCTCTCTGGGCCTCTCCCCAAGTCTTCTGCTCGCCTTTCTCTTCTTCTTCTTCTTCCTCTCTTCTCTTCTCTTCTCTCTTCTCTCCTCCTTCTCCTCTTCTTCTTCTCGTTCCTCCTCTTCTTCGCCTCCCACCCCTTCGTCCTTCCCCCGACCCCGACCGTCTTCCTGTCCCTGTCATTGCTGGCATTGACTTGTCAAGCATCGAGAATCCCTTTGGACCGGAGACTCGACTGAGGCATTCGTTCTATCCCGCCAAGCTTCGCTGCCAATCCGCCGTCTTTGTGTGTGTGTCGCGGCCTCCAAACCCCCCCAAACATCTCGCCACGCTTCACGTCTCTGTCAATCTTCCCGTCTTCCCCTCGATCGATCTTCTTTAGATTGTCTGGAGAACTCCCGTGGAATTTTTCTGCTACCCTGTTACACAACCTAAGTGGCGGGGAACGTTTCACATTAGCACTGGGTCCCCTAGGATTTGTGGAATTTCCTGGGCCATCGCATCACCATCCGCACGCGCAATTAGCTACTTTGGTGGCTTTCGTGAAATCGGGTTTCGTCCGACCAACGTGAACGTTGAGAGATTCAAAATGGCAGCTCCTACCCAGCTTGCTTGTGAGTGTGCTCCTGCTCCCCTCTTCCCCAATCACCCCCTTCACCTGGGCGAGCTCTCCGATCTAGTCTTTCATATAGTGGTTTGGGGACCTCTGATGGCTTGAGGGCATGGCTAATTGGGTTCAGACCGTACGGTTAAGGGCATTGGCATCTTAGATGCGGCCCCAGTTTATGAGCCTTTGTCGGGGTTCGAAAAGTATGCATTATAAATAAACCCCACGAATCTTTCCCTGCCGTGTATAGTTACTGATCGCATGTTGTTGTGTTACAGGCCCGAAGGAAACCTTCGTTGTAGTGCTTATTCTCCCTGTGGTCGTTATTTCGCATGGGCTTCCCCGGAGAAGTATGATACCTGACCTCCACCGAATGAAAGCAGGAGACTTACAGGTTGTCCACTAGGGTCACTATCGTCGATCCTTCTGTCGGAACTATTGTTTCCACGATCACTGCCGACAACGTCTTCGAGCTAGGATTCTCGCCGCTCGGGACCTACCTGATCACCTGGCAACGCCCCACGAAGGACGCCAACGGCGATACCACCAAGAACCTGAAGGTCTGGCAGGTTGTGCAGTCGTCTTCCGACAGCAACGGAGATGCGAACGTGGTTGTGGGCAGCTTCGTCCAGAAATCGCAGACCGGCTGGAATCTTCAATACACCTCCGATGAGCGTTACTGTGCGCGGGTCGTCACCAACGAGGTTCAATTTTATCAGAGCGAGAACCTGTCTCAGGTCTGGAACAAACTGCGTGTGGAGGGGGTTACCGACTTTGCAGTCGCGCCCGGCAAGAACCATTCTGTGGCCGTTTTCATCCCCGAGCGTAAGGTATGTGAAATAGAAGTGATACTTGCTGTTATGAGTATGTTATTCTCCAGGGCTGACAGATTCCTTGCTGTTTAGGGCCAACCCGCTGCCGTCAAGGTCTTCTTGGTGCCTCAGTTTGGATCGCCGGTCTCGCAGAAGACCTTCTTCAAGGGCGACAAGGTCCAGCTGAAGTGGAACGAGCAGGGCACAACTTTGATCGTGCTCGCGCAGACGGACGTGGATCGGTCGGGCAAGAGTTACTACGGCGAGACGACTCTCTACCTGCTTAGTGCTGGTGGTGGCTTTGACTCCCGTGTGGATCTGGGTACGTGATATGCAGATGCAGCATCGGTCAAAGATGAAACATACTAACAGTCGAGTAGACAAGGAGGGCCCTATTCACGATGTGACCTGGTCTCCCAACTCCAAGGAGTTCGGTGTGGTATACGGCTACATGCCGGCAAAGACTACAATCTTCAACTTCCGTGGTGTACCCAAGCATACCTTTGCTCTGGCGCCCCGGAACACGATCCTTTTCTCGCCCCACGGACGGTTTGTGCTGGTGGCCGGTTTCGGTAACCTGGCGGGCCAGATGGACATCTACGACATGGACAAGAACTTTCATAAGATCGCCACCGTCGAAGCCTCTAATGCCAGCGTGTGTAACTGGTCGCCCGATGGCCAGTACATCTTGACGGCCACTACCAGTCCTCGCCTGAGGGTTGACAATGGCGTCCGTATCTGGCATGTCAGCGGCGCTCTGATGTACAACGAAGAGATGCACGAGCTCTACGATGTGGCCTGGCGGCCCCAGTCGCTCACCCAACATCCCCTGGGCGACCCGTTCAACCCCCTTCCGACCCCACACCCTTCTGCTGCCGCCTATCTGAGCACCAAGAAAGCCCCGGTGAAGCCCGCGGGTGCGTATCGTCCTCCCGGTGCCCGTGGTCAGCTCACCCCCCTCGCGTTCAAGCGCGAGGACCAGGGTGGCGCGGTCTTTATCCGGGATGGTGCCAGCGGCGGTGCCACCGTTCACACTACGAATGGATTCGGCAGAACGCGCAGACGTGAGGTCCCCGGTGCCGAGCCGGCCGAGGAATTCCTGCCTCCGGGAGCCGCTCCTGGAGGAGGCGTTGCTCTGCCCCCCGGTGCCGACCAACCGGAGAAGCTGTCCAAGTCGGCCGCGCGCAACAAGAAGAAGCGTGAGGCCAAGAAGCAGAAGGACGGCGAGGACGAAGAGGCCAGCCCCAACCGTCGCGGCGACAAGGGCCATCATGAGCGCAACCGGTCCAAGGGCCAGAATGAGCGTAAGAATGGTGGCCAAGCCAATGGTGCGGCGCCCTCGGCCAAGGCGAATGCTAATGCTAGCAACGCTGCTGCTGCTGCTGCCGCTGCCGCGGCGGCGGCTGAGGCTGCAGCCGACGCGAGCGGTGCTCCTACTGCGCAGGACAAGAAGATTCGCGGGCTTCTGAAGAAGATCCGGGCGATCGACGAGCTGAAAATGCGTCTTGCCGGTGGCGAGAAGCTCGAGGACACGCAGATGAAGAAGATTCAAACCGAGGAGGCGGTACGCAAGGAGTTGGACGGCCTGGGCTTCAGCGGATAAATACGCGCCATTTGGTCATGACTATGGATACACCCATTTGGAAATATGCGCACAGATTAGCGGCTTTGGCGTTTTCCTGTTTTATCGACTGGTCCAGGCTTCTGCCTGACTGCCTGTATGTACATATTGTCCAGTGGATGGTCTGGTCTGTCTGCTGTGGAGTTAGAATCTTCTGTGATTTGGATGTTGTTGAGAAGATCTCTGGGGATGGCGTGTTAAGAGGTGCCTCATGCAAGAGTGTCTTATCTACTGACCATGTATATTGTATATACATACACTGAAAGAGCCAAGAAAAGAATATTGATGTTACTATCCTCCTACCTTTACTCCATTCCTTCCTCTCTTCGGTAAGCAGTAACGGATGAATGCCATTACCGTTCTGTCACATGCGTCTCTGAAGGATTAAGGGCGAAACAATGAAGTGGATGATCTCAATGAACTATCAATGGATTGTTGTATCTACAAACTACGTCTCCTCATGACTATATAGCTATACGTACGATAGACGATCTGTACGTGTGGAGATTTACTCGGATGTTCCCATCGATACCAATTCACTTCTCCCCCCCAAACCCCAAGTCGGCTGGCCTCTCAATCTACTCACAACTGATACTGATGTGGCAACTTCCATGGCCGTCCAGGATAGGATCAGTTCCTATGCCTCTTACTGAAGCCACCCCATCCAATACGGCAGCACCGGATAAAGATGACCCAATGAGTAGGTAAAAAGAGTTATTGAATCCCATCCTTTGCGAGAACGCATGGACAGACAGACAGATAGATCAGCATCAGCCATGAGGAAGAGGGAGGGCAGGAGCAGAGAACTCATCCCGGACGTTAGGGACTAGAGGGTTGGGTTTGATTGACCCGGTTGGTGGATTGATTGTCCTGAGCCAGGACGGGTGATGAATGGGATGAGTAGGCAAGGATGCCCGTGATTGATGTCTCGCAGCCGATACAGAGCTTATCCCCTCGATCATCTCAGACGTACGCAGAGGCGTAGGTATGTAAGACGACCGAAGGGATTTCAAGGCATGGACCTCGCCTTGCGCTCCACCTTGCAGCGCGAATTGGGGTTACAGACGAAGGAAGAGGAAAGCGAAGTATGAGGAAGGGACGGTGTTTGATGATGGGTATCTCTGTTCTTGATCTCAGCTTCATTGTTAGGAACATGTTTGGGAGGAGTCATGCGGCTGCACACAACGCTGATGCTTCAATTTGATGCTGTAAAGGATTGATGTTGCTGTTGTGCTGATGATGTCGTCTGCCTAAGTAAAGATCCGCGCGCGCTTGATTGGGCTCCCTATGCGGAGGGATCGCTTCGTGCTGGCCATGCCACTCAGTAGCCGGTCCATTCCGTCAACACCGAGCTGTCCCTTTTGAAGCATCTGCTGATCCGTTTCCGTAGTCAACGTTTCAACGAGTGGCGCTCGAGGGATAGGGGCGGGCTGTGGCTCAGTTAGTCTCGGGGCGAGAATCACCACCCGGTGTTCGGCGGTTAGAAGCATATCGAAGCTTTGCCCGCAAGTATGGCGGGAGGCCGCCGGGAGGTGTCCGATTCCTTTCAAGCGTTCTCCCATCAACGATATATCTTGGATGGGAGAGACCCGGCAGCGATTGGACGCATCGAACGTGCCACTGGCCTTGACGGTGTTGCGCCACAAAGATAGTAGACTGGGGATGACCGCGCTTTGGTCGCCATGCTGCAGCAAGATCGATTCATCGGGCAGTGCATCCTTCCAGGAGTTAGTCTGGTACACCGAGATAGCTCCACTAAGGGAAGGGCTGGCTGTTCCAGTGGAGCCGCCCTTTAGCAATGTATCTTCACGCAACCGTTTCGTAGATGGTGTCAAGGGCGCGAACCTGGGTCGTTGTTCGAAGGTTGGTCCACTCATCTCGGAACGGCTGGCGCCAGGCAAAGGGCTCAAGATCCGACCGCTGACGGAAAACGCGGTCAAAGAACCTCCAGTCACCCCCTGCACACTGGACTGACGCTGAAGTGGGCCTTTGATGGTCCCAGGGCCGGCCCCCTCGATATCCCAGACCCCCCATTCCCCATCTGACGTCAGGACCAAGATGGCACGTCCCCCGAGCACCCATTCCGCGTTGATGATGGTTTTCCGCCGCGCGAGTCCCGAAGCAGACTGCTCAAAACCAGGGTAAAGACTGATCAACCACCTGCCTTCCGTCTCTGACGTCTCAAAGTCGCTCTGGGGAGCGGACGACCTTCGCGAGGCCTTGAGTGGCTTCACAGTGAAGCAGGAGTATATCTTGAGACACCCGCTATGGAATGCGACAAGCAACGTGGAGTGTCGTGGTGCTGGGTAGCCGGACGGATTGAATGAGACGTTCACCGCAGGGGCTGGCAAGTACCGTCGCCTAGTCTCAATTTCATCATCGCGCAGATGATATACAGCACCGCTCGCCGTTTCCTCCTCTGTAATCGGGATCCGATGGACGATGAGAAGACCCGACGATTCGGCAGAATGTGTTGCGACGAGAAGATCCCACCTGCCTGTGCTCGAGCGGGATGCACCTTGGGTTCGAGAAGAATCCTGATCCTGTTGATCGAATTCCTGATAGGTAAAGGTCGCACTGACTCCCCTGGGTGTCTCCTGGTGAGAAACTCCGCCGCTGATTGAGACCGTCTGGATTCCAATTTCACTCTGCGTAGGGTGGGGGGGCAACAGAGGCAGAGTTACGATGCGGGTAGAATAGTCTGCGCACACAGCTGCGACAACAATGTCCTTCGTCAAGGCTGGGGGAAATGGATCGAGCGAGGAGCGCGCTGTTTCGGGTAGGATGCGAGGTACAGCCAGTTCGAGTACTCTACTCCCAAGGGGTATGTCGATCTGGCGCAGTACATCCTCATAAGGGTGAATCGGATCCACCTCGGATTCGTCTTCTTCAAACTGGTAGTCCGGCTCCTCATCCTGCTGAGTATGCTGAGTCTCCGCGGTGCTCTCGTCATCGGAGTCGATGATCATGACCGCATCATCATTGGCGTTGCTGGGTTTCCGCGGCCTGTCTACTCTTGGGGTGGAAGACTTCTCGTTTGAGAACGGTCTTCCTCCTCTCCATATTACTTTCAGTCCAGTTTCATAACCGTAAACGATGATGGATGAGCCATTGGGGGCGAGGAGGGGGTAGCCTTTAGCCGTGTGCACGCGGTGAGGGAGTTGGTAGCTAGATGAAGAGGACATCGAGTAAGCACACAATCGCTCGGATGGGATAGAACTGGGGTCTACCTTAGCTGCAAGCCGTCATCCCGAGGCCTTACCAGCGGCCTAGACGGAAAGGAAGGCATTGTCCTGGTGGTGATTGCTTGAATGTTTACGAGCAAAGCTGAAAGGGAGACCAATGCCGCCCACTGGGGAAGTGAGTAGCACCAGGAGAAGCAAAGAGAGATATGACGAAACCTCTAGCTGAATTCAGACTGGGGGAATCATCCACAAGGGAAGGGTGAGGGGTGAAGAAAGACAGCGAAGAATGGGTTAGCAGCAGCAGCAGGAGGAGGAGGAGGAGGAGGAGGAGAAGATAGATGGCAGAGACAGAAGTTGGGGTGGCCGCGGAGGAAAAAAAGCCGCCGCTGGATTATTGGCCCGCCGCGTCCAGCGCGTCTCCAGCAACAGCCAGCTTCATGGTTCCATGGCTTCCCCTCAAGCCGCAATTACAGCAATCACAACAACACACCACTCCAGTGTCTTGGACTTGACAAGTGCCGCTCCCCCATCTACCTCCCCGTCTTCTCAGTCGATGGTGTGACCTGACAATGGGCATGATATTGCCTCTGGCCCACCCTGCCAGAAATTCTCCCCCTTTGCCTGACGACATATCCCGATAATGGCTACAGTTCGATCCCTTGGCCTGCATGAGCCCTCGGCCATCGCATTCCTTGTCGCAGAAGGGCTCCTGCCCGTGGATCCCTCGGATGATCTCTACTCATGGACAACGAGTGTTGACCGAGACTCGAACGGCTCCGTCGAAGATGAGATTGTTTGGACTAGGAGCTGCGCGGTTTGGTCTCGAGCCGGGGTCGTCAAGAGAGTGTTCCGGTTAGATCTAGAAAAAGAGGAGATCAGACACGTCTTACTGACGAGCTTTGCGGTGGGAAAGATCAAGCGATCCGACTCGAGTGTTTCGAAATCTACATCGGGCGAGAAGGCGCAAACAGGCACCGATTCAGGTCGCAGTCGGGGCTCGCACGATCAGCTCAGTGGAGGACTGGGCCAGGATGGCGGAGAAGGCCACGGTGCCAGCGGTTCAGAATCAAACGATGCTCGAGCATTGGTGGTGGTTCTCAAATCCCAGGCTCATATCTTCTTCCTTGCCGGTAACAGCCATGTCGTTCCCCTACCGTTCGAGGTTGATTCCGTGTTCGCAACACCCAGGGGACTTCTGATTCAGAGGAAACTGCATGAAGGGGAAGCCAACCCGCCGGTGCCAAAGGCCCCTCCGCCTTCTTTTGCGTCATCGCTGCCATCCGCGCCACCCGTGCCACCCGAGCCTTCTGGCAAATCGAAGCGCCCATCCTTGATGATTTCCCCGGCTCCAAAGCCTAAGTCACGGCCAGGCAAGCATGCCGACATGCCGAGAGTCTTCTCTCTTATGGACCCCCACTCCGAAATGGGTCTGGTTGTGACCAACCAGTCCTCTCGTTGGCTACAGACCAGTGTCACGACCAGACCTTCTGGGCTGGACGTGCTTGATCCCGCCGATGCGATTGTTTACGTGTCTCCAAAGGATGAGCTTTCTAGCTGTGGCCGAGGTCTAGCCATTGGTCCCTTGATCCTCGTGGTGACTGTGAATATCAACACCGGCTTGTACACTATCTGGACGGCTCGCTACCGACAAGACGAAGCCGCACCCTCGTCGAAAAAGAAGGAAAGAAGAGACACGGGGGGTACTCGTTCGAAGCGACGTAGTTCCCACTTTGGAATGACGACAGGGACGACGACTCCCGCTGGTCGCCCGTCCGGCACTAGAGAGAGCTTCGGTCCTAGAAGTGATGGGTGGAACACGTCCGGGCGATCTCTTTCACAGTATTCAGTTGAAGGCAAGGCAGACGAGGATGATCTGGCTTCCAAGCTAGGTCAGGATTTCGGGGACATCGGAGTGCCGCTAAAGACATCAAGACGAGTGAGCTCTCTACTTGCGCGCGCAGATCTGGCAACCAGCCAGGATAGGATTGCGTTTTCCGATCTAGCTACAGGCAGTCAATCGAATCCCATGCCTCACGGTGGCCTACGGCAATCTCTAGGAGCAGGTAGCACCCGGGGTAGCTTTGGCTTCAACCCAAGAGGTTCGCTGCCACCGGGAAACGGCTCAGTATACAGCACAACCAGTAGCTTTGTTGACGCACCGGTTGATCGACTCCTTGAGGAACTGAATAATGAAAGTCTGTTTGAAGGATTTGAGAATATGGATCTAAATCATGCGGCGTTTGGCCTGCCCGAGGAGGTGCTTTTTTCCAAGGTCGACAGTTTTTCTTCGAAGTTTTCGGTTACCTTCCAGACTCCGGCCACGTCGAAACAATCACAACGGAGACTGAAAATCATGACACTGGTCCCGTCAGAGTACGGAAGTACGCAAACTGGGAACTCTGTGGCGTTGGCGCTTTACCTGGTGGATCAGGACGCGAGATCGATGACGGTCGTTAACCTACGGGTCGACAAGGTTTCAATCCCCAAGAAGGATGTGGTGTTCTCCAAGAAGCCCAAGAAAAGCGCTCTATCCGAAGAACGCTCCATACTTGTCCAGGCCTCTGGGATCCAGCATTCATCAGATATATGGGATGCCTGTAAGATTGTTGACGGAGGGATCTCAAGAATCTTGACCCTGAAGAAGACGGATGATGACCAGCAGATAATACAATTGCAAACGCCGTGGAGCAAGCCAACTACCATCGAGGTCCCCCGGAAACTTATGCTGCATGAAGCATACGGTGTCTATCCCAATACTTCCGGCAACCATCGAAGAGAAAGCGGCGTGAAGCGACTAATGACCGACTCATCCATCACGGTGACTGGATTCGACCACCCCGGAGCCAGAGGGAAGTTTGACGTGATTGATTCTGCGAATCAGAAAGTGAAGCTGCAGGTTCAAATGGAACCTAGCAATGAACTGGTGAAGCGTGTGCTTAATGTCTGTCGGTTTGCAATCTCTGACGAGAAAGCCGGGGACGGTATTCTGGCTGCGTGGTGGGAGACCATGAAATGGCTCCATGATAGAGAAACGAATGAAAATGACCTCGAATGGACGGCCATGGTAGTAGTTTTGTTCTCGATGGCGATCCAGTTTATCGACAGTGAGCAACCGCGAACACCAGCCAAGCCGTCGCGCCGGAAGAGGGGGTTATTGAGGTCAAGTAGTGGAAGCTACGTCGACCTGGAGAGCTGGGAGACAATGCTGGAGCAGGAATCCGGCTCTGGGGGCGTGGTGGCCCCGTGGATGGCCAGCAGCTCCTGGGCGTGGGTGGTTGAGCAAGATGCCGAAGATGGTGAAGTCAGCCACAGCCATCAATCACCTTTGAGCCGGTCAACTTGCCGAACCAACACATACCTCATTCGTTGCATCGCTCTGTCGAGGGAGTTTCTGAGCACTTCTCGGGGCACCTCCACTGTAGGCTCAGGCGGCTATTTGCCCACGGCACTGAACTTCAGCCAAAACATCCGAAGCACTGCACTATGCACCATACTAGTTGCGCTGCATCTTCTCCGCGAGGAGCAGAAGCTATCAGTTTGCGATAGTGAGCAATCAGGCAAGCCTTTGGGTCTCCTGGCTCCAGTCCTGGCTCAGATTGGCGGATGGGTAGGGTGGCAGTCCTGGACATGGGCCGAAGACGCTTATTTTGGCATGGAGATGGCTAGTATGGACCGTTGGCATTTCGAAGAGACTCGCATCTCAATGCTCGACGTCCCCGGTGAGCCATTCGCACCTCCATCCATCTTTGCTCACTTGGAAGATGCATGGCGCCAGACTTCGCTGCCGTTTTTCACTCTTCTGAACCTGGTAACCAGCCCGGACAGGCCGCCGAAGAAAGGAAGGCTATGGAAAGAGTGCTTCACGCTCACTCCCAGGACACTCGCATTGGATGGATACCTTGCGGAAGTGCATAGCCTCACGACGCCGCTTGATCGGATCAAGCTTCTCTATCGTTGGGGATTCACCAGAAGTACTATCGAGAGCTTCCCGGAAGGTGTCAGTGCTCCCTTATACGAAGCGATAATGCAGTCACAAATGCATGCCTCTACATCCTGGGGCTCCACGCTCCTTGAGCTCATCGATCGCGAAGATTTGAGCATCTCTGTGAGCAAGAATAAGCCGTGGCTTCCGTCAGCTACGTCACCGTTGCAGCTGGCTGTATCGCATGATGCGGTGCGTGATGTCCACCATATCGGAACCTCCACGTTAGACATTGATGCAACCAATTCGTTTGAAGCTTCCGCGGAGGCCGACAGGTTTTCAGTGACGAGACTGATATTCCGTGAGGATAAGCGTTTTATCGACGCTGCTCGATTGCTGAACCAATCTAAAGCTCCTGTAGCCGAGTGCGTTCCCGAGCCTGACTGGACCGACTCGGACCTGCTGGAGGCCCAGAAAGAAGTGGTGCAGCTGGTGACCCTGAGGACGCTCTCTATTCCTACAGGTCGCGCAATGTTGAGCTTCAGTGGACGACTACCATTGCTGACCGAGAAACTGCCAATCCCTTCGTTTTCCTTGCAATGTGTCATGAAACCGTCGAACGTGACTATCAGCGCGGACCGGGCCTCCTTTAGCGAGGAGAAAGTGTGTTGGGCGTTTTTCCACAATGGCGTGTCTACCGGTCTGGCTATATCGAAGAATTCCAAAGGCATTGATACGTCGTGGATTCTGTTCAACAAGCCCCAGGAGCTTACCAACAGGCATGCTGGCTTTTTGTTGGCCTTGGGGTTGAATGGGCATCTGAAATCCTTGGCCAAATGGGTGGCGTTCAAATATCTGACGCCCAAACATACCATGACATCTATCGGGCTGTTGCTCGGATTGTCGGCCTCGTATCTGGGCACGATGGACACATTGATCACCCGGCTTCTGTCGGTCCATGTCACCAGGATGCTTCCTGTCGGGGCTGCCGAACTAAACCTGTCGCCGTTGACGCAAACGGCGGGCATCATGGGCATCGGACTCCTCTACTGTGGATCCCAGCATCGGAGAATGAGTGAAGTGATGCTGTCAGAAATCGAAAATGTGGAGCAGGAGGAGGGATCGCACGAGGACCTGCGCGACGAAGGATACCGCCTGGCTGCCGGGCTCGCGCTGGGCTTTATCAACCTGGCCAAAGGAAAAGATCTGCGAGGAATGCGCGACATGCACATCGTCGAGAGGCTGTTGGCCGTGGCAGTCGGCACCAAGAACGTTGATCTCGCGCATGTCCTGGACCGGGCCACGGCGGGGGCGACAATTGCCCTAACCATCATCTTCATGAAGACTAACGATGAGATCCTGGCCCAGAAGATCGATATCCCGGACACCACGGTGCGCTTCGACTACGTTCGACCGGACCTGTTCCTGCTGCGCACCCTTGCCAGACATGTCATCATGTGGGACAATATCCGCCCTACTGATGAATGGTTCGTGCAGAGCTTGCCCAAAGTCTACCGCCGTCGGTATCGGTTGACTGGAGTCCGTCGACTGAAGAGTGATGACATGCCATTTTTCAACATCATCGCCGGTCTTTGCTTCACGCTTGGTCTTCGCTACGCCGGTTCTGCGCAGACATCCGTGCGTGATCTGTTGCTCGCCTATCTGGATCAATTCATCCGCATCTGTAGGCTCCCCGCCGTCAACTACGATGCGAAGTTGGCCCGGAACTCGGTGCGACACTGCCAGGATGTCGTGGCCCTCTCCGCCGCCGCCGTAATGGCAGGCACAGGAGATCTGGCGCTCTTCCGCCGCGTACGATCTCTTCATGGCCGCGTGGATGCCGATACCCCGTACGGCAGCCATATGGCCGCGCACATGGCCATGGGTCTGCTGTTTCTGGGTGGTGGAAGCTACACGCTCGGCACATCAGACCTGGCCATTGCCTCCCTGATCTGCTCCTTGTATCCGATCTTCCCTACAACCGTCCTCGACAACAAGTGCCACCTGCAAGCCTTCCGACATCTCTGGGTCTTAGCCGCGGAGCCCCGTTGTCTGGTGCCCCGAGACATCGATTCCCGTCGTCCCATCTCCATCCCCATCACCTTGACCAACCAAGATGGTATCAGCCGCAAGATCAGCGCGCCCTGTCTGCTCCCCGACCTCAGCGGCATCGCCAGGGTGGAAATCCGCAATGCAGACTATTGGCCACTGGTCCTTGACTTCGCCAACAACCCCGAGCTGCGTCAGAAGTTCCGCCAGGGCGACCAATCCGTGTACCTCCGCCGGAAAGCCACATACAACCCAACCGGCTCATCCGTCTTCGTCTCAACACTCTCCGGCTTGAGCGAAGCACAAGACATCCTCCCCTCCTCCACCTCCGTCTCGAACCACGGCAAGGGCCTTCCATCCGCGGCAATGCCCAATCTCGCCACTCTCCTCACCGCCGGCGTGAACCGCTCCCCAACATCCCCCTCCCAAAGCATGTGGGAATGGATCTTCAATCTACCCTCCCTACAAGGCCTAGATGTCCGTGAAAAAGCCCTCGTCCTCCCCTCATCCTTCCCCACTCGCAGCCGCAATCCCCACCCCACCGCTCTCTCCTACGCCCCCTGGCTCCGCCAATCCGCCGTGGACAGTAAACTCGTCATCGAGGGCATCGTCAAGAACACCATCCAAGCGGCGCGTGGCCGTGCCGCCGATCCCGACGAAGTCCGCGACCGCATCTGGCAACTCCGTCTGCTCTTCAACTGGATCGATACCCCCGCTGAGGACCGTTTGGCGGATGAAGACTCGCCTGAGACGCCCGAGGACGGGACTCTGTTTCGTCAGATAGTACCGTCTGATGGGCTCTGGCTGCGGCGGGATTATATTGAGGAAATGCGGTGGAAGATCTGGGGAGTGCAGATCGGGGATTATGATTGAGATAGTGTGGTTTCTGGCGGGGATGTATGATATGCTTACGACTTGACTCGATTTGACTTGTCTGGAGTTCTGTTTATGATATGAGGGACTGTGTGATTAGGTTGAGGGCTTTATTCTATTGTCGTTTGCATGGATGGGGCGATTTACGGTGTACACCAACCATGTGAGAAAGAGGGGGGGGGAGAGGAATATAGATAAGCGGGAGTGATACCAATACAATACTGATTCATCGTCTCATCATATCATATCATGATCATATTAATTTGGGCAACTTTTGATAAGAGCAGTCGATGTGAGTAATCACTGGGATCGAATAGTGCCCTCCTTGAGCACACCCCGGTCTCCGGCGCCACCCATCTGCCATAACCAGACGCCCTCGACAGCCCACGCCGTAGCACTGGCATGTTGTCGGCGGCCGCTGGCACCTGTACCTGCTGATTCTTTGTCCTGAGATGATTCCTTGGTTTCTTCTGCGGTGGAGCCCTTCTCTCCGCGACTCCCGGCTGTGACTCCGTCCGCCTCCGCCAACATACCCGCCACCACGCCCTCGCGTTCCACAACGGACCATAGTCCTTCGACGAGGGGGCTACCGCGCTCACCAAACTGGCCTTTTCCAAGCCGGAAGAGGATCCGGCCCAGCACTTGCCATGCGATGCAGCGTTGCGCGGGGAACGTGGAGCGACTGAGGATGGCTAGTTCGGGGATCGTGTACCCCGCGGCGTGAGGGTCTTTGCCGTGGTGGTGGAGACCGAGGGTTGTGGGGAGGGAGAGAGATGTTGCTGGGGAGAGGACCGTTCCGAGCAGAGAGAAGCGCAGGTTGGCTGGGTGGACGGCCTCGGCGTTGCTGGCGGGATGGTAGGCCGATGTCGAGTCGGGGTCTTCCGGGTCTGCGGAAGGAGGTTGCAACCATGAGAGCGCGGCGGGGTCGTGGGAGATGTTGGGGAAGTAGTGCGTTTGGAGATCGGAGAGGAAGGAGGGTGATGATGGGTCGAGGTTGGGCATGGGTGAGGCCTGAGATGGAGGTGCTGGGAAGTGAACGCTGCCGGAGGGCGGAAGCTCGGCGGCGGCGTGGAGGTCGGATGGGGTTTGGGCTGGGGGTACGTCGTCTGGGGAGGGTTCGTTGGCGGGAGTTGGTTTGGAGGAGGAGGAAGGGGAAGAGATCAAAGTTGCTGGTGGTGATGGTGCAGGGGTTGGCTCAGCTTCCGCTGGTTGTTCGGCGGAGGACGACGCAGCGGGCTTGGAGGTGGCGATAGTGTCGTCAGCATCGATACGGGCTCGGCGGAGAAAGCGCTCTAGTAGAGAGGAGTCCATGGATTCCATCAATTCCTCGCGCTCTTGTTGGATCTGCGCATCCGACATGGATGCCAACTGCCGCTCGTTTTCCTCTGCGATGACCGTTTTCTCGTCCGTCGGGCCTGGAGAGGGGGCAGACGCTGGTGCAGCCGGAGCACGTCGCTGTTTGAATGCTGATGGCTTGGCGCGACGGCGATGAGCTGGGAAGCCGGTGGTGCTTGGTTTGGGAGTAGGCGGGGCGGGAGCCGCAGCGGGGGAGCGTTCACGGATTTCGCCGATCATCCCAGGGATGGAGATGGACGAAGAGCCCGGAGGGGCATTGTAGGGAGCTTCAGGAGTGGTGTCATCATCGGAATCCAGGTCCAGGACGAACCGTTCGCCGCGGAAGGCCATGATGTTGAGGGTGGCGGGGGGTTGGCGGGGAAGAAAAGCTGCCGAAACGGTCGAGAATGAAGCCATCCCCGGCAGGTAAGAATGAGTCAGCGCTGAGTCAGCCCGCACAGGGACACTGCAGGATGAGTCATCATGCGGCTCAAAAGCTAAAGTGGGGAGCGCTAGGCCCCGACGGGACTAGGGGTTCACCTGATTGCCCTCCCCGATTGGGTAAGGCATGTTGAATCAGGTGACCCCATCTGATATCGAAACTAGACAGGCGCTGCGCCCATCGTTGATGCCCATCCGGGCGGCGTGTGGGGTTCGTCGGGAGAGTCAAACTGGTTTTCAAACCCCTAGGATGATTCCAATCATTCCACACCGAGCGAGGAAGAAGAGAGACCCCCAGGTGGGCGGGGAGGGGGCGAGCAGAGGGGCAGGCCAAGCCAGCGACTGAAGGGAACTAAAAGCGATAACGAACCATCAAAAGGGCCCGACAAGGAACAAGAAGCGTTACCGCCGACTCGCCCCCCCCAGCCGAGTGGTTTCCCCGGCTGCTGCTCGCCCATGCTCTTCGGGTGTCGGCTGGAACATTGAATTCCTGAATCCTCCTCATTACTAGTATTGTCTGGAGCAAAGACATTCATTCTGCCGGCGAAGACGCCCAGCCCTGGTCGGCCGCGCCCCTTTTCAAACCGTTGCAGGTGTTGTTCTTGGTTGTTGCATTTGCTGGGCCGGCGTTCCCCATCCTGACCTCCCGTCACTCACTCCTTCTTTCTCTCTTCCCTTCTTCCTCTTCCTTTCTTCCCTTTCCCTCCTCCATTCATCGCCATCTTCTTCCCTCATCTCATCACCACCACCCTCTTCCACCCTTTCTTCATCTCCATTCTTGCCACATTCAATTCCTGTGGGGCCCCTAATTTGTGTTTGGAGTACACGGGTCGGATCTCATTCAACATCACCTCTCCTTCACCCAAACACCGTCCGTCGCCTGTTTGTCCCACGCCAACCTCTCCTCAGCCACCCTCTCGTCCTTTTACTCGATGCAACACCACCTTTGACTCGTCTCCCCTCGCCCCCTCCTCCCTCTCTCTCCCCTTCACCATGTCCACAGAGCCATCCATCTTGTCGGCTGCAGGTGAACACGAGTCGCGTTCCCCCATCGATTATCCCGCCCGCGAAACTCGTACCCGACGGTCGCGTCGCAAGAAGGAAGACGATCTCGACCTTGAGCGGAAAGAAGCCGCCAGAACCACCAAATCCCGAGAAAAAGAAAAAGAGAAGGAGGAGAAACTCGAGCCCAAACGGGGTAGCCGTCGCCAGCGAGAGAAATCGTCGTCGACCTTCGCCAGCCCGGCCACTTCGGCCGCGTCTCACGCCCACGCTCGCAAGAAGCCCAAGTTGGAGGCAGCCACACCTGATCAGAGTCCCCGGCCTGCTGCTGTCCCTACTCCTTCATCCATTGCCGTGCCTGCTGCTCCAGTCCCAGCGACGAGTCCTCCTACCACTGCCATCTCATCTGCCCCGGTAGCTCCAGCTCCAGCTCCAGCTCCAGCTCCAGCTCTAGCCCCAGCCCCGAGGAGTCCAGCTCCCAGCACCCCCATAACGAGCCCACGGAAACAAATATTGGATCCTGAATCGATGTCTCAAAATACAAATCGTCTTTTGAATCCTCCCTCTCTGCCGTCGTCAGCCCATCCGACCCCGCCGTCGGTGGCCCCTACAACTCTCGTCTCGTCTTATCCGGCCCTGATGCCATCCGCTCCTCCTCCTCCTCCTCCTCCGCGGCCGCATTCCCAGCCGCCCGCTCCCCCGCCGCAAAGAACAAGCGGCCAGAATTTCGATCCCATTCGGTCGGCCTTTGATACTGCATCTCCTGCTATAGCCCCGGCACCGACTCAAACGTTGGCCCCAGCTCCGGCTCCGGTGCCTACCTCCTTCAGTCCGCCGGCGCGCCATCCCTCCCCGCGTCCAACATTCCGTGCCAGTGCCTCGCCAGCCATTGCCAGTATCATTGATCCGCCCACCACGTCCTCGCCCCCAGTCTATACCTCTCGTCCGTATGGCTCTCCAATTCATGGTGCGTCCAGCTACTCACCATCTCCTGTGGGCGCGTCCATCGTTCCCACACCGCCGCAACCGCATCCCCAATCTCAACCCCAACCACGACCAATTTCGCCTTATGCCCTTCGGTCACCGTATGCGGCACCTATACAAGCCCCGCCACCACAAAAACCACAGATTCCGGCCCCAGCGCCCAAGCCCATTCCTGCAGCTCCCCCTCCGGCCTCACAACCTCCCACCCCAGTCCCAGCTCCGTCCAATAACCGACCGCCCTCGCCTGGCCCAACACCGATGGATGTGGAGCCCGATACACCAGCTACATTATCTGCTCCCAAAACGACGAAAAAGGAATCCAAATCCCCCTCGACAGTACCTGCATCGAAAGCCCCATCTCCCAAACCGGCCCGAGCAGCCAAGGAAGCCCCAGCACTACCTCAAGGCTCGGGACTCATATCTAATGCCCTCTTTGGTGTGGAAGGCAGCTCATCCTCAGGAGACGCGAGCAACCGGCGTACGCCTAGTATTGTCTTGCACGTCCCGCTGAAGGGCCATGGGAACCAGATCATCAACTTCGCCCGTTTAGCAGAGGAGCAATATGGGTTTGCTGCCTTACATCCCCGTCTAGCTGCGCACAAGGAGCGACTTGCACGTGTGGCGGCGGCAGGGGCCGCCTTAGAGCGGAACGACAAGGCAAGTGGCCGGGGTCTCTCCGCAGGGGAAAGCGCGGATGAGGATTTGAGCATGGAAATTGACCGTGATACTGATATGGACGGGGAGGGTACGATGGCCGCGCCGACCCGCTCGAATTGTGCGGATCCGGCAGACGGGAAGAAGAAGCGCCGCAAGAAGAAAATGGAGGAGTATGACCGGGATGATCCTTTCGTGGATGACAGTGAGTTGGCCTGGCAGGAACAGGCTGCCGCCAGTAAAGATGGGTTCTTTGTCTACAGTGGGCCTCTGGTGCCGGAGGGCGAGAAGGTTCAGGTTGAACGGTATGTATCTGCGTCTCAGTCGAATTTCTGTTTCGTCTGGTCCGGCATGCTAACGGTTAGGAATAGGGCCGATGGGACAATCAAGCGTGGCCGTGGCCGCGGGCGTGGTGGTCGAGGTCGGGGGCCTCCGTCATCCCATCACCAGGTGCCCTTGGCCGCAGCTGTCCCGATTTCCCAAGAAACCGGTCTTCCCGTTCGGGGCCCAGGGTCTCGGGGAGGCAGCACCACTCGCCGGCCGCGTATCAGTAAGGCTGCCCGTCTGCAGGCGGAACAGGAGAGAGCCAACGCCGCGTCGGCGACCTCGCACGGACGGGGAGGGGGTGCCACCGGCCGTGGAGGCTCTACCAGCACGCGGGGAGGAAAGAATCCGATGGTTGAACTGGCGCCGCGTCCTAATATTGCCCCTGCTCCCCCGGGGCCCAGTCCGATGAGTGGCCCGGAGATCACGATGAAGTAGGATGGTTGGCTGATGTCCTTCCTTTCCTCCCAGTCTTCGCCACGGGTATTTCGTGCCGGGCTTCACACATGCAGGCTTCTTCCATTCTCTAGGATATTCTGCGTGTGATTGGGTTTATGGGTTTTCTTTCCGCTGGCGTCGGGTCCGGGTTATAGGGGAATGATGAAGGGGCATTAGTAGAATGGGTTCGGGTGATGTAAGGTCCGTGCGGTCGTTGGCCGTCTGTCTCCGTTGTTTATGTCTGTTGGGTGATGTTTCTCCACTGGTTCCATGTCGTTCGGCGCCATTTCCTACGTCTCTCGCACGGTGTGATGGGTTTGTTGTCTCACCCGCATGATTCGGTGCGGTGTCTTTGCTCTGTGTGTGCCTGTCTGGCTTTGAATGTGTCTATCTGTTGCCTTCAGTTCGGCTACTGTCCCTCATGGGAGGCAGTGCTGCTACGGTTATTTCTACTCCCTAGAATCGAAAACGAAGCCGGCACATGATAGGCAATCCCGTCCACTTCTGTAAGCCATGTTCCGCGTATCATGAGCATCAAGATCATGAGCCTATTCGAAACGCGATGCAGTCAATACATAGCTCAGTGAAGATTCAAATCATGTCTATTTGCTCTGTACTGAAACTACCAAATAGGATGCAATATGTACGACCGGCTGAGATCGTGCTTGCTCCTTTTCTTTCTGTGTTTCTTTCCAAGCTATCGAACAGAAACATGACCGCTGCGAGAGCGAGAGAGCGAGACAGAGAGAGTGCAACAAAGGTACACTTGGTTGGTTAGTTGGCCGAGTTAGAAGATGGATAGATATGTAGAAGAAAGAAAAAGGTAACCCATATAGACGTGTTTGGAAGAAGGGACATGAACAGATGAAAAGAAGATACTGTGGAAAGGAGAAAGAAAGAAATGGCCAATGAATGAATACGCCTTGCCGATGCAAAAGTGTCATGGACATAAATGGGTCGGATACATGGTCAAGCAAGCAGCGGTGTGGGTTGTTTGGTCGTCATCCACGATTAGCGATTCTAAAGGAAAATAAGAAGGGAAAGAGAAGGGAAGGGAAGGGAAGATGTTGTGGAAGATGCCTAGACAGCCCCCGTCATATGGTCTCCCCGCATGGAGCCCGGCTGGCGCTGCCAGGATCCGCTGCCAGGAGCTGGAGGTGGAGGCCCGCTGGGGGGAGGCCCGCGCACGGGCAATGCCGCCGACTGCAGAGGCATTCGTGACTTTGTATTGTGCGAGCTGGCCGAGCGAGACCCCATCGACAGATGCATAGGAGGCTCCAGCGCAGAAGACGCCCCCCCGACGGGAGTCCGCGAGGGACGACGGCCGGACCGGTACTCATCCTCTAACGACAGATGCTCGAGGGAGATGGGAGGTGAGCGCGTCGACCGGGTCGGACGAGGCGACGGGTTGGCGGGGTAGTTGTACTGGTAGTGCGAAGGGCTGTCGCGGCCGATGTTGTTGTTGTTGTTGTTGATGATGTTGTTGAAGGGAACGTCGCCGGGGGCCGCACCGGGGATGAACTGAGGAGTTCGAGCCGGCTTGCTGCTGGCCTGGGGCTTCGGGGATGGCGTGGACTGCGACACCGGAGGCTCTTCCTTGAGCGACTTGGGCGGCGGAGGTGCCAAGTACGACTTACGGTTGTGTCGCTCCATCATGCTGATCGCCCATTCCTGGAGATCAACCGGAGTCCGCTTGGCGGCCTGCAGGAAAGCATCCTTGTCCTAGATCGGGCGTCAGTCAAGATCCCCTCAACAGCATGCTGCTCAGCCAGGAGAAGGAGGCACATACGTAAAGCTCGCGAGGCGTCGGGCGTTCCTCGGGCTTCTTCAGGAGACATTTGGCAACGAACTCGTGCAGGATGGGAGGGAAAGCGTCGCTCTTGGGCAGCTTGGGAGCCGGCTCATGGACGATCTGCTGGAGTAGATCCAAAATGCCCATCGGTCCGGCACTGGCGCGGTCGCCGGCCGACGAGTCCGATGTATCGAAGGGGAAGCGACCAACCGCCAGTTCCATCACTGTCAATCCCACACTCCACACATCCGAGCGCACGGTGTACGCACTGCCCTGAATACGCTCGGGGGCCATGTAGGTTGACGTGCCGACAAACGTATCTGCAATCGAGTTGACCGTCTCAGTCGCGACGCCAAAATCGCACAGCTTGATGTTGCCGCGCGAGTTGACGAGAACGTTGGACGGTTTGATGTCACGGTGCATGATGCGGTGGGCTTCGTAGAGATACACCAGGCCTGCCAGAACGGACTCGGTGATCTTGCCCAGCACGTCGACACGCACGGGGCCGAAGTCTTTGGAGATTCGGTCGAGCGAGCTATGATGCAAGGGTTCAGTAAGTTTGGGCCTAGAGATCAAGCCCTACCTTGGCAGGGGGAGAAGGTTCAGTGGTTCACTCACCCGCAATCCATGTACTCCATACACAACACAATGTCCCGGGCTTCGTTCTGAAACGCACCGTAGAAGGTGACAATGTTGGGCGAATTGCAGTCATGTCCCACTTGAAGCTCCCGCAAGATCTGCTTTCTCACATTCTCCTTCGCATCGACACGGATGATCTAGGATGCCAGTCAGCACATGCTGCTTCTGCGTCTGCATCTGCGGCTGCGGCTACACCCAGCCCATCAGGGTCGCTGGCAGCGTACCTTTCGAGCCATGACCACCTTCGTGGAGGCGTGCATGACCTTAGAGACCGTGCCTCCATTTCCTGCTCCAAGCTCCTTCAAGGTTACCAGATCCTCGCTACGCAGATCAAGTCGGAATTCGAGCCCGATTTCCAGGGTATCGGTACGATTGCTTTCGCCATTTCCCGCGGCGCCCGAGGCCTGACCATCGCCATCGGAGTTATTGGCCGTGGGTTTTGGGGCGGCATTCAGGGCAAGACCCTTGACATTCTTGCGCTTGAGCGTTCGCGCCTTGAATTGATCGGCCATGGCTAAGCAACGGGGGCGATGCTGCGCACCGTGACGGAGCGGTGGGAACGAGGCGAAAAGACGGATCGAGAGGGGGAGGATATATGGAATGAAGCAGGCAGAAGCAAAGTGTTGTCCGCCCAATTTATGGTCAAGGTACCCAGAGTATGGATTTGCTGGCCAGTGAGAGAGAAAGGTCGACCAGTGTCTGTTTGTTGGGCCTGCAGAGGCGGGAGTTATTGGACGCTGAGACACCGGACAAGCGCCGTGAGGTTCGGGACTGAGAGCAGGTGGGGGGAATGATCAGATCAATGCGAACTCTCCCCGGCACTGCAGTGGGATTCACCCCCGTGGGTGGCGCTCGTTCGAGAGAGTTGGGTCACCGGGACCTGAGGGTGGAAAAGGAGAAGGGTCTCGATCGGGGACTGGGGACGACAGAGGAATGAGGAGCGAGTGATGAGTCGGGGCGATGGAGGGACGCTGCGAGGAGAAGTTGGGGCGGAGGAGATGCAGCACTCAAAAGTGACCTGTGAACTGTGAAGGCGCCGGTGTCAGGCACGCTGCATGTCCACAAAACCCTCCCTGATGACTCAGGAACCATCCTTTTTTTTTTTTTTTTTTTTTCACTTACTTGGAGAGAATCTGAGACAAAGACAGAGCGACCCAGTCTAGTGAAGAACTATGAAACAAGCGATGGGCGATGGCGTGGACTATCAAACTATCTAGTATCTACCGCGCTTTGTCTGCAATCTGCTGGCTATCTATCTATTCTCGCGGCACCCAAGACGAGAAGTCCGCCCCCAAGACGACTGCCATCCTAACCCAGGTCAGATCTGGTTTCCTGACCCGGTGCAGTAATAGTCTCCAAAAAATCCGATAATGTAGAATGCAGATAATCGCCTGGATGGGCAGAAGTGTTTCAGCGAGGGGCGCAGAAATCACATGACTCTATCAATCTGCGCAAGTGGTCACATTTCACACCCGTAGCGACTAGCCTGGTGCAGACTAGTGCCCCACGTGAGCGCCCTTTCCAGCCACAGCTCCGGCGGGCGGTGAGGCCGTCCCGCGCCACAGCGTCTCTGCTGCGATCTCGTCTCTCCATCCAAGCTGCCTATTCTCATCCTTTCTTCATCCCCCCCCCCAGCCTCTTCCTCTGTCAAGCCTGGTGTGTTACCGTCTCTCAGGGCGGTCTCTCTTGTGCTGACTCGTGTTTCCTTTTCTCTCCTCTCTCCTCCCCCTACCTTGCCTCCAATTCTTATCCACCGACCCTTTTCTCTAACCTCCGAGCTGTGAAACCACGAATTCATCGACAATTAAAAATGAGCGCTCGCGACCTGGTCGAGGGGGAGGCCATGATTGATGATGATGAGAATGAGGAGGAGCTCGCTGATGACTACGAGGGCGAAGTTCGGGAGGGTGCCGGCACCAATAACCACTACGACTCTAGCGAAGAGGATGAGGACGACGACGACGATGAGGAAGCTGCCCGCGCAGTATGTTTTCTGCTCACCTGTGCGCCGTCATATAACCGTAACCCTACTGACCTGACATGCTTCCTAGGTCCGCGAGGGTTTCATTGTCGACGAGGATGAGGAAATAGAAGAGCGCGCCGAGCGCCGCCGGGAGAAGCGAAAGCAGAGGGATCGCGAACGCGAGGATGAGCATCTGGATGAAGAAGATCTGGAGCTCATCGGGGAGCTTAACCCGAGCTACCAGTCTTCATCTGCCGCAGAAGTATGCCGTTCCCCGCCCCCACTGTTCCATATCTTCGCACATGGCGAATCTAACGAGAACCCCAGCCCAAATTCAAGCGCCTAAAGCGTGGTCACAAGGATCGCGATCTCCGGCAAGCGTCTCAGGGCATTGACGATATCTTCAATTCGGATGAAGATGAGGAGCCGGCTGGCGACTACGGGCGGTCCGGTCATCGGAGGCACATGCACGACGAGATGGATGACTTCATTGAGGAGGATGTGTTCTCAGATGAGGAAATTCAGCGAGAACGGGAGGACCTGGAGGTTACCCGCACCTCCAAGGGCGGTCTGGGTGTCACCGATGCGACCGGCTTGGACGAGAACGCCCTCGAAGATATGCGCGCCGCGTTCGGAGATGGCAACGAATACCTGTTCGCACTGGAGATGGAAGAGCAAGAAGAGGAACAGGAGGTGGACGATGAAAAGCACTTGGATCTGAAGGATGTCTTCGAGCCGTCGCAGCTGGCGGAGAAGATGTTGACCGAGGAGGATAATCAGATTCGCCTGCTGGACGAGCCCGAACGACATCAGATCGCCCGCAAGCCCTACCGGAATGTCGCCCTGACCGAGGAGCAGTTCCGCGAAGAGGCGGCCTGGATCTCCAATCTGATGCTCTTGAAGAAGCGGATCGAGCCGGACCTGCGGGAGCCCTTCCAGCGCTCGGTGGCTAAGGTGCTGGAGTTCCTTGTCACCGACGATTGGGAAGTGCCATTCATCTTTCAGCATCGGAAGGACTACATGATTCACGCTGCAAAGGTGCCCGTGGACGGAGATGAAGACGCCACCCAGTACACCATCAAGGCGGAAAAGCTCCTGAATATGACCGACCTCTGGGACATCTTTGACCACGACCTCAAATTCAAGGCGCTCGTGGAAAAGCGCAACACTATTCAGAAAACCTTTGACAACCTACAAAGTCTCTTCAGCGTGAATGACACGACTGTGGAAGAGATGCTTCCGGTCGCGGTGACAATGGAGGAGCTGCAGGACATCCAGGACTACATCCATTTCCAATACGCGTCTCAGCTCAGGGACTTGACGCTTATGAATGGGGAAGCCAACGGGGAAACCCAGCGCCGGAAAGCGTCCAGCAAGACGTTCTTCGAGCGCGTCCGGAACGGCAAGGCCTACGGTCTCGTCCGGGCCTTCGGCATCACGGCGGATGCATTTGCGCAAAATGCCCTGAAAGAAGGCCGCCGCCAGTACACAGAAGATCTGGCCGAGCGGCCCGACGACCTGGCAGACTCGCTTGTGGACACCGACTTTTCCAGCTCATCCCATGTGGTCAAAGCCGCGAAGACCATGTTCGCCGAGGAGATCGTGCTGAGCCCCAAGATGCGCAAGGTGGTCCGACAAGCCTACTACATGAATGGTGCAGTGGACTGTTTCCGAACGGAGAAGGGTCTTCGGCGCATTGACGAACAGCACCCGTACTACGAATTCAAGTATCTACGGAACCAGCAGCTCAGCGATATCGCCCGTCGCCCCGAGCTGTACCTTCGCATGCTCAAGGCTGAGGAGGAGGGTTTGGTGGAGGTCAAGGTCCGCTTTGAGAACTTCGACAACTTCCGTCAACGCCTATACCAGGACATCGAGTCGGATAACTATAGTGAACTGGCCGACGTATGGAACCGCACCCGTCGCGATGTCCTGGATCTAGCGCTCAGCAAGCTGGAGCGGTTGATTAACCGCAGCGTCAAGGAAAACATTCGTCAGGAGTGCGAAAACCATGTCGCCAAGGAATGTCGGGAGGCATTCTCGCAGCGACTGGATCAAGCTCCCTACAAGCCCAAGGGCATGATTCTGGGAACCGTTCCGCGTGTGCTGACTCTTTCTACCGGCTCCGGCGTGGTTGGGCGCGAGCCCATCCACTGGGCCTATGTCGAAGAGGATGGACGCGTGCTGGAGAACGGCAAGTTCACGGACCTCTCCATCGGTGACCGCGACCGCAGCATTGCCGACGGCAAAGATGTCGCCGCCTTCAGAGAGCTCGTGCGCCGTCGTCGCCCCGATGTCATCGGAGTTTCCGGCATGTCTCCGGAAACCCGTCGGCTGTACAAGCTCCTGACGGAGGTGGTGGAGCGGCAGGACCTGCGTGGCGCCCTCTATACCGATGATCGGGATGAGGAGGTCAGCGACCGCTTGGAGGTCGTGATTGTCAACGATGAGGTGGCACGGCTCTACCAGCACAGTGAGCGAGCCAAGAAGGACCATCCCAGCTTCGCCCCGTTGACCCATTACTGCGTGGCCTTGGCCAAATACTTGCAGAGCCCCCTGAAGGAATACGCCTCTCTGGGCCGTGACATCGTGTCGATCCAGTTCAAGCCGGGGCAGCAGCTTGTCTCCCAGGATCTGCTGCTGAAGCAGCTGGAAACCGCCTTGGTGGACATGGTGAACCTGGTGGGCGTGGACATTAACGAAGCTGTCACGGACTCGGCGACGGCCAACCTACTGCCGTACGTCTGTGGTCTGGGTCCCCGTAAGGCCGCGCACCTGCTCAAGATCGTGAACATGAACGGCGGTGTGGTCAACAACCGGGCAGAACTGTTGGGTGTTAATGCTCAGTACCCGGCCATGGGTGTGAAGGTCTGGAACAACTGCGCCAGCTTCTTGTACATCGACTTCGAGAACGCGGATCCGGATGCCGACCCGCTTGATAACACGCGCGTGCATCCTGAAGACTACGATATTGCGCGCAAGATGGCGGCGGATGCGCTGGAGTTGGACGAGGAGGACATCAAGGCGGAGACGGACGAGAATGGCCCCGGGGCGATTGTGCGCAAGTTATTCCGTGAGGAGGCGCAGGACCGGGTCAACGATTTGATTCTAGAGGAGTACGCGGAGCAGCTGGAGAAGAACCTGAACCAGCGCAAGCGGGCGACGCTGGAGACGATTCGGGCGGAGCTGCAACAGCCGTACGAAGAGCTGCGGAAGCAGTTTGTCTTCCTCAGCACGGATGATATCTTCACGATGCTCACGGGCGAGACGGCGGAGACGCTGGCCGAGGGGATGGTGGTGCCCATCTCGATCAAGCGGATCACGGACGACCACATTGACGGCAAGCTGGACTGCGGCATCGATGCACTGGTGCCGGAGTCGGAGCTGACGGACCGGTACGACATCCCAGTGCGGGCGCTGTACCAGATCCACCAGACGCTGCCGGCCAAGGTGCTGTTCCTGAACCGCAAGAATTTCCTGTGCAACGTGTCGCTGCGGGAAGAGCAGGTCAGCCGGCCGGTGGCGCGGACGCCAGACCGGCTGCAAGGGGAGTGGGATGACAGACAGGAGGCCCAGGACCGGGAGGCGCAGCAGGAGAAGACACAGAGCGGCGGGCGTACGATGCGCGTCATCAAGCACCCGATGTTCCGGCCGTTCAACTCGACGCAGGCGGAGGAGTTCCTGGGGTCGCAGAGCCGAGGTGACGTGGTGATCCGGCCGTCGTCCAAGGGACCGGACCATCTGGCGGTGACGTGGAAGGTGGCCGACGGCATCTTCCAGCATATCGACGTGCTGGAGCTGGACAAGGAGAACGAGTTCTCGGTGGGCCGGACCCTGAAGGTGGGCGGACGGTACACGTACAGCGATCTGGACGACCTGATCTTCAACCATGTCAAGGCGATGACCAAGAAGGTGGATGAGATGATGCTGCATGAGAAGTACCAAGACGGCAACAAGGACGCTACATGTAAGTGTTCCCCTCTGATTCTTTCTTTCTTTCTTTCTTTTCTCACTAACAGGGAATTAGACTCCTGGTTGGAGACGTACACCAAGGCCAACCCGCGGCGATCAGCCTATGCCTTCTGCATCGACCCCAAACATGCGGGCTACTTCTTCCTGTGCTTCAAGGCCGGTGAGAATGCGCGGCTGCACAGCTGGCCGGTGAAGGTGATTCCCCAGGGCTATGAGCTGCAGCGTAATCCGTATCCGGACATGCGGGCGCTGTGCAATGGATTCAAGCTGCTGTTCACCAACATGCAGGCCGGCAAGCGGCGGTGATGATCTCTCTTTCTCTGTATCCTGTGTAATATTTATTCCTCTTTCCTTGGGACCTTCTTTGCTGGATCATTCCGGTTGGCCGTTTTCTTGTGTATTTCTTTTTGAGACAAAGCAGATTAGCATCCGCGTGAGCATGGTTGCGGGCAGAAACGAATTGCTTGATTTAATTGATGGAATGGACTGGACTGGACTGGACTTGAATTGAATTGAACCAAATCGAATTGTGTATTTCTTTACCCTTATGCCACTGTAGTTGAATTGATGTGCGCAAGTGATTTCCGCGGTGCCCTGCCCTGTCCTGCCCCTGAAGCCACGCGATGTCGTCTCTTTTCTCCGTGGTTTCAATGGAACCCCGGGGGGGATCCACCAGCACCAGACAATGACAATCAACAATAAATAGTCTTTGGGACGAACCATGATTGCTGAGCGGGCCTTCATGTGAATGAAGCGGGCATTATTGTTTGGATTCCCTCGGCCGCTGGAGGGCTTCGGCTTCTCCGCATCGTCTTTCTCTCCTCCCCCAACTCTCTCTCGCTCTTCTCCTCCTCCTCCACCACCACCACAACAATCACCACCTCCACTACCACTACTACCATCACACCTTCTGCAGTTGTCGCTCTTTAATCCTTTTCCCACTCTGTCCATCTCATCCAACTCAATTGCCCCCTCCCCCCTCTAGCCAATGGTGAGCGTGATGATCGACCTTGTATGTTGACTTGCACGGCCTCGTTGCTGACCGCAGCTGAGCCTCAGCCAGCCTGATCCATCCTTTCGCTTCTCCTTCGCCTCCCTCCTTTTAAACACAAACACAACTCGTTCCTCCTCGGCTCCTCCTTCTTCATAAACATCTTCGTGGCCTTCCCTCCGACCGTGTTCTCCTCTGTTGGCGAGTGCCTGTTTTCACCTCGGTGACTTCCCCCCGCGCCGCAGCAATGGCGGCCATGGAGGAGCTGGAGATCCACAGCAAGGTAAGCAAGGGATGGCGATGACACCTGTAGCAGAGCAGAGTGCCCTGGCTAACTCGTTCCCTCTGCGTGCGTCCCCAGTCCTACTTTGTCCGCTGGGTGTCAGTCAAGTCCGCCCACACCATCTCGTGGAGCATCCAACCCCACAAGAAATCCATCAACTTCGGCATCTTCAAGCATCCCGGCCATTCCGCCGTGCTGGGCTCCAACACCAACCTGTCGGCCACCGATGCCCCCAACTCCGAATCCACCGAGAATCTGCCCTCCACCGCTGGCACCGCCGCCGCCCTGCGTCCCAATGCCTCCGTCATCGACAAGCTGACGGGCATTGGCCTCAAGCAGATCCAATGGCTCGGCAAATGCGAGGCCGAGCGCATCTTCCGTGGCACCTACGACGTGCCGACCAATGAAGGCGGGAACTACGCCCTGGTCTTTGACAATACCTTCTCCAAGCAGATCTCCAAGACCGTCACCCTCGCCCTGCTCACCTATCCGACCGCTCTCCCGCCGCAGTCGGTCCCCGTCCCCCATGCCTCCAGCCAGCCCGTCCAGAGATCCGATACCGCAGACTCCGGGAAACCCCTGGCCGCTCGCCGTCGGGGCAACAGCATGGCCCAACCGCCTCCCCTGGTCAGCGACCCAGACTCGGGCAGAACTTATACCGGCCTGCTGCAAAAGCGCCGGAGAAAGCGCCATCAGGGCTGGGCCCGCCGCTTCTTCTCCCTGGACTACACCTCGTCGACTCTGTCCTACTACCACGACCGGAATTCCTCCGCCCTCCGCGGGTCCATCCCTTTGTCCCTGGCTGCGGTTGCCTGCAACGAGAAGTCGCGGGAGATCTCCATTGATTCCGGCACCGAAGTGTGGCACCTCCGCGCCTACAATGATCAGGAATTCGCCGCCTGGAAGCGGGCTCTGGAGCGGGCCGCCTCCGCATCGCCCTCCAAGACTCCCGCCGACGACACTCTGCAGCCCGAGCCTCTGTTGCGGGTGCCCTCCCAGCGCGTCGTCACGAATTCGGTCGAGGAGCGGGAATGGGAGCACGTCCAGAGCCTCGTGAGCAAAGTGTCCGGGTCGCGCGACGCCGTCCGACGCCTGGCCAAGGACACCGACCCCAAGTACATAGGCGGCAATGCCTCGGAGAAGCCGCGCGGTCGCTCCCCCAGCCCGCAACGCACGCCGACAGACCTGAACGGGGATGAGTCCGGCGACGCCAAGCGCCCGTTCTGGAAGCGCAAGAACAGTACCGCCACCCAACCCGGGGTTAAGCGGTCCACCACCATGGCCTCCATGTCCTCGCAGCTGGCAGTGCCCGGGGCCTTCGATACGGCGTCCCTCGCGGGCGATCGCAAGCCCAGCAGTGTCTCCAGCCACCCGGATCAGATGGAGGAGATCCACGAACATCTTATGGCCGTGCTGCGCGACTTGGACCAAGTCGTCAGCGAGTTTTCCACCCTGATTTCCGAGAGCAAGCAGCGACGACACCCCCCAGGTACCACTGTGCAATCGCGCCGCAGCTTCGAGTCCGATGTCTCCCAGGAATTCTTCGACGCTGACGACGGTAACCTTCTCACGATCAAGGGCGACAGCGACGACGAAGTGGCCGACAACGCCTCCGATAACACCGCCTGGGAGCCGAAAACCAAGGAACCGGTAGCGGACGACGCACCCTCCGATAGTGAGGATGAAGCCGACGAGGCTTTGGCCGGCGGCGCGCATGATCAATTCTCGCCGCTATTCCCGGCGCGACCCAAAACGCTCACGCCGCTACCACTCAGCACCGTGGCGCGCCGCACCAACATCACTGCTCCGACAGTCATGCCGCCGAGTCTAATCGGCTTCCTCCGCAAGAATGTCGGCAAGGATTTGTCGCAGATCTCCATGCCCGTCTCTTCCAACGAACCCCTGTCCCTGCTCCAGCGCGCCGCCGAGGTCATGGAGTATTCCACCCTCCTCGACCGCGCCGCCAGCTCCTCCGACCCCCTTGAACGCCTCATGTACGTAACCGCCTTCGCTTTGTCCCCAATCTCTAGCAACCGGGTCCGCGAGCGCGCCATCCGGAAGCCTTTCAACCCCATGCTCGGCGAGACCTATGAACTCGTCCGCGAAGACCTCGGTTTCCGCTTCCTCGCGGAGAAGGTCTCACATCGCCCCGTTCAGCTCGCCTACCAAGCCGACAGCAAAGACTGGAGTCTCACGCAATCACCAATGCCAACCCAGAAATTCTGGGGCAAGTCCGCCGAAATCATCACCGAGGGCAAGATGCGCCTGACCCTACATACAACCGGCGAGCACTTCAGCTGGGCCCAGGCCACCTCGTTCCTCCGCAACATCATCGCCGGCGAGAAGTACGTCGAGCCCGTTGGCGAGATGTCTGTCACCAACGAAACCACCGGCCACCGCAGCATCTCCACCTTCAAAGCCGGCGGCATGTTTTCCGGCCGCAGCGAGGATGTCAACACCAAGGCCGTCGACAGCTCCGGTCGCGACCTCCCCCTGGGCCTTATCGGCACCTGGACTTCCTCCCTCGACCTCACCAAGAACGGGTCCCCCACTTGCACCATCTGGTCTACCGGACCGCTTGTCCCCAACGCCCCCAAGCACTATGGCCTCACCTCCTTCGCGGCGACCCTCAACGAGGTCACCCCCATCGAGGACGGCAAGCTCCCCGCCACTGATTCCCGCCTCCGTCCGGATCAACGCGCTCTCGAAGACGGCGACGTCGACCAGGCCGAGGCCGTCAAAGTCCAACTGGAGGAGGGCCAGCGCGCGCGTCGTCGCGACATGGAAGCCTCCGGCGAATCTTGGACCCCCCGCTGGTTCACCCAAGTGGACGAGGACCAAGCCACCGGTGAGACCGTATGGCGGCTGAAATCCGGGAAAGAGGGATACTGGGATGAAAGGACTCGGGGGTCCTGGCCGGGTGTCGTGCCGGTATTCAAGCCATGAATCATCATTACCATGTGGCATCATTATAAAACACCTGGGACTGGTTGGGATGTGAATAGAGGTGTATATGTATGTTGGTAAGGAGGTCAAGTAATTAGGTTCCTTTTTTCGCTCTCTCTCTCTGGGTGTATTTATCTACCTATCTTATCACTTTACTTGAACTTGTAAAACAGGGATATGATATTTCTGTTTGGTATGTATGCGAAAAATACATGTGCTAAGCAAGACTAGGTAACGATACAATAGATTGCATGGAGATGTACAGGTATAGATGGATAGTATGCAAATATGTACTTTTAATTAGTTTCTATTCACATTGCTGTGGACAAGATGGAATTCCTTCCTTGTCTGTCTGTTTGTGTCTAGAAACTGGATCTCATGGGATCTGGAACAGAGAAAGGGGGAAAAGGGAAAGGAACGAAAAATAAAGCAAGCAAAAAGGCTCGGCGAGAAAATAGGGATCTAACGCGACAGTGAGTATCAGAAACGAAGCAATTGTGGAACAGCAGTATCCAGTTTCACGTGTTTATCTTAAAATTTAGAGCAGCCTAATCATCGTCCGACTGCTCGTGCATGGCCCACCGACGACTGTTCCGGTATTTGGCCGTACGCTTGGCCGTCCCTCGGTCCGACGGCGTGTCCATGCGCATGATCACCGGAAGGCTCTCCAATACAGCGCGGTTGCCTTGGTAGTAGTGTGCGGCGAACCCGCCTTGCAGGATCCGGCGCAGGGAATTCAGACAAATCCATTTCCACCAACGGTCGATGTTCATCACGCCCTGTCGGCCGATCTTCACCGTGAGCTTGCTCCCGTAGTGGCGGTTCGTGTCTTGATCGATGGCAGTGTTGTACATCGGCCCCCGACGCGGGTTCTCAACTGTTGTCAGGATGGAGGCAAAATTGCTGTGCAAGCTCTTTTTATCGCGTTTGCTGATCCGCTTGCTATGTATCGTTGCCAACGACTGAAGTTGTTGTTCGAGTTCATGCGTGTTGTGGTACGCATTATACCGCTTAATCAATTTGGGGCCGTTCCGACGACCACTAGACAAGAACGACTCCTCTTCCGACTCCTCTTCCTCATCTTCGTCGTCCTCATCATCCTCCTGTGGCGTGTAGCTCTTTTCGTACAGGAGCGCGATGTTCTCACCGGCAGCGATCTGGAGCGCAGAGTCGCCGCTGTTCAACTGCTCCATGAAAATCTCCACAGCTTCCTCGCTTTCAGTTTCGAGGTCGTCGACCTGGGTCGCAAGCACGCCCCATTCTTGCAGAGCTGCGATGACACTCTGTGCGTCGTCCCCGGCACCGATCGACTGCCCGTCGGAGGCGGCTATGTCCAAGAAAAATGTCATCTGGTCCAGAATGCCGTCTTGTCCGGCGCCTGCATGTAGGGTGCTCACGCCCAGACAGTGGATCGCCGCGGCTTTGATGGCGTTGGAGGTCGAATCTCGAATGGTGCGAGTAAGCAAGGGTTCGACATTCTCGTAGATTGTGTTGTCGTATGCGGAAATCGCCAGAAGCTCGATGGCACGGAGTGCGAGAGTGGTCTCGCGCACGCTGGTCTCAAACTTGATACTTCTACCAAAGGCCGCCACGAGGTCATTGACACGGCCGCGAATTTGTTCCTCGATGTAATGGGATTTGGCAAGTCGGCAAAAGGCAGCGTAGGCTTCCTCCCGACTGAGGTTGCTGCTACGCTTCCGATCCAGAATATCCTGGATGACATCGCCGAGCTCCTCGACCCAGTCATGGTTGTTATCCACGTCCGGGTTATCGGTCAGGTCATCCAACGAGCCAATGCTGTGTCGCAGAAGGCGCATTAGTAAACGGGGAATACAAGACTAGCGACGATGACATCATTCCGTGTGGTGGGAACAAGAAAAGTCGAAGGGGCAGATGGGGATCCGAAATGGCTCACCTCATGGCGGTGTCATCGCTGAGACTGTCTAGATCTTCCTCGTCGGATCCATACCTACTCGGATTCCGGGACGACTGATGGGAATTTGGCGTGGAGTTGCCGCGCGACGTGCGACGAGAGCCTTCGCGAGAGGCGGCCTTGCGAGAGATGGTTTTGCCGCTCTCCAGCACTTGACGACGCAGGTCGGGCATGGCTGCACGCTGGAAATCCACCAGAAAGATGGTCTGGAGGGGAGACTGACAGTGAAGGAAAGAAAAATCTTCACGTGGAAGGCACGAGAGTTTGCACTGAATAGCACTGAATAGGCCAGTGAGAAGCCGTGGCGTCGAAGGTATAGAAAGAAGTATCGTAGTAGGTAGCAATAGAGAAGCACACCAAGGAGTGCTGGCAGACCTGGTCGGCTATGCAAAGGGTATGGTAAAGGTGGACAATAAGAAGAAGCTTTCAGAGACGAAGGACATGGTAAAATTGGGATGTGGTGCCGAAAAGATGCCCGTGGGTTGGTTGAGTGTTATTGCGACGGTCGGAAGAAAGCAATGAATGGGAAGAAAGCCTCCCGCGGGAAGAAAGTTCCCCAAGCTTCCGTCGCCAACTGGTCACCACCCCCACCCCCCCTTCTTCTTCCTCGACGCCACCTCGGAGGCCTGCTTGTCATGGGATGGACTAATCCCCCCTTGGTAATATCTGAATATTAATTTCCTGGTTTTCGTTCTTGCTTTTTGCTTTTCTTCTTCGACCAGGTCGAATTCTGCCAATAATCAGTCTCGTTATCGCCACGTGATGCGGGGTCATGCTTATCGTCCAGGCCATCACAAGCAACAAGAAACTGAGGTCGAACCAAAGACATGCAGTGAATGCGATGCAATCAGTCAAGCCCGGATGCTTGGTTTCAGAAGACTCCGTCGTGAAAGCATCCTGATCATTCTTGACTACACTCCACAGCGGAGGGAACAAGGAGTCCATTGCCGGGGGTATCTATTCTCACTAGAAATACTATCGAAAAGTCTTGAAATCCATCCAACCCCTACCTACATCTGTTGCAGTACCAGGTCCAAAATCCGGCGAGCCTTGCCACCCTCCAGATATTCTCTTCCTTCTTTACCCCGATCCTCCTCATCCTCCTCGTCCCCAACTTCCAAGTCCACCTGCAAACTGGCCTCATATGCCCCCATCACCGTTTCCTCGTCAACTCGCACTCCCCCGTTGACTAGTACCCGAATGCACTGCGCTAGGCGGGCAATCTCCCGACGTGTTTGTGGCGGGATCTCATCATTCTGGCTCGAGTAGATAGAGCTCGACACCATCTCCTCCATGCGGGTGATAGACACATTCTCCGTCGTCGACGATGCAGCGGCCGCGCCGTCCGTGTGCTTAGAAATCCAGATGTAACCGTTGACACCAAGAATCACATCCACTTCCCCACCTCCGTTGGCAGTATTGATCGTCCACACCTGTCTCCGAGACCGAACCACTCCACCAACTCCGGTGGCGCCGCCTGCTCCCGCCGATGTAGACCCGGCCCCGACTGAGCCTTTAACGGACGAGCTAGACGCACCACTTCCACCCGTACCTGTCACAGCAAGGAAAACACCGTTCCTCAGCTTTCCGTACTTCAATGACCGTGTATGCAGCGATGCGCCTCCGTCGGAATGTACAGTCTGGACTTCGGCGACGACCAAGTCACCCTCACTAAAGAAGGTCCGGATTTGTAGCTCATCGGCGCTTGTTCGTCGACGCAGGATACCACCGGGCAGATTGATAGCGGAAAGAGGAAGCTGTGCGAGAAGGGGGGCGGCGACATCGACCTTCCATCGTCGAGACTGCACCTCGACAATGCGCCCAACCACCAAATCACCGATCTCGGGCGTATAACGGGCGCGCAGAGGCTGAACGGATAGCAATTTGTTGGTCTTCTGAACCGTACCGGCGACGGTGGCGATGATGGAGGTCGATAGGGGGTTCGTGTATGTGCCATGGCCTCTGCGATCAGGTCAATGCCCGTGCCTTCAAGGAAATATAGCAGTATGATATGGAGCCACCAACCTCATCCATTGCGGATCATCCGTGACCACCTCGCCGGGCGTAAGGACTCCAGCGCCAATATTCGTCCCCTCCACTAAACGAGGCCGTTTGCTAGGTCTTGATGCGTCTCCCGCTGCCAGATCTACTCCTCCGTCTGAATCCACGGACATCGAATCGACGTCGGACTCGGGGTAGGGAACGTCGACATCCTCCACAACCGGGGGGTGGATAGTGATGGCCATGCTGTCGGGGATATTACTACACGTGAATAATCAGGGGCCAGCAATCCGATTATCAAGCGTTTCGGCAAAGGATGTCTGAGAAAATGGGAGCATTGGAGCTGGAGTCGGAGAAGACTTTCGGGATGCCAAGCAAACCAGTCAAACCGCTGGTGGAGACGCACGTGAAGCCGCATACCCAATCCGGGAGAGCAACAATCTAGTAGAGATCACTAAGATAGGTTCAATGATATGACCTCATTCACAACTAATCTAGTACACCAGCTAGCCATGCTTTGGTATGTCCATGTCACCTGGCTCGGATTGGGACTCGGGTCTACTGTCCGTAGCTTCAACGTTAAGTTACGTTGGATTGTCTCTCATAGTGTTATCATATTGGAAGTCGTTCTAAACACTATTGTGTTAACACACAGGGCTAGATAATGACAGCAGTCGGCGAGAGCAATGAAGCGAAACTCCCGCAAGTAGGAAAGAAATGAGCCAAGTAGATGGGCGTAGCAACACTGGTGGGAAATCCATACCCGAAACCCGAGGGAATGAGCACTCCATACAACGCCCTCGGCCGCTCCGTAGAACCGCTTAGGCGTTGCTATCCGCCGTGGGCAACTGCAGACGCATTGGACTGTCAAGGAGATCAAAAGAGAGATACAGAGAATCTATTAATACAAAAAATGGAATGACCAAGGGCCAGTTGCATGTAAGTTCAAGCACCCGCTCCCGAAGATCTCTTTGGGGGTCGCTTGGGGTTGGCGTTCTCATCATCCTTCTTCTTCCGGTTCGAGCGACTACTACCACCCTTGGGCCGGTAACCGGTGTCTTCGTCGCGCTTGCGTTTGCCTTTCGTACCTCCCGAAGTTGACGCGGTCTCTAAGATGCTGTCATCATCATATGTGTCCTCATCTTTGCGCGATGGAGCCGGCGCCCTCTTGGATGCGCGTAGATTGGAGGGTCGAGAACCCGACTTCTCCGAGGCGTTTTCGTTATCCTGTAAGAAGATCTGCGGTTGGTTTTGACGTAGCCAGTTGTGCACCGAAACGTGGCTCCGAAGAGCAGCGTCTCTCTCGCGTTCGGCTAGTGATGGCTTTCTGGCAATGCAAACAAGCTGGTCAAGCGCCTCTTCGTCGCCCAACTTAGCGTCCAGAGCCAGGCAATACTCGGTCTCGTATTCCGGAGTCAGGAACCCAAGTTCCTGTGCAGGGTTGTAAGCGTCAGGGTCCTCCGGCTGCAGAGGCCCAGAATGGGGAAATTTCGTTAATGAGGTGTACTGCATCTGCGGTGCAAAAGCCTGTCCTCGCTTAACATCATCCTCCACCTCACGATAAGCCTCGCTTGACATTCGGCCTGCAGTCAATCTTCCTCTGGCGTCTTGCAGGACAGAGCTGGCCACGTCGGGATCACTGTAGGATTTGGGAATGTCTCGTTCGGGAGGCGGTAGGAAGGAATCGTCTTCCGGCGCACTGAGATCGTATCGTAGACTGGGGGAGACATGGAGGCTGTCATTGAACTCTAGAAGAACTTCTAGAAGTTGACTGTGAGGGGATCAGTGATAGGAGCCCGAAACGACGAAGACAAGCTCGGCAACATACTCGTTCTGTGCTTGGATCCTCTTTGAGAGATCCTCGATGCGCAATCCTTCGCGGATGAGTGATTCGCTTTCTCTCATCTGAAGCTCGAACTTGACCTTCAGCTTGGCAAACTTCTTCCTGGATGTCGATCGGCCAAATTAGCGACGGATCGTCCCAGGCGCTCATGGAACTGCACTCACTTGAACGACCGGTAGGACTGCTTCGCAGGGGCGCCAACGGAGGCATCCGGTAGGCTTTCGGCCACGGATTGAGCATCGTCGACGGTATGCGACATGATGAGAATGGTGGAAGTCGATGGTTAGGAACCAAGATGGCGCCTCGAGGGACGGGAGTTGGGCGGCGCGAAAGGGGCGGAGGAAGCGAAGGCTGAGGCTTGAAATGGACGTGTTTGGGCCGGTCACGTTAAGCGGTCCGCCGGTCTGGATCTGGTGTTGAGGCGGAGTGTTTCTGCCTGCCGTAAAAAAAAGTTTCCCTCCGCAATCAGAATCCTGATTTCCGGTGTTGCGAATTTCAATTCTTCAGTGAATGTTCTCTTGCTACTCCGCAGTCTCTCTTTTTAAGATACCCCAAGCCCCAATACTATCCAGCTGCTCACACCATGGCCGGCATCGGTGAAGAAAATCACAAGAAGCGAAAGCTCCCAGAGGGCCCGGAGATCGAGATCGATGTTTCTGCACCCGAGCCTCCCTCCAAGAAGGCTTTGCGAAAACTCAAGAAAAAGGCTGCAGAACCCGCATCGGAATCCGCTACAGAGGAGAAGACACAGGCATTGGCAAAGGCACAGGCCCCTGTAGACGGCGCTGCTAACCCTCAGAAGCGCTCCGACTATGGCGTCTGGATCGGAAACTTGCCGTTCTTCGCAACCAAAGAGGACGTGCGCAACTTCTTAACAAGCAACTGCACCTTTACAGAGACGACCATCACCAGAATCCACATGCCCAAGTCCGGTGATAAATTTGGAAAACCCCAGAACAAAGGATTCGCCTACGTCGACTTCTCTACGCAGAAAGCCGTACAGGAGGCGCTTAGCCTCAGTGAGCAACTTCTGACCGGACGACGCGTGCTGATCAAGGACGCAAAGAATTTCTCCGGAAGACCGGACAAGGCTCAGGGAGAGGGCAGTTCTGCGGCGTCTGGAAACCCTCCGTCAAAGCGTATATTTGTCGGTAACCTCGGCTTCGACGCTACGAAGGAGCTCATCGAAGAGCATTTTGCCCAATGCGGAACTGTGGCAAACGTACATGTGGCGACATTCCAGGACTCTGGTAAATGCAAGGGTTATGCTTGGGTGGTATTTGAGGATCTCGCAGCCGCCGAAGCAGCGGTGAAGGGTTTCGTGATGATTAAGGAAGATGATGAAGAGGAGTCCGAGTCCGAGTCTGAACGCCAGAAGAAGTCCAAGAAGCCGCGCCAGAAGAGAGTTTGGGTAAACAACCTGCTCGGTAGGCGGCTGCGGATGGAATTTGCCGAAGATGCCACGACGCGCTACAAGAAGCGATTCGGTAAAGATGGGGAAGGCAAGAAGAACGAGACCGCAGACATCAGCGAGGTTGGGTCTGCAGAGCACGAGTTGGCGGGCGAGCAGGCTCGCCAGTCGCGGCCTGGCAGGGCTAGGAAGGAAAAGCCCGATTATACGAGATACGATCAAGAGACTGTGCAAAAGCTTAGTGGGGCCATCGTCGAATCGCAAGGAAAGAAGACCACCTTCGACTAGGAGTGATCACCCATAAGCTAAGAGCGTGCAGCCCGGGAGAACAGAGGAGACGACCGGACATGGAGAACCGAACCCTCCTTACTGGGAGACAACACGGAGCTTTGCAATGTCCGGCCGTGTATTCTGACCGTTGGAGATCGTTGTCATAGTGAGCTGTGACTTGAGTTGTCCCATCCTTGCATGGATACCATGACCCGCCGGTTCATGGAGAAGACGGCCGTAGGCGGCGCTATAGAAGCAATGAGGATTTTGGTCCTCAGTACCCTGATACCCAAAAGAAAGAGTCTCTTGTGCAAACTGTATGTAAGCAATGAAGCATCATAATAACCAATAGAATGATTAGCTATGTCCTTCAGTTTGTGTTTATCGGCCGTGGCCTTGGTAGGGCGTGTTCACCCCCAAGCCCCATTGTAGAAACACCGCCAGATGTCTCTCAGTTAGACGCAAAGTACTTCGACCTAGAGGACCACCTACATATAGTACCAGATTAGGGTACAGGTACATTGGATCCGATCCATCCCTGATGCCCGCCGGCTTAGTCATGGGTAAACATAGCCAGCCAACCATCGGGGACGGAGGGGGGACAAGCAGAGTTCACGGCGTCAATAATGCTCACGCTGTGGTCAGGGTTGCTCTGACGCGTGGTCTGGATGTTTCCCCCGCCGCTGGAAGTGGGATCCTGGGGAGTGGTCTGTTTCTGTTGATTCAGAGTGGCATCGCGTCACTGTAGACGTGCCAAAGGGAGCTAGAGAGCAAGTAGGCATGGGGAGTGAGTGAATGATCGTCTGGAGGGCGACTCGGGAAGTACTTTAGTTCTAGAATCCCCGATGTGGTTTGGGGGGACGCTAACCGGATCGAGGGGGTTGACATCGAAAGAGCATGTCATGGCTCATGCTCAAAACCACCATTTCTCCCTCCCCAGCTCGCCTATCTGTTCAACACTCCTGGCCCTCGCTCTTGAGGTGCACCTTCTCGCTCTTCCTCCCCATCTTTTCTTTGCTGTTCGTCTTTTTTCTTCCCGGGACGTCTTGCTTTCCCGGTTTTCTTCCTCTTTAGACCTAGTCGCTGCCCTGCTGCTACCCACCCACCCTCGTCTTGCAACCCGCCTCTCTCGCCGCTGCTGGTCGGTGCACTTTGACGCCTTTCCCACCACCACCCCGATCACCCAAGCATTCCTCGAACCCCCTTCCCCGGAACTTTCCTCCACCCTTTCCCTTTCACCGTCATTCCGTTCCCATGGCCCCACGTCGACACAATATCGGTGCTAGCCGCCGCCGGAGAAGAGACGACGAGGGCGAAGATGAGGGATCGCTAGACGGAGAACTGGAGGACGACTCTCTGAGCGAAGGATCCATTATCAGCCACCCAGATGACGAGGATGCCGATGGCGAAGGCAGCGATGAGAGCGAGGACGAAGCCTCTGTGGCCCGGGAAACAGGCAATACCCATGCTCCTCAACACAATGGCCGTACGCCCGCGGTAAACCAGAAGCTCGGGCGCCGCCATTCTGCCTCTCCTGGGAAACGCCACACAGTCACCGCTATGTCCGATACAGAGGCTATGCTGAACGGACTGAGGCTGTCCGATGAGGCAACTGAGGTGGCCGAAATCCATTTTGATGATATGAAGGGGGGGCTGGGCCAGCCGACTGGGAGGACTCCATCGGCGCCTCCGGCAGAACCAAAACAAGAGAGTCTGACGGAGAGGAAGCGCCGTGATCTTGAGAAGTATACAAAGGAAAAGGACGAGAACCCGGCGTTCGTGCCCACCCGAGGTAGCTTCTTCCTTCACGATAAACGCTCGACTGATTCCGCAACCAACGGTTACAAGTCGTTTGCCAAGTCCAAGTCGAGGCCATACGGTCTCATCGTGGACGGCAATGTGCGCAAGTACGCCTGAACTCCCCGCTGGCTCTTCTACTGCAGATCCCTACTGGGACATCTCACTAACGCCTAGCAGAAACCACGTCAAACCAATCGCCAGCGAAAAACCGTGGACACACGATTTGCATGATACTGTTGCTGGGGATGATGCCCCGGTGTCGAAACTCCCAGCACTGCCTCCGCCTATTTCGACTTATCCCCAAAGCCAGTCCCTACAGCCCCTCGGTCGTCGCCGCCCAATAGATCTTTCTCGAACACTACGCTGATTGGAAATGTGCCGGTTGTGGTCCTCTTGCCCGGCATGGCTCAGCCTATATCATACCCTACAGTTTCAAAAAAACAACACACCCGTTTACCTCAGCATCGTCCACCTCTCCGTCGCGACAAACCCGTCCGAATCTCACTCCCAGGGCAGCCTCCACGGTACATCTTCCCTGCGACAGAGCGATCTTTCATCTTTATCCCACGAGCGCTACGCCCTAACCAGCAAGCATTCCGCGGGCGTCGGAGTGGATTCATTCCAGGACGGCGGCCTAGTATCTATGCAAGCTCGACATACACTCCAAGCGTCAGCATTAGCAGGAGGTCGTCATTTGGCAAGCCGCCATCTCAAGAAGGATTCCACTCGCCCGCAGCCTCCGTTCTCTCGAGGCAGACGGTCGTGGCCACAGATAACGGCAAGCCCATTGTCCGCCTACCTCCACCTAGACCCTCAGCAGGGCTACCACCTCCGCCTCCCGGTCCTCCATCGGCAATGCCGCCTCTACCTCAACCGCAGCCTCAACCCCCTGTTTACCGGGAGAGTCGTCCGGCGCCCATCCCTATGCATCAACCCCGACCCCAGAAAACAGTCTCTGTTGCGGACATTGAAACCCCAGCAAGCTTCCCTTTTAATCCCCCTCAGCCACAACAGGAGCAGCCGTTTCATCACCAGGTCCCGATGCCTGCCAATGGACCCGTCTATGGTCCAGATGCTCCTGGTTTCCCTCTTTCTGCCCACTCGTCAGTGACGCCGTTGTCCCACATACCCGAGCGTGCGATCCATGCCCAACCCTTCCAGCCATACGGATTTCAACAGCCGCAAGCCTTCTATCCCGCCTCCTATCCCTCTGGCGCTCTTTATTACCCGGTCACGGGAACGGAGTTCCCTCCGTACAATGCCGCGGTGGGACCTGGCACCTCTGTGCCTCCATTCCCTCCGGGGCAACAAACGCCGTACATGGTGCCTGGGGCGCATACATCGGGCGAACAACCGCCTCAGCCGGGCACTGTCGCACATGAAGCAGGCGGTACGGTGTATTTCTACGATACCAACCAGATGTACCAAAATTCATCCTATGGAATGCCGAATGCTCCCGGGCCTGGTGGTGTCGTGGGCATGGGCGGCATGATGACGCCCCCTGGTACAACCTATTACTACCCCCCGGCTCAAAATGTTTACTACGCCTCTCAATGAGCAGAGCCTCATGGATAATACTCGACTTGCCCTATCTACTCTTTTCTTTTCTTTCTCGTGAGCTGCGAAAATTTCTGTTTCTTTCTTCTGTGTTCATTTTGACGTTCTGCTCCCCTTCTGCCTTGGTCTGTGCCTTATCTTTCCCCTTTGTCCCTTTTTTGTCTTATGTTATTATTATTTCCCTCATTTTTCTCAACATCTTATTGACTTTGTTGCTTTTTGCCTGCGCATGGAAAAGCGGCAACTCTGTTGTTGATCCAAATATGACGACCTTTCATTTCTTCATAGCGCCTTTCCTTGCTTGTTGAGGTCTAGTGTCGCCCGGGCATATTCCTCTGCGAGTTCCGTCTCTGATTGTGGTTAGATAAGGATTCCATGCATTACTAGCGATTGCCTGCTGTGCTGTTCTATTTTTACGCTGCCTTTTTTTTTCTTTTTCTTCGCGTGTTCCCTTTTTTTTGCGTTTCCTTTCTTGTTTTCTTTTTTTTTTCCTTTTTGTCATTTCCATTTTTCTTTTTCTTCCTTTTTTTTTGCTTGGCTTTCGTCGTTGTTCTGTTGTCCCGTTTAGCTTGTGTCCGCCGAAGTCTTCCGCGATGTACGGATACCATCTCCTTCGATATAACTCATGACGTTGAATGGCAACGGGATGGGCCGGGCCATGGTGCGGTGATGCTCTACGCCCCTGCTCGCTCCGCCAGTTTCCCTCTTCCGGTCTGTTGCCGGCGCGAATACCCGTACGAAGTCTCTAATCACGCTCGTCTGCATCCTGGCTTATGATCGTAATGCGGTGTCCCTTTGTGATCTGCGATGTGTTTCAATGCGCTCGTTTGAGATTGTTGATTGATGAGGACGAGGAGGCCGACTGTGGCGTGGCACTCTGTCTACAAAAGCAATAAAACATGATCCCAAAAAGAGTGACCTGAGCGTTGAGCTTGCCGATAGAGCCCTCCAGATGGCCGGGATGGCCTGGAAGGCCTTGGGGGGTGACGTGACGTCAAGAAGCACGTCAATGGGCGTCAATCTCTCAGCCTAGTGCATAGTAAAGCCGTACCAACCGATCCTTCGTAAGGGAGAAATTGAGGGGAGAGGAGGGGATTAACAGCCAGGAGTAAGCACCCTGATCAGCAAGCGGCATCTGAGGCTGTGGGGGGATTGGACGGTGGCATGAGGGGAACATCCATGTTGCGATGAAATCATCCCGCCCAAGATGAGGGAGATGACGAGGTGGTGGGTTAGGCACCTACGTAGCCAACAGAGCAGTGCCTCGCTCTGCAGACGGGGGGACTCCACCGGGGATGCGAGAGGGAGGAGTGAATTGGGGGGGGATCGAAGTGAAGACTTGGGAGTACGGCGGATAGCATCGCGACCGGCGGGCCAGACAAGGTACCGGGGAGGTATTCGGGGCAGGAGCTCAGGCCAGCCGTGCGATCCGCCGGGCGTGTCTAAGGAATTAGTCGTCACGACCCGGCCAGACATCTCCAGGCAGGCAATCGCAGAGCATCCGCCAATGGCCGTCCGCCTTCACCGCCTCGGCCGGATGCAGCAGCGCAGCAGCTGACCTCCAGGCAGCCGGCCACTCCTCTTAATCTCTCCCTCGCTCTCTCCTCATCTCTCCCTCTCTCCCTCTCACACCCCCTTCTCCTCATCCCATCTTCCCTCCCTTCCTCAGCCACTGTTCTCTTCCTTTCTCTTATTAAAACCCCCTCTTAACCTCGGCTTCCTCCTCATCATCATTTTTATCCTTCTCCCCTCCCCTCCCCCCCCCCCCCCAACACCGTCTTTAAAATCCCTCCATCTAACCCATTTCCATCCTGGGGATTCCATCACATTTCTCGTCCTTGGCCAAGTAACTGACGGGGCGAATCTCACTCACCACCCTGGGTCCCTATCATCTGCTTGCTAGCCTTGTTGCCCCCCTAGCTACCGCTACGCACTAGCGTCCTTTTTTCTTATCTCTCCTCGGATCCCTGCTTAATCACGCCAGACCAGACAAGCACCATCTGGACACCATGGCTTCTCCTGCGCCTGTCGCGGCCCCCGTGGGCCCAAGTACCCCCATCACCGTCAAGGTGCTCTATAATGAGAATACCCGACGCTTCAAGCTGCCTCTGAGAGAGCTCGGGGCTCGCACGCTTCCCCAGAATGTATGTCCGTCCCCACCCAAGCTCCGATCGGAACTACGGGTCCTTGCCCCCCCATAAAAAAAAAAGTCACCCCAGAATTTCCTCCTTCATTGGTCCCCCCTCACGTGCCCATGTGCTTGCTCCATGTCTGTTCTCGGGATCTTTATCTCGCTCGTGGACAACCTGGCTGCAAGGAGTTAATATAAGGGGTGACGATTTTTGCACGTGGTCATAACTCATGCTGACGTCTTATCTGCGACCAGCTCCGCCAACTCCTTGGCGTTCCCGAGGATGTTAACGTCATCTTCGAACGTTATTCCGACAGCGCCGGTTGTTATATTCACCTCGACAGCGAGAACCCGGCTGTCTACAAGCAGCTTTACCGCGCTGCCAAAGCCAAGTTGAAATTGCGGATTAAGGCTACGACGGCCGAGGAGACTGTATCCCCACACCAGCTGGTTGCAGATCTCCCCGAATCACAAAACGCATCAAGGTACAGTTACCTCGAAACTGTCTTGAGTGCTCCTCTCCCTGAGTCTCAAGTTGAAAGTGTTCCCCCTAGTGCGTCCCCATCTGCCTCGATTATGCCCGAGACCACCTATTCCGTCCCGGCTGAAGCCCAGTCCACGCAATGGTCGGCCCCCGCCACTGCGGAGCCTCAGTATCGCGACTTTGTCTTGGGCCAAGACAGCCTGGACACTCCGGTTGTCTCGCACGCATCGCCCAACGGGGTCTTCTGCATCGATTGCAACAATTGTGGCCGCTCGATCCCCAACGAACATTATCACTGCAGCATCTGTGATGATGGCGATTACGACCTATGCCTCCAGTGTGTCGACACTGGTGTCACTTGCCTCGATGAAGAACACTGGTTAATTAAGCGTGTCGTCAAAGACGGTCAGGTCACCAACAGCACGACCGAAACGGTTGCACCCAGAAAGCTCCAGGATGAGGAGCCGGAAGAGAAGTTCGAGGAGTCCGTTCCCGAGCTGGTCTCCGAAAGCAACCCGGAACCTCCTTCAGCTGCCCCAGAAGTTCCCGAAACTACTCAGGAGCGCATCTGCAACGACTGCCTAAAAGGTACATCATACCCTTCTACTAGCATCCGCTTCCTACTGACTTTTAACAGATCTCGATGAGACTAAAATGGTTTCTTGTCTGGATTGCGACGACTATGATCTCTGCATCACATGTCTTCTCAAGGACACCCATGGCCATCACCCCGCACACACTCTCAAACTGATTCACGACCGTCAGTTCTGTTTGAAGAGTCTGGTGCAATCCCGCTGCAAACCTGGACGTCACCATCACCATGCTGCGATCTGTGATGGGTGTGAGAAGGTTCGTTGTCAAACCTCTGCTCTTGTTTGCCTACTGTAAGCTAACGAAGTTTCAGCGTATCATTGGTGTCCGCCACAAGTGCCTGACCTGCCCAGACTGGGACTACTGCTCGGAGTGTCACCAAAAGGCACCCCAAAGCCATCCGGGCCATCGGTTTGCGCCGCTCTACGAGGCCATCTCCGAGCCCTTGCAAAGCTATGAAGTGCATTACGGCATCTACTGTGATGGCCCTCTATGCAAGAGCCGGCCCTGCCCTAGCTTCATCACAGGAGCTCGCTACAAGTGCTCCGTGTGCGATGATACAGACTTCTGCGCCAAATGCGAGGTTCACCCGACCAACACGCATAACCGCACTCACCCCATGGTCATGCTCAAGACGCCTGTGCACAATGTCTTTGTCAGCACTGTTCAGGAAGAACGTGGCGGATCTACCTTCACATTTGGCGACCGTCCCCAGCGATCAGCTTCCACCCAAGCCACCGCTCCGGTTGAGCCAATCCCGGAGGCGCCCAAGCCGGAAGCCCGGAGTGTGCCGGAGCCTCAACCTGTGGCACAGCCAATTGCGGTTGCTGAGAAGCAGGACCAGGTCGACCAGACGACGTCTGATCCCGCCTCAGGCTACCAGGCCTTCTTTATCCGCGACACTGTGCCGGACGATACCACGATGACCCCCAACAAATCATTCGAGCAAACCTGGACTGTTTTCAATCCCGGTCCCCTCTCCTGGCCCGTCGGCACTGATGTGCGGTTCGTTGGTGGCGATTCGATGTTCAACGTGGACACCAACCACCCGTTGAGCATGGACTCCATCTCGGCTGCCATGGAGAGCAACAAGCTGACGGAGCCGCTAGAGCCCGGCCACAGTGTCGAATTTACCGTGACGCTCAAGACCCCGAGCCGCCAGGGCACGGCGATCTCGTACTGGCGACTGAAGCTCCCCAACGGTATGCCGTTCGGCCACCGTTTGTGGTGTGACGTCCGCGTGCGCGACGAAGTGCCGCTGCCCGTGGCGAGTGCACCGGTGCCGGAGGCCGCGAAGCCCGTCGAAGCCCCTGAAAACGAGCATGCCGAGCCCGCCGAGAGTCAAATGATCTTCCCTAAGTTGGAGAAGGAGTCTCCGGAGACGAGCACACACGAGGCGGCCATGACGGCACCCTCGGCCCCGTCGGAGACGAATCCATCGGAGCAGGATTTATTTGACGACATGGACAGCCTGACACTGGGCGAGGACGAGACGGATGCGGGGCTGCTGACGGATGAGGAGTATGACATCTTGGATGCTAGTGATCAGGAATATCTGGAGGCGAAGTCTCAGCGCTGAAGGGGCGCGTGTGGCCGCCATGAGTTACGGATTTCTTGGACTTGAGGACGACGGAGTTAGTGCGAAAGGATGGAATAATCTGCCGTGTTTTTTTTCATCTTCTTAATCCAGCTTTATTTGTTGAAAAGCGGTCTAAGGGGTGGACGTGGGGGCCCGCCCTAAGGAACGAAGGCTGTAACTTGACTTTGCTCTAGGTTTGGAATGTAAGCTCTCCACTGCGTTTGTGCTCTTTCATAATTCATTAAGGTGTAAAAGGGAATTAAGGGATCGCCGCGGAGAAGGCGAGGCGTGAGCTTTCCCCGCCGTGTCGATCGCGGCTGGTGGGGGGGGAGGCGATGGCCATTGGCCTGAGGTACTACTGGACTAACTCCTCAGGGCCCACAGTGGATGCCTAATCCGCTTTTCAGTTAGTACGTTAAACGTTAGACATTAAACATTAGACGTTAGTAGTAGTATTGGACCATTGGTGTAGTTCAGCCCTCTGCAGTTTCTGCAGGAGTGGCTGACTGCTTCCCCGCACCGTGCTCTATACGCGACAGTCTCCCCTCCCTCGCCTTCACCTGCTTTTGGCCTACTTACTCCCCACTCCCACCCCCAGGGAAGCATCCATCCACCATGAAGAGCTACATCAATCTGGCCATTTTGGCCGTCCTGGTGGCCTCCCTCTATAAGCCGGTGATGCACGACCTCACTGTCCTGGGCGTGTTCCGCTCGGCCACCGGGGCAGTGAGCCACCAAGGAGCCCCCGTCCATCCCATCGCAGACACCATTCACTGCGAGGATCTGCATTACTACCATCCTGCTGGCCAGCTCTTCACGGCCTGTGAGGATTCGGTCCTACCCCGGTTCCAATGGTTCCCTCCTTTGGTGACCTTCGAGGGGCCCGCGGACACGACAGGCTCAATCCATGTCATTGACCCCAAGGTAGATAACCCCAATGCATTGCACGTCGTCTCTAGCAGGCTAAAGACAATGCGCCTCGACTAGACCATGAGATCCTCCCGTCTCACGTTTGAGAACTTCTCCGGACCGTTCATCACCCACGGCATCGATATCACCGAAGATCCGGAACGGACTGATGCTGTGTACATTTTTGCCGTGAACCATTTGGCCAACCCCGAGTATCACGGTGGAGATGTGCCCAAGGCGCGCTCGCAGGTCGAGCTGTTCCACCATATTCTCAACTCAGGCACCATCCGCCATGTGCGCTCCGTCCTCCATCCCCTCGTGGCCACCCCGAATGATATCTATGCCGTGAGCCCGCATTCGTTCTATGTCAGCAACGACCATCTGTACCGCGAGGGCTACAAACGCGTCGTGGAGAACCTGCTCCCTGCTGCCAAATGGTCGACCGTCATCCACATCCAGCTCGACAGTCTCGCGCCGTTCCCAGCCGAATCCGGGATCGATGCCACGGTAGCAGTCGAGGGACTCTGGAATAACAACGGTTTAGGACACGGTCCGACGCAGGAAGAGGTGCTCCTCACCAGCGCCATGGGCGGCTACCTTTGGCGGATGCGGCCTCACGGCAACCGCACGCTATCCGTGGTGGACGAGTTTGCCTTTGACAGCACGATCGACAACCCCAGCTACTATCAGGATCCGTACCGGACAGCCGAGGACGATGCGAGCGGCTATGTGCTGGGGGGATTGCTGCGCGCGGTGGACCTGGACAAGACGCGCACCCAGCCCGAGGCCACGGACGGGGTGATGATATGGTATATGCGTCGCCGGCCGGGGACCGCCGAGTGGGAGAAGCGTCTAATCTTTGAAGATGACGGATCGCGCATCCGAAGCGCCAGCACGGCGCTGCTGGTTCCGAAGATGCCCACGGTGGCGGGCGAGAAGAAGGCGTGGCTGTTTGTGACGGGGTTTATGTCAGAGAGCATGATCGCCGTGGAGGTGACCTTGTAACCTTTTCTCTCTGTTATATCAGAGGTACTATAGCATATTCCGAATGTGACGGAAGCAGTAGTTGTTCCATACCACACCACGACAAGACACACAGTACTATCAACAAATCAATCAATAAATACTAAGCAAAGCCCCAACGACCTCGGCCGTGCCCAACACCTCAGCAAACTCGCCATCCAAACTCGCCAACGACACGCCATGCACCGTCTCAGCATCCCACCCCGACTTATCCCACGTCGCCGTCGCATCCCCCACCAACACAATCCGGCCTTTCTCCACCTCCCCTTCCATTCCCCCCTCTGCCTGTGACTTAACCCGATCCACAACCCCCAGATTCGCCGCCATCCGCACCGTGGTACTCACGCAGTGATCCGTCGTCAACCCCGCCACAAGTAACTGCCTAATCCCTTGGTCCCGGAGATATGCTTCCAGGTCGGTGCCGATGAAAGACGAGTTGACGGATTTGTAGATGGTTTTTTCGTGTGCGAGGGGGGTACATCCTGGCAGGGGGTCGATTCCCTTTTTCTCCGTGTTGGGGAAGATGTAACTTGGGTGGAGGGGGGAGGTCGGCGTGGTGGAGGAGTGGAAGATGTGGATGATTTGGAGGGAGGTGGTGGAGGTGGAGGCACGGCGAAAGGTGGTTAGGAGCGTGGAGAGGTTGGTTTCGTAGTCCGGGTTGGAACGGGTGGTGCCCCAGTGGGTGGGGTGGGTGAAGCCGTTTTGGTTGTCGATTAGGAGGAGGGCCGTGGGGTGGTGGAATTGGAGGGGGGAGGTGGAGGGGGTCATTTTGATGGTGGTGGTGGTGGTGGTGATAGTTGGGGTTGTATATATGTGGGTGATGGTGGATGGTGGACGATGGTGAGTAGAGAGGGTGGGATGGTTATGGCGGGGTATATATGGGTTCATGGATGGCTAGCTGGTGGGGAATGAGTCAGACTTGTTCGTTGTTAGTAGAGACTATCTGATTAGTTCACTAGAACAGTGAGTCATTCACATTGGAGATAAACAATCATTTGGAGCAGTTGAGATAGAAGATAGGGCTAACTACGGGCTTCATAGGTTACGTAATTCTGAATGTCATTGCTGGGGATAGATTTGGCTTCAAGTTGTTAACATTGGAGCAAGACTGAGGAAGATGATCCCGATATATACCGAAATGTAGTACATAGCATATTCTCCGCCCACGAATTTACACAAGATCAACTTTTGATTCATCCGGTTTCTTCACCTAAGCTACTGTGGCCGTCTCTGCCAGACATCTCGAGCATGTACAAGTAAAAGTAAACAACCCCTCCGTCTTCTCGCGCCGCGCCTGCACGTCCACCGATTCCGCCAGGTCAAAGTACGAGGTACAACACTCCTCGCCCTTGGCCAGATCTCTCAGCGCCGTCACTATCATCCGCCCCTGCCCATCCGCTTGATGGCTCACGTTTGGCACACACGAATGATTTGCAATCGTCACGCGCAGAAACACCGCGAGTCCATACGGCTCCCCTCGGTTCATCTCTGTCGGTCCGGGACAGAGCTCAAACACATTCGTCTCCTCCGCACAGATCAGTTCCACCAGACTCTCCAGATCTAGGGTTACCGGCAACCCGCAGTCATCTCCCTGTAGGTAGTTGCGCGCCAGCTCCCTCCAGTGTTGCACCTGGGCCGTTGGCCACGCTTGTCGATTACTCCGAAGCAGCTGCACACCGGGCCAACCGCTGGCGAACACGTCGTTTGGCAGCTCATTCTCACCCATCTCCTGCTCCAGCTCTAAGGATCGGGCGGCTAGCATCCGGACCACAATCCAGAGCATGTGATAATCGTGGTCACTCACCTGGCGGAGTTCCGGACTATTGTGCTTCAGCCAGCCGCATTCGAAACCATGCCGACGGCGGTCTTGGTGCTTGCAGGTGGGACTGCACCACCGCACGGCTGGAGAACAGTTGTGTTCGCAGGTCATGCTACTGGCGTAGCCGGGGATCCGTCGGCTACAACCGGGGTTGCTGCAGATAGTGTCATCGGCTGTGACGGTGGGCAAAACGGCGTAAGGCACGTCGGCCATGACGAGTTCGCCAGCGCGAATGGGGCCATTGGCTGCGACGAGGGCTCGGCCCTTCAGAGGGTGCTGGGTCTGGCCGAGATTCGGGTGGAGGTGTAAGCTTGCCTGCGTTGATGGGGCTGGCATTCGCTTTGCACTTCCTTCCCAGAAGCTGCTGGAACGGCGTTAGCGAGGTATACTTTCAAATCATGATAGGACTTACGCAACATCCTTGGAGGAAGGGCCGACGCGAGCAGGACCCTCGGTCTGGTAGATTCGGCCAATGGCAGTCATACTGAACTTGGGGCTTGGTTGATTTTGGAGTCATTTGCTTCTCAGCAATCCAAATGCCTCCTTTATAACAACCAGCAACTTTGCCCTGCAAGCTCGTGTCATCATCATAGACGTCACGACGCTGAGAGGCCCGATTCGAGTCCATAGTTCGATTGGTCCAAAGATCCAGTATGAACCCTTGATCCTTCGATCGATCTGTTTAACCACTCCTCCTCCGTCATCGCCCGAGACACTTGTTCTTCATCTCTTACCGGATGGAGCTCTTCGGATGTCCAGATGAAATTCTAGACCTGACCTAAACTCTGTCAATACTTGAATCTAGGCTCCTGCAACACTAGCATGGCTTCGTTGTCCAAAAGGGTTCCGGGCTGTGCCTGCTCACTTCACACACGTCAAGTATGACTTGTCATGGCTGTTGAGACCAAATCTAGACTCGGAATCTTCCGGCGCCGATTGAGTTTGGTGGCTGCATTTGAATTCTCTTCTCGTTGAAAGGTCTTCCTTGATCTGGTCTACATCGCTCCCTGAACGTACGTCGATACGCTTCTCGAGAAATTGACACCATGCTGAGTATCTGGCAGAAGCCCTTCATGCCTCCCACCAGAATCGTGATCCCGCACTACTACGCGGATGCATCCCTCAGGGCATTCACAGGAGGTCGCCTCGACGCGGCGGCGACAACGCTACCTACGCCCCCATCCCCGGTTTCCCCTGTCTTCCAACTCGACATGGCGACTCCCAAAGACGTACCCGAGATCATCCAGCTGTGGTACACAGTCTTCAGCATCCCGGCCATGCTCGAGCTCTGGCCCGACACTCCCGGGGTGCGATGGTGGTGGGAATCGGCCATTCGCCAGGACATGCTCCACCGGCCGCGCGAAAAGTATCTGAAGGTGGTGGATTCCTCCGGGGGTCGGATCGCCGCCTATGGCAAGTGGTCTCTCCAGAGTGCAGAAGAGCGCGGGCCCCGTTTCCCCCCCTGGCATCCTGATATGGACGCTCGCCACAACGATCGGTTCTTTCAGGTGCTGGAGAGTAACCGCGCCAGAGCCGTTGGGGATGGCAAAAGAAAGAATTTCTGTATGAGAACCTATTCTGTGTCCGGACAGCCCTGACTTGCCGGTAGATTTCGATATGCTCGCTACGCATCCCGACTATCGTAGGATGGGGGCGGCTCGGTTGCTCCTGGAATGGGGATGCCAGGTGGCTGATCAGGAGAGAGCCCTGGTCTACCTTGATGCCACGGACCATGGCAGACCGATATATGAAGGCTTTGGGTTCGTGGATCGGGGTGACGCTCAGAGCCAGAGCCACTTCACCGGACTGGTGCCTATGCTGAGAGAACCCAACGGAGGGCGACGTAAATGGTGATCTCCAGGGGGGCTATTTAGCCGTCGGCGAATCTTAAAAGTACTCCACAGCGCTGAACAGATGTACACTATAGTCATGGACATAGATTGAATGGGACACCATGTCAATGTTTAGCTTTGCATTCATCAAATCTCGGCTCTTGCTGGGGCCGACATTTGACAACGGTCCCCGTGGCCTTGTTCAGCGTTTCTATCGCACTGCCATTCCAATTCTCGCCATGCACAAGTCATGACGTCCATTTGGAGCAGGTCCATGGTTGTACAGTCGGCCATGGCTTGGAACTCAAATGAACCAAGGATATTAAAACATCATCGCATCTAGAGGTCCACTCTTTTCCAAGTCCTTTCGTCCTTTGCTGCTTGTCAGTTCCATCTTGCAATTTGGGTTGGAAGCCAAGCTCGCGATGCGGCCAGTCGTTGAGCCCCCGACGCGGATTCTGTTCCTCACCACCCAGCAACCCAGCACGATCAAGGCAGAATGGCCATTTTATCAAAACTACGACCTCCCGGATCTCCTCAAAGAGAAGGGTGCGTTAGTCAACTTCAAATCCTGGATGGACGAGGATATCCTGGCGGCGCTCGAACAAGTCGACATTGTGACCTTCCTCTGGTGCAACGAGTACTACAAGTACCCCGGTCGGTTCTTCTCCTTTCTGGACCAAGTAGACAAGTCGATCAAGGCCAGACTGCACGCGCCTAGAATAGTTAACCCCATTGAACTGGTGCGCTGGAATGCCGACAAGCGCTATCTTCTGGACATGAAGGAAGAAGGATTCGAGATCCCCAAAACCCAATTGGTGGAGCCTCAAAAGTACAGCGTGTCAGGGTTACACGCCCTCATTCAAAACTTTTCGCCGCCTGGTTCGGTGGTTCTGAAGCCGTCGATGTCTGCGTCGTCCACCTTGACCCGGCGCATCGCTAGTACCACCACCCTGAATGCCGATGATGTGGCCTTTCTAGAGCTGTGCACGCTGGGTGGGCTGCGGAGCTCGTTGGTCATCCAACAATTTGAGCCCGACATCCGGACGGGAGAATATTCCTTCATCTTCGTGGGGCCTCACCTGACCCATGCAATGCTCAAGTGCCCGGGACGAGGAGAATTCCGGGTCCAGGATGAGTACGGCGGATCGGCCAGGCTGGTGGATATTGGGGGATTAAAGTTGCGGACCCTTCAGGCGGTGCGGGCCGTGTTTGGAACACTGCAACGCCGGTTTGGCATGACGCCCACCGGAGAATTGGGCTACGCGCGGATTGACGGGCTCATCACGGAGGATCGACCCTTTGTGCTGATGGAGATTGAAGTCATCGAGCCTCATCTGTGGCTCGAGACGGGGAAGGGGATCGACCGCCTGCTGTCTCTTCTCACGTCCGCTTAGACTTAGGAAATCCTGTCAGCGTACAGCCACAAAGGTACATTCCCGGATGACCTCACGACCATGGACGTATGACAGCTACACGAAAGGGGTGGTGGCGGACATGTGAAGCCGAACTGGAACTCTTCTTGAAGCTTGTTGTCTTCCCGTTGCTCGTCCATGACGTGTGGGCGTGCAGTGGGAAGCCATGCTGCATATCCTGCTTTAACTAGCGCGATCGATGACTGTTTGCATGTAGAAATTTAGGCCTAGGCCCCTCTCGTCTAAGCCAGAAATCTGTGTATAGTTGTGAAGCGAGTGGTTTGAGTCCAGTTAAACCATCTTTGAAATATATACTTTCGACAGACATGAGCCATGCAGGCAGTATTTCAGTCACATAAACCGGACAAATCCAGACCAGCAGACAGGCCAAGTACACTTAATCAGAGACGAAGGAGTGAGATGAGTGTGTGTAAGTAGGTAGTAAAGAAGGCCCGGGAGATCCTATCGAAGAGATGGCCGAACCATCAGGGGTCACGTGAGCCATTCTAGAAAGCCTGGAGGCCTGGAGGCCTGGAAGCGTCGGGCCCCGCGGGGATCGAGATGCCTTAGTACCTTACTGCCTGAGGCACACAGATCCCCGGCCAGCTTCATCTTCATCTTCTTCTTCGCCATCTCCGTCACCGTCAGTCTTTCCCCTCTTCATCCTTTCATCAATTGACCCCTTCTTTGAGACCACCCTCCTCTCTTTCCACCGGCGCCATGCCGTTCGCTCTTTTGCCCCAGCAAACCCTCCTTCGCCCACCCCCATCGTCTGCCCTCACCATTGTCGCGTCTCTCCTCCAGCAACATCACCACCACTACAACATCCAATCTCGCACCTACGCCTCCCACTCAACCAAATCCAAATCCCACTCCCGCCCATCCTCCTCCGCCCAACCAACTTCTTCTTCCACCTCTACCTCCTCCACAACCACCCTCGCCAACGACATCAATCCACCCCCCAGCACCCGACCCGCCGACCTCTCCCTCCCAGCATCCCTCCCCCCTTCGTCCTCCCCCGCCGACAAAGTGAAACGCTACATCTCAATCGGCCGCGCCTACCTAATCTTCTACAAAACGGGCCTCAAAAATGTCTACCACAATTACCGCGCCGCCCTGCCCTTCCGGCGCACCCTCAACCTGCCCACTTACATCCCCAGCTCTCCACCCACCACCACCGCCTCCTCTTTCCTCCAAACCTTCCATTCCGCCGGTCTCAGCCGGTCTCAATTTCAACTTCTTCGCCGCTCAGCCTACGACATCCGTCGAATGATCCCCTTCTCATTGGTCCTGATCATCTGCGGCGAGATGACGCCCTTGGCGGTCCTGGCGCTGGGAAATGCCATTACGCCTTTGACGTGTCGGATCCCGCGCCAGCTGGAGAAAGAGCGCGTGAAGCGGGCGGTCAGGAAGAGGGATGCTCTGGTGCCTGTGGGGTCGGTGACGGCTCCCACGGTAGGGTCGGACGCGGAGATGCGCGTATTGAAGGAGATGGTGGATGGGGAGTGGATCCGGACGGCCAGGCCAGGGGACATCCTGCGCGCATGTGCGGCCCTCGGGCGGGCCAAGTCGCATACCCGCCCGGAGTGGTTGGTGGGTGTGCTCTATCGGCCCCGGTTGCGCCGGTATGCGGAGTATCTGGAGGTGGATGATGGATTGATCCGTTCTGGCGGGGGCGTGTCGGGGATGGAAGCCGCCGAGGTGCGCATGGCGGTGGAGGAGCGCGGCGGCGTCGGGGTTGGGGGAAAAGAAGGCTGGGAGACTGAACGGGAGCAGAGACGCTGGCTGGAGAAATGGCTGGCGGACAAGGAGTAGGTAGGTAGGTAGGTAGGTAGTGTGGATGTATAGCAACTGCACATGCATATGTACATTAGTCAAGGCACTATGGATCATTTCGACTCGTCATCTCGCCGGGGAGGGCTGCTGCATCTCGCCCATCCGGGCCCCCGGCCTTCACGGCTAGCTAGTATACACTGTACAGGTCATCGCAAATCCCTATCACTCCCCCGGCGCCTGCAAGAATGTTCCTCCCTCCCTCCGTTCCCTCGTGAGACTCGTCATCCTCGCCCCCAGCCACACCGGGCGCCTTCCCAAACCAGCAATGCCCCCCCGAAAGATATCATATGAGGGCTCAGAACATTCGATCAAATTCAGACGCAGACGCAGCCGCAACTAGAGAACCACCGGAAACCAAACGGGACCACCGAGAACGAGAAAGGAAAACAATATTGAATAATCAGATCTCAGGCCCGTCGCCTTCGCGCCGTGGGTTGTGTCCCATTCCGGACCTGCTTCGCCCATCGTAACCCGCAACTGTTGCAGAGGTCCCGGTTGCCGCTGGGCCCGCGCCGCCATTCCGGCGTGCTCTTCGTCCGACACATCGCACAGATCTTTTCCACCATGATCGTGCTCTGCTTGCGCTTGCGCTTCTTCCGTCGCGTTAGCAGGCGGTGCACCTCTTCCGCTAGAAGGCCATTCTGCCTTTCCAGCTCTCGCAGCTCGAACTGCCAGCTCGAACCCCGCGTCGGCGCCAATTCCGTGAACAGGCTGCGGTCGCGCAGCGATACCCCATCTTGATTGCCGGCCGGCAACCGGCTGGTCCCCGCCACCCCGGATAGTCCAGATGCCGCTTGACCAGAACCTGTGGCATCTCGGCTGCCGTGGATTACGAGTCCCGTTTCCGTCGTGCTGGAGCCGGGTTCTTCGGCCCCGACGCTCGGCAGAGGCCGGTGGAAGCGCAGCTGTGCAACAAGGAACGAAGGCTGCTCCCCTTCTTTACTATCCCCCGGGATTAATGTCGTCTGCACCGGAAGCATGTGTCCTTTCTTGTGCCGAACCTTGTGGGTGAACGACACTTGTTGACCGGAACGGGCCGCTGCGAGTGCCTCCATGACCTGGGCCCGTGTATCCGGCCCCGTCAAATCTTGAATACTCTTGCCGATCAGATCATCCGACACCCGGCCCAGCACAGGCCGGGCTCGCGCCGATATGAACAAGACGATCCCTGACATCGATAACTTGGCCCAGATATCATTTTCGGCCAACCCCCCGCGACCTACAGTGGCGATGTCGTCAAAGTTGTACACCGCACGAGCTCTCCCCCCCAAGACCATGAATTGCCGGCCCCGGTCGGTAATGTGCCAGGACCCATGACTCTCAAACCAGATATATCCACTGTACTTCTTCCGGATACGATACACCACGCTGACGGGTTCGGTAGTGATACGCGCGCGTAGATCACGGATGACAGAACCGATATCGCTGGGATGGCACACGGTCGACAATCCCTTCCCAACCAATTCTGCTGGCTCATACTCCAGCACTTTCAGGCAGGATGGTGACAGGTATAGAAACTCGCCTTCGAAGGATAGAACATGAATGATGTCGTCCATGTTCTCCACTAGGACCCGATTTAGGTAATGCCGGTACGAGGGCCCGGGGCCTTCCAGGCTCTCCAACACTGCGGACACTTGGCCCGGGTCAAACAAAGTGACTAAATCCGGGTTGGTGCGGTAAACATCAGGCGGGACAACGTAATTTGGCAATTGATTGCGCTGATAGTTGATCATATATGTTCCATCTGCACGAAGAACGGGTTAGCTTGGCAAAAAACAGACCATCGTTAGCAAAATCGGGGCCATACTCGGATTCCGTCTGGTCACGGCATCGGGTGTCTCAACCAGATCGACCTGGAACCCCACGTAGAAACGATAATCACTGCCGCCCCATCGAATCGGGATCATCGTGATCAGATTCACAAATGGCTGTCCTCCCTTTCGGTAATTGAGGATGCTCGCCTGGATCTCCGTTCGCTCCTCTATCGTCGATCGTAGACGATAGGCAGTGTTCTGATCCACAAACTTCCGCTGCATGCCCCGCTGCACCATTCCGTCTGGCCCTTGAAGGAATCGGCAGTTTTGCCCGACGATCTCCTGATTGGTGTAGCCTGTGAGCCTTTCAAATGCCTCAGAGACATAGACGATCGGGTGGTCCTCCAGCGTGATGTCACAGAGGACAAATGCGCACGACAAGTCGACCGCACCGATGTTGATTTTCGGGTCTGGCCGCGATACAACTTGGGCCTAGTTCGAGAGGTCAGCACATGCGCAGCGAGCGGTACCTCTTCCAGAATCGAATACGACGGTGGAAGCGGGCGACCAGCAATCAACCTACCAGGACACCCATGATATCGAAGCCACTATTCGAATAGATACTAGCATATGGAGAGTCGTTTCCAGCTTCCACCTTGGCCTGGGGTGCAAAAGCGCCTTTTGGACGTAGAGACCCGCATCAGCTTTCCGGTCAGGTTGGATTTGGATTGGAGGAGGACCCACCCTTCACTGGCGACGACCTCTTCGGCTGGATGTATCGATGAGGGACGGCCGGGTTGGCCGGTTGGGCATAGGGCTGAAACTCCGGGGGTTGGCTCTGGGGCAGCGATTGCTCCTGAGATGGGCCGCTCGCATGGGAGAAGTCCCCCGATGGCCCCGGGATCGGGCCTGTGGACTGTGCCTGGACAGTAACGTCATGGGCGGTGTGTTGATTCCAGTAGGTGTTGTCGATGGGCTCCGGAGCTTGTGCGACCGCGTAAGCAGCGCCGGGATCCAGGTGGATGGTCTGGGATGGTAAGTGAGCATGCGGAGGCACTGAATGCTGCTCTAGAGTCGGGTCCAGCGGTCCAATGGAGGTCCCAAAGGCGGTCGCATCATAGGGAAAGGGATTTGTTCGGTCCAAGCCCATTGGCATCGAGTGAGCGGGAGCAGATAACGGATCGTATGCGTGCATGGCGTGGGAAAGATGGCTACCGAGGCTAGCAGCATGCGACGAAGCATGGAGGCCGTGATGGACGGGGGGTTGGAAGGAGAAGTCATCGGGATGTGAAGGGAAGGTCGCTGGGATACCGCCAGCTAGCAGATCGGAGGAGGCATGAGGCGGCGGGTAGACAAAGGAGCCGGGGGGGAAGTGGTCGGAACTGGGATACGACATCAACGGGGAAGGATGGTGGTGGTGGGCATTGGAATATGCGGGGGGGCCCAGTTGGTGATCCGGCAAGGAATAGTGTGCCTGATAGAAGGCATCGTCGAAGCCTTCCATCGCGTGGTTCACCACCCGACAATTCACGTCCGATCGATTGGAGAGGATGCGGCAGACCAATGAGAAAGGCGCATCGAGGGAGCGCGGGGAGGGGTGCGGTGCGAGAAGAAAGGCCACCGATCCGGGCTGGGGGGGAGCTTGCGACTCTGCGAGTTCCCGGGGAAGACACTCAACAATGGATAGAGGATGGGGGACTGGGGAAAGGGCCGTTCGTTCTTGCTGGGCCCGAGCTGCGATGGGAAAAAAAAAGAGGGGAAGCGAGAGCTGGAGGAAACGGAGAAGGTGGAACGACTAGGCGGTCGTTAAAACCATGCCGTCGGGCTTAATATAAGAAATAATCATAAGGCCACGCCCCAATCAATAATCCTATAGTACTTACTGTAGGGACTCGGAAGGAAGAATCAGACTGACGCACGAACTAGTCCAGGGGCAACCGAAGCAGAAAAAGAAACAAGAAAGGAGTGATTCCAGGCGCGAGGATTCGACATCTCGCGCGACTGCAATAATGTCCGCGGCAAGAGAAGAGGATCGAAGCGGCGAAGAAGAGGAAGTCGAATGGGATCAGTGGGCGTGATTGGATCGCAGTCGACTGGAGAAGAGCAATGGGCTCGACGGGTGGCGGGGCGGGCCAATCATGGTCGCGTCGCCAGAAGATTCCGGATGATGTGTCAATCTGGCCGGTGTGATCGATCGAGAAGTAGGAGAGAAAAGAGTGGGGGGGGGGGGGGGGGGAGGAGGAGGAGGAGGAGGAGAAAGAGGACAAGAAATAGATAGTTGTGGGAGACGGGAAGGAGGAGAAGGACGACGAAAGAATGACGGGAATCAGACGGAGAGGAAGAACAAAAGAAGATGCATCAGATAGACGAGTCGGAAAAGGGAAGGAAGGTACTTTCTTTCTCTTCCCTCCCCGTACTTACTGACTTGAGTAAGTACCTACATAGTTAGGTACATACAGTGGCTGCAAGATATCTACTCCGTACCTAGGTACTAGGTACGTACGTACGTATATACCAGGTACCGCATGCGCCCGGCCGATGCTGCAGACCCTCAGGGTACTGGTACCTATGTACCTGTCTAGACTCTACTATCTACTCCGTAGTATCCATCCATCTATTTATGGTGGGCTTCCCATCCATTGTTCATTCCTATCTAGATTCTGTCTATATGCTCATGCTCTCTCCCCATGACCGTATCTCAAAGAATTCTCCTATTCTGTCATATTTCTCCCGTCTGCCTTATCAATCAGTCCCAATGTCATTCCAACCCAGCGATCGGCCATCCTTTCCCCCCAATCACCGTAATTACTCCAGGGGGCGCGGCGCTTCGCTCCGTCAGCCTCTGAGATTGCCCGGCCCTGGATCTTCCTTCATCCCCCTTACTCCCCAGTCGAAAATCAAAAGGTCGCGTCGCAAAGCCTGCTAGATAGTTAAAAGGTACTTCGTACTCCGAATCCTTCCCACTTCTCTTCGAGATTGGCCCCGACTCCCTCGGTGCTCTCTGCCCGTTCGGCCACCTCTCTCCCTCCTCCCCTTGGATGCCCCTCTCGGCCTTGGAAAGATTGCCTAACACCCACCATCCATCCGGCTGCAAGAGAGATAGTGTCATTTAGAATCGGTTTCATCCCCCCTTGTTACACAACTCTCAGGCTTTTGTTCATTACAGAACACGCTTTTCTGTCCTACCCGCTGCGCGCGCATCTCCAAACCCCCTCCCTCCCCGGGACTGCTACCCACCATGGCGGACTCTCCAGACAAGATTTCCATCACCATCTGCGGAGATGGTGGATGTGGTATGTTATGCAACCTCTTCACTCCCTGAAACCCGGTGTACGGAATGTGGGGCTACACTGGGAGGACTTCCCAGGGATGAATCCAACGCCGCTGATGGCCAGCTAGGTAAATCGTCCATCACCCTGCGCTTGGTGCGCAGCCAATGGATCCACGAGTAAGTCTTGCCCCCCGAACACGGACATAGGTCGAGAGGAAACACCATGCTAATAGAAAAACCGTGACAGGTATGATCCTACAATCGGTATACCTTCCATTAGAGGTGCTCTTCACTTCTCCAAGTTCAAAGAATACTGATTGCTGCAGAGGATTCGTATTCGGTTACACGCGTGGTTGATGGTGTGCCGTACTTCCTATCTATCACCGACACGGCTGGCCAGGAGGAGTATCGCGGACTATGGGCGGCTTCGAACCTGCGATCGGACGCCTTTCTTCTCGTCTACGACATTACCAACCGAGCGAGCTTGGGGGCGTTGGACTATTTCATGGAGATGATCGACATAGAAACCGAGCAACGAGCCGAAGACAACGACCGTCTGCGCAAAGAACTCGGAGCCAGCGCAGAGGGCCTCGATGTGGGCATGCCACCCCCAATCAAAATCGTGGCAGGGAACAAGTGCGATCTGAAGGATAGCAGAATCATCGGGGCGAGGGAAGGCCTGGAGTATGCCCGAAAACACGGTTGCGGTTTCATGGAGACCAGTGCAAGGGAGATGGTCAACATTGAGGAAACATTCGCCCGTAAGAGCCTCCCCGGGATTGAGACCAGCGTGCAAACTCCCCAACCTCTGACCCCGCCACAGTTCTAGTCCGTCGGGTCGTGGAGGCCCGTCGAGCACACTACCAGAAGACTCCGACGGCTCAGCAGGCTCAAGCCGGCGAGCCTTCGACAACCGCGAAAGCCCCTGCCGGCGCGATTGTTAGCGAGGAAACCACGGGAGCATCGTCTAAGCGCGCGCAGCAGCGGCAGGGCGGTCTTCGTGGTCTCTTCAAAGGTAAACGGGCACGTCAGGATGCAGGCCCGGCGGATAATCTCAAACCCGATGCACCCGTTTCAGAGCAGGAGAAGCTAGCAAGACCTGCAACGCCAAGCATATGGAGGCGTATGCGGTGTTGTTAGGCTGCGGGGGCTGCTTCTCGCTCCCGTCTGTACCTGTTTGTATCAGCATTTCACATATACCCCCTTTTGTACACTTTTCACGCTGCGTTCACCGCATAATTTCAATTGACCTGTTGCTGCATTTACTAGCTTCTGTTGTCCATCTTCCCCTCGTCTTCTAATGTGCATACCTAGGTAGAAAGGTCGAGATGCTTCGAGGAATCACAGGACACGAATAGAATGATTGTTACGGGGAGCAGGATCCAGGCGGATGGTCAACAAACAATGAGGTCACCAGCAGCCCAATCATTTACAGGGCAAACCTGGACCAGGCCCACCATGCATAGCAGTATCTTATCAGCGACCTCTCAAGGCACACATGGTATCAGTTGCATCCCTGCCGCATCCCGACGGGAGCGGGAGCTGAGCGCATCCATCCATGTCCATCAATAATAATGGGGGTGGGGTCATTTGCAGTAGACGAACGCGGGATGACGCTATCATGGCGGTCTTTTGACTCTCGGAGGGTCTAGACCTAGAGGCTAGGAAGACAGCAGCATGTCTCTGCCCATCTGGTCTCGACTTCAGATGGTTCTGCAACCATTGACTCCTGAAAGGATCAGCGCACTCCAGGGTCAAGGTTCAACCATGTTGCATGACCGCTTCGGGACACAGTTAAGACTTAAGCGAGGCTCGGTAGTTTGATGTAGAACCGTGTACTATGTATGTAGATCACCACGCCCAAGATACCTAGTCAGTCCTCAGGTCATTGATCGCAGGCCGGAAAGCTAATCTTCCACAGATAGATAGATAGGATCAGATGCCGTGGCGCAAACATGAAGTCAATCCCCGAGCCATTGGCATTGTGGGAGGTGCAGCTGGCATTGCACCATTACACCATTGCAGCCTGCTGGGCTTAATTAATCTTGATCTGTTGTCGCGACCGGCTAAGTTGGCGGCCAACAGGGGAACGGTCGAATCAGGCATGCGATCGGGGTGTCAACGTCATTGACTGTCATGGCGGAAAAGCCCCAACGGGGGTCGCGTGGTGGCCGTCTGCGATCGCAGAAAGTCAATATTATTGACCGGGCCATTGAATCATTTTCAAAACTAAACACATCTCAATTCTCAAATGATTGGATCAGCCGGAAATCGGGGTTCCCTGCTTTATTTCAGTGGCAAAGACATGGAATCAATAATCCAGTTCGGCCGTTAAACTTTCGATGAACGACACACCAACAACTGCCAAGGCGTGTGATCAACAGGTCCTGGGCTACAGAGGAAGCAACTAGGACGATCTGAGGTATCGGAAGAGAATGAGAACCCCGACTGGGATCGCCGATTCGGCACTTTGAAGTTTGAAGGAGATGAATGACCCTGGCCGGTCAGAATAATCCACCGTGATAATAATCCTACCAGAACGGGGTGGTTCGGCATGAGTTTGCCGAGTTGGCTCAGCAGCCCAAGTGGATGTGGTTGTGCCGTAATACCGGCCTATGCAGCCATGGGATGTCATCCAGTCTCTACTAGTCGGTGGATGCGGTAATTCTGCGATTTGATGTACGGAGGACGATGCATGTAAAAAGGTACCATGAGGAAAATCACCCCCCGGTGGACATGACAGTTGCTGGATACCTGCTTATGGTTGACCTTGTACTTACTATACCTCCCTCCCTCCTCCAAAGATCTTTTCCACTCCTTAGTAGATGGTAATTAGTATATAGTATCTAGTTAGGCTACTACGTAGTAGTACTACTTAGTAAAGCATTATTAGCTAGGTCTCTTAGGTAAGGCAGACACCTCCGGGAGACGAAGACGAAACCCGCCGCACCAAATCCCATGGACATATACTGGTCTGGGTAATCCACCACGCTCGATCGGATATACGGCTCGAGGGGGACAATAACTCCACCAAAGTTTCCTGAATCATTGGAGGGGGGAAGGGGAAGAGGACCCTCAAATAAAAGCCAGAAAAAAAAGAAGAAAAGGAAAAGAGAAAATACAATAAGGGATTGAATATTTACTTACTAAGGTGAGGGGAAAAAACATGCAAAGTAAAAAGTAATCAAAAGACGGCGAGGGCGAGGATAAGGTAATCAGGCTGGATGAGGAAATTTCCTCAAAGCACCCCCAAGGAAGTTGGCACCCCCGAGGTCCGAGTCTAGCAGACCCCGACGCCGATTAAGGCAGTCAGCATGGGCACTACGGAATAGAACAACGTCCACTTTCAGTCCTGCCTACTTCCGTTATCCGTCGATGGAACTCCCCGTGTCAGGTATGTTTGATACCTTACATACCGATGGGGGTGTTCGTTCAGGTATTAGTTATGACGTATAGTTACCCTGTATGGAAACTTAGTACAGACATGTAGACGCCATGATGGCAGGACTTGCACGCGGTGGCTGCAGGAGAGGGAAAGGAAGCTTTTGACAACCACGTTCAAGAAAGAATCTTGTTCCGTGTGTCTTGACCCCGAGCCAGTTCTTGTAGAATAAATATTTTTCTGCTGCCCCTCATTGCAATGAACAAGTTGGGCGATGGCCAGGCAGCAGACAGTAAGTAATGAATAATGCAGGATACGAAAGTAGTATGGATGGAATTTCGGTACATGGGTTTTAGTACTGAAACGATACGGAGGAGGGATCCACTGCATAACCTACAGGACTAGCGGCCGGCCAATGATCACCCCGATACCAGACCCGATCCAAATTGGTTCCTCTGGACTGCGTCAATAATCCAGGGTAAGACGGCCTCCATCCTCCGTGAAGGACGTTTGCTGGCCTCCTCCCAACCTTACTATTATTATTTAATCAATAAAAAACATTTTTTTTCGAAAAATAAAATGGAAAATAATAAAAAAAAATCATGGAGACTAGACTAATTCGAATAAATAATCATCCAGGCCCAGCTGTAGCAATCATCATCATCATCATAATCACTCAGACTTTACGTCGACACCGGCTTACTTCTCTTGCTCCGAAGCTATCATAGTTAAAGAGCTTCAATCCTCCTCCGGTTCGGTCACGCCTGGCTTCTGGACTCTTCTTCCATCTGCCGTCACTGAAGGTACTATACTTCCTTGCCTTGCCTTGCCAACCTACCTCTGGTGGACCGTTGCAACGCTATCCAGTCCTTGGATCCGTTCACCCTGATCATTACTCATTACATGCGACTGCTTCGATCCGGCTCTCGCATTGGTTCGACTTCCTGAACCTTCTTTCTTGATTACACCTTCTTTACCTTTATCTCTCCGGCCTCGTTATATCATCGACCAATCTTACGTATTGTCGATCAGTGACCATTGCAACACCGCATCGCAAGAAGAGGTATAGGCGAGGGGAAAGCATAAGAAAAAAAAAGGGAGCAGCAAAGAAAAAAGCAAAGCCGACTAGTTAACCTACAAAACCAACCATTGGAACTGGGGGTCGCATCCATTCTTCTTTAATTCTTCTTCTCCGACTGCTGGGAATCCTTCTATTTCTTTTCCTTACTTTTCTGTCCGACCATCTTGCTTCCCGCGACCTCATCCTACTAAAGTATATACGGCACAATGACGGCACGCCAATCATCACCTACATCAGACCACTCGCATTCGGACGGCAACGTTCGCAAGAGGGTATGTAAGGCATGCGATCGGTGTAGACTGAAGAAATCCAAGGTAAGCCAAGCCTGGCTCGCGCATCGGCATGTCCTGATGCACTGACCCGGCGCAGTGTGACGGATCCAACCCATGTGGTCGGTGTAGGACAGACAATGCCATCTGTGTCTTTGGCGAGAGGAAGAAGGCTCACGATAAAGTGTACCCCAAGGGGTGAGCTTACACCTTTTCAGCATGCAGAGTCCGTGGCTAACATGGTTCCCCGCCGCCTTGCAGATATGTTGAGATGCTCGAGCAACAACAAACGTGGCTAGTCAATGGGCTGCAAGAACTGTACCGTCGCGCGATGGAGGGCGAATGCTGGCCCGGAGAGCCGTTGAAATGCGAAGCCAATGGTCATCCTCTGACGCACGATCTGTTGACCCGACTTGGCGCCCTGGACCAAACCAAGGGCGAGCGCTTTGAGGAGAACACCGAGTCCATGCAGCAAGAGCTGTGGAAGCACAACGCCAGACACATGCAACGCCAGGAGTCCTCCGACGGTAGCTCAGAAAGCGCGCAGTCGCCCATCATGCCCTCCCGCTTCTCCGATCCGTTTGGCCGGCAACTCTCGAGTACATCTAGCTTTAGCACGCCCTCACAAGCGCAAGGGCCCACCATCAAATCCGAGCCTCAGATGGCACCTTCCAACCCCGCCTTTGTTGCGCCCATGACCATGCAAGGGGTGGTGAACCCGCTCGCCCTACAGACCCCGCAACAATGGCCCGGCAACAACTTTGGCACGTTTGAGGATATGGACCTAATAGGCGCGTCCGAATATTCGAATCTGTCCTTCGATGATCAGGTCCCGTCCCCCATGTTTAATCGCCAACTTCCGATGAGTTGTATGCTCTCGTCCTCCTATATGGACACCAAGAGCGACTACGAGGACATCAATCAGTTTTTAAATGCAAACGCGCCAGAAATCGCATCGACCTGAGTGATCGTCTCGATAAGATATAGCACCCTAATGTCTTTCCTTTGTCGACCTTTTTTATTATTTCGCATACGCCGTACGACGTGACGCATGTATACTATACATGTTTCCCTTTTCGTCTACCTTACTTTCTCGACTTCCGATTCTTTTGGACCTGTGGCAGCTTTCCCTTCACATAGGAGGGTAATAGGCAAACTGCATGGGGTTGGATTCTTTCGGGTGACTGGCATCACACATTCGTTTGCGGGCAAAAGATCCCTTTGATTTCGATGACGACGGCGCCAGGGTGTATTGGAGTTGGAGTTCCTACAAAACATTGGCCGGGCTGGGAGGTTTGTTTTGTTCTATTTGGATATCTGCGCGGTGTCTAGTTTTCGGATGTTCCATGCCGTGTCCTGTCTCTCGCAGACATTGCCTGAAATACAATATTTCCCATCTACTCCTGGATACGAAAAATGGCCGAACTTTGGCCTAGGGCGGCAAGGCAAACCGGCCCACGGAGACCGATTACCGACGCCAGGAACCTGACGAAGATGACGTTGTGGCTACGATGAACAGGCAAGTACTACTATGATCAAGTTATCTACTCGGTTGTATAGACTCTCTACTAGAGTCGTAGTAGCCGTAGTAGCAGGAGTAGTAGTAGTAGTGGGCTAGTAGTACCTAGTAACTAGCAAGTAGTTAAGTAACCGGCGGTGACTAATGCAACGGTGGAGGACGTCATGAATGATAAAAGGCCGGGGATGAAGGGGCTTATCTCCGGGGGTGTCATACTCTGTACGATGTACATAGTAGATTGTAGTCAGTAGCTCTGGCTGGGCCACTGATGACCCCCCGATTGGGATACGAGGTAGATCGTGACACGTCGAGTGAACCCTACTTGCCCTTTCCTGCATCCCCCAAATAGTAATACACCAAGTCCATCGTAGGTTTTCCTCGGGGGTCGGCGACCTGGTCGCTGGGAATGTCGAGCCTTGGATGATGGATCCCCATGAAAAAACGAAGAGGGTCCAGTCTCCACCCTGGATACGACGGAGCCATTTGGTGGTGGTTGGGTCCAGTCCAGCCCACGCAACATTTTTTTCTTTTTTTGTTTCTATTGCTTTTAGCCTCTTTTCTTCTCTTTTCTTTTTTTTTTTTTCTTCCATGTGCCCCAGTGACCTTTGCCTGATATGGTGGTGGGAATGGGGAACGGTGGTCAGAAAGGCAGAGATGCAGTGAGGCCGAAGTGCCGACCTGCCGACCGTGCCAGAGTCAGGCTGGATCGCTTACCTTGTTGGACATCCGAGTTCCCATCGGCCTGCGCACATATTGCCAGGAAGGGACTAAACCTTGATTTCCCTCCGGATTACGGAGGAATCGACGGAGTTTTCGATGGAGATGCCAGATGGAGATATCCATCTCCTGGTGGTCCACGTGTAGGACGACAGGTTTTGACTTTTTTGATTTTCTTTTCTTTTCTTAGTACTCCATAGTAGTGTGTCTCCTTTCCCTGCTTCAGGGATGTCCTCTTGACCTAAATGGTCTCGGCATCCACGTTTCTTTCGTGATGGGACGATGTCCAAAGTACTGTGTAGATAGATAGGTAGATAGATAGTAGATACTGGATCGACTGCTGAGTAGGGCAATGATCGGTGACAGTCCGCCTCAGGCTCAAAGCTATTGTCTGGCCCTCATTATTGGAGGACTAGTAGGGCCCGGATGGGTAACTCCCGTCGGCCACTGCACTACTCACATTACTATGAGTATGTAGACACTTGCTCGCTAAACTTCCCCAGAACATCTGCATGCAGCACGCTCACATCAGTGTGTGGTAATGCTTGGAGGCCGGGTCCTGCTCAGCCACCCCTAACGCGATCGACGGATTTATAACCCTGACCTCAATATGAATTCAGGATTATTAAAGTCACGGTCATGTCTCCGAGCGGTGGTGGTGGTGGTCGAGTGATTTGTTGAGTGATTTGTCCCCGAACGCATCGGAGTTACTGCATTAGCCATGGCGCCGGCCAGGTCCCTGACTACTGGCAGTCGTATAGTAATTAGATAGTATCTGGCACTCCTGATCACTTTGGGGGCTGCCCCTAGATACCTACATACAGGGTTCATCTTTACAATGCCGAATGCCGAAGCAACGGTTCTAAGTGAACCCCCGGGCCGCGCGATTTATTGATTGTGCTTTTCACCGTGTCATATGGATTGGTGCCAAGCTGCGACTGCAAGTATGGTACGAGAGGCACTGGACCCCCCATACTGCAGTAGTCAGTACTCCGTATACACTGTTTCTATCATGATGTGGCTGATAAGTAGTGAGAGCTACGATTCTCTCTGCAAGTGTGCAGACTGTAGGCAGTGTCTGTGCCACAGGACGGGCTCCGAGCTCTGGATCCGATGAAGGTCCGCGGAAGATGACTGCGTGGAGCAGGCAGGAGGGTGCGTGAAGTTTGAACAACTCAATTATAGTGAAACTCGCAAGTCGCAACTGCGGTGGATGCTGAATCAGCGGACGACTGACTCGGGACGGAAGTCTTGTCCTCCGCAGCCGCCGACCCGAGGTTTCAGTTAGTGACGGTAATCACTATTCACGCTCCCAGTCAGCCACCTCGGCCCTGGCGCGCGCCTTAACTCCATGTATCGGGTCTATCCGTATCGTCGTCCGGCACTAGCAGTACCGTATGCCATGACCGTTCCTTACCGTCTGTCTCGACTCTTGACTCTCGGAGCCAGTCCCCCTACGACCATCTATCTACAGATTAAGAGCTGGTCCCTGCAGCCGTTCAACGGTCGTGGTTCGGTGATCTCGATAGTCGCAACTCGCAACACGCCCGAGATGAGTCATTTCGAATAATTATCAATCATTGCAGCGTCGTCTTGGCCGCACAGGAGACCCGGTTCCGGCCCCTGAAGTACTATAGACTAGGTACGGGTTGCTGTATTCATCATTTCATCCTTGAACAATGGATCGAACTCTTCTATACGCCCGCATACTCTCTCTCCACTGCGTGCGTAGTTCGAATGCTAGTCTCGCCATCTCTTATAGTGCACGCAGCATCCCACCGAGTGGGATGACAGGTGTCTAGCTGGGTAGACGGACTAGTCTCTTCCTGTCTAGAGCTCGAGCTTATTTAGTCTACTTAGGTAGTACTTACGATGGGGTGCTCAGAGCTCCGACCCGACTAACCTGGAGAGTAAGATCACGATCCAATCTCCATGGTGCCTGAGGCTATTGATGGAGTTGATATCAGACATGGTTCTCTGCCTGAGGCAGGAAAGGTGGCCGGAAGTTTACCCGATTAGGCAAATCAGCCACATCGTACGGAGGGCGGTTTAGCCTAATAGGAGGCAGGTAGAGGCCATTCAGCATGGATCCTGGAAATTTAACCGAGTTTAAATTGACCTCAGGAGACAGCCATACCAGCCACGGTCTGTCACCGCTTACTCCAGTTCAGTGTTTCTCCGGCGTGAGCCACAGGTGGTTGGAGCTCATTGCGGGGTAGCGGGCGGTCGTGACATCTCCATTGGCACTCCTTATATCGAACTTCCTCGCTCTTACTCGAGTTCAGTCGTCAAGCAGACACAAATTATCTACTACTGCTGCTACATTCAACATGGGAGACAAAACCTCGGCCAAGTTCTCGTCTTTGGGCGCCATCATCCAAGAATTCAACGTGGACGGCCAGAACATCGTCCAAGGTTTCTCCACGAAAGAACTCTACGAGAAACATAACTCGCCCTGGTTCGGTGCCAACATTGGACGGGTCGCCAACCGAATCAAGGATGGTGTCATTCGCAACCTCAATGGCCGCGAGTACCAGCTTGAGAAGAATGACCCTCCCAATGCGTTGCACGGCGGTAGTCGGGGATGGGGCCGCTGCGACTTCGAAGGCCCGACGGTGCTGAGTCGCAATGGCAAGAACACGCTGCTGTACACGTATCTGAGCCCCCATGATGAAGCAGGGTACCCGGGTACAGTGGAGTTGAGAGTCTTCTATACCACAAGTGAAGAAGTGGAGAATGGAAGCACCAAATCTGTACTACACATCGAGTATGAGGCTGAGCTGGTGGGCGATGAGTGTGAGGAGACGGTCATCAACTTGACCAACCACAGGTACGTTGTACTGAAGAAGAAGTTGGATCACCTATCGATTGAAATGATGTTGACGATGAATTTGTGGTAGTTATTTCAACATTGGCGGGGGCGCAACAACCGAAGGAACCATTGCCAAACTGGCTACGCAGGATTATCTACCTCTGGAGAGCGGCATTCCCCTGGGCCCCATCGAGCCTTATCCCAGTGAAGTAACCAAGGACTTTACCTTTGGCCCGCATAACCAATTCGATGATGTCTTCGTCATGGAGCGCGAGATCGCCCGCGTACCGCTCGATACGCGCGGAGAGCCCCTCCGACTACAGGCGGAGTTCCAGCATCCGGACTCGCGCTTGCATCTGCAGGTACACAGCACGGAGCCAGCCTTCCAATTTTACACGGGGCAGGGTATCGACGTGCCTGAGACCGACAGGAATCCAAGCCGGGGCCCGTTTGCGGGGTTCTGCATCGAGCCCAGTCGGTTTGTCAATGCGATCAACGAGCCCGCGTGGCGGCACACGGTCGTGCTCAAGAAGGGGGCGAAATACGGCAGCACAATCGTGTACAAAGCCTGGAGGGGCCCGAGGTGAATTGCCGGGGCCACGAATGGGGGATGTCATGCCATTTCTTCGATCAATAAACGGCCGATCGGTGGAGCGCGCCTAGGATCTCGACATGCGCCTGAGGAAGCTGGTGCGGAATTCTCCGTGGGTTGATTCCGAGCATATGTACGGACTACGGAGTACCAAGTAGCAAATTGCGACCCATTTTCTCTCTCTGTCTCTAAAAAAATTTCCCCTTCTGGGTCTTATCCTCCGATTACCCATCACATGATCCCAGCGTGCCGACTTACCCTTATCACCGTGATATGTATCCGACAGCGGGTCTGGCTGGATCGCAGTGAGCCAGTATCCAGTCACCCAGCAATGGGGAGTGGACGCATTGAACCGGGTCCACACCCAGCAGTCTGGAAAAAGCCTCATACGGAGTCAGCGAGGCGCGGGGTCCACCTGTCCAGATAGAGTCTTGTCAGTCGGGGCATTCAATCTAAGGGGTCAAGAATGGAGCCGACTAGACCAATTTACTTTCTACGGAAGTGCGTACAATGTAAACTATAGGTGGGCGGCGGGTTTATTGGACCGTTATATCCGCAGTGGCTCTGGTCTCCGTATCCGAACATCCTCCGTACTGGAAGTTTCCACCGTTAGTAATCGAAAGCCATGATTAATCAGCTCGGTCCGAAGTACAGAGACACGAGGAGTCGGAGTCAGGAGTCAGGAGTCAGGAAATATGGATATATCGACCCGTGGCTGGGGATCATCACTATGAGGGAAAAAGGCTCACGTTTTGTGTTCCTGACGCCAAGCGTTCTGGAATAGCGCTATGGGTTCTAGCGCTGGGGTAAGTCTGTTGAGTAATGCGTATACTCACATCTACACAGTAGGTATCTTGAGCGTGGACCTGCAACTGGAAACGATGATTTTAAACCGTATTAAGATAATAATATAATCATAATGTACGCCTGGGTAGCTTCGCATCTGAGCATATAATATACTTATTACCGATTTCAACCAGACACCGACTGCCGAGACGTGACTCTGATATGCGGATTTGTAATATAAATGCATAGTTTGTGCATTGTTACCTGTATTGGGTCCATGCATGATACATACCCGTACCGTTTGAGTTTTGTGTATGGTAATACCATACCCGATACCACCGGATCTAGGGGTGGGATGCCGTTCCGTGTATGGGTAATCTTACCAGGGCTCTCTCTCTCTCTCTCGCTCTTGCACCGACCTCACGGACAGCGGACAGGCAGATTTCCGAGTAAAGCTTGGCAAAAATATCGATGGATTGGGCTTGGCTGATTATGTGATGGGATGGAGCAGGGTTCATGGATGAAATATTGGGGCTATGTAGGGTATAGCTATTAGCTAGTTGGTTGTGATTGTAGAACTATAGGCATTACTACTGCTCCGTATAGGGTAAGCACCGCGACGAGTGTACCTTACCTACCTAATACATCCTCTCGCCTCTTCATCTATAGGGGTACATATGTCAAATATCAAACAACACGGAAAAGATCTCCCACTGTACACATCCTGCAGAACCCCTTCACAATTTGAAACACCCCTCATTGACTTTCTTAATCCCGGGTACCGAGCCTTTCCCCTAGATCCGGCTTACCTCCATCCCGCGCCAACACATACACACTGACACTGACACCATCACACGATCAAGTGCATCAACCTGCGGGATGATCATCATACCAAGCAAATGCAGTGGCTGGTCTGTGTGACCGGTTTGTGTGACTTATGTAGCTACTTATGTAGACCGGGGTGGAGGGTTAGTTACCCCGCACATTTGCTGCACATATTTTATGGGGGATGAGTTGGGTAGGGTACAAGGTAGTTTGGTTACTAGGAATATGCATGTGTGTATGCATAATTGCACTGGGATGGATGAGAATGATGCCAGGTTATGTATCCATTACTAGTCAGTTATGTATGCCAGTGCTTGCTTATGTTCGGAGTATCTATGGGTATAGTTCCAGCTCCAGCTCCAGCAGAGCTCGAACTCAGCCCAGGGATCTGAAAGAAATAATACTACTTATTACTACTATTACTGTCATCTGGTAATACTCCTACTTACACACAAGATCGAAATACTAAGTATGGAAGTACTCCGTACATCCCCTGAATTAATCCAAGACATCATCATCCTCATCACATCGTATAAATTCTGCTGCCTGCAGCAACTCCCTCTCTCCACCCGCTTCACCACCCCCCCCCCCCCCAAAGAAATATCACAAACAAGGCAGTGCATGTCCCCAGACAAAGCCCCTGATGTCAGAATCCATTACGCCAACATTCGTAAGTCATCCAGGCGCTTGAATTCTCCGTAGCTTACTTACTTCCTACAAGTTAGTTCGTAAGCTACCTACCTACCTACAGCTGGGCAGTGTCGTGTCGTGTCATGTCGTATCCAAGCTTCTCTCCATCCACGAATCCAACGGCTTATAGTTTGAGCTCGGATCCAATCCTAGCCATCGCCCAGTCTGGCCGAGGGGGAGAAAAAGTACGCGTTTGTTGTCCATGGTCTGTGGTCTTCGTGTTCGTATTTGAGGTTGCGATGGGGTTACTTATATACGAGGGAGGGAAAAAACCTGAAAAATGAATCTGAATCAATTGAGGAAATTGTTTTGTAATATGACTACTGTATTTCTTTCATCCTCGATAAATGATGATTACCTTGTATAGCGTACAATCATACTTCAAAGATAATGCACGTGACCCTCACCCCGGACGGACCCGAGGTCCCGACCTCCGATATGCCCCGCGTGGGGTTCCGAATGTCTTCATCTTCTTAGAACTTCTATCAAGCCCCCCCTCCACATCTCAACCTACACAGACACAAACAACATGGCATCGCTATACGGCGACCTTCGCCATCTCCTTCCAGACAACTACAAGCGTCTCATCACCGCCTGGTTAGAAGAAGACTGTCCCAGCTTCGACTATGGAGGTTTCGTGGTGGGGGAATCCGAAGGCGAGGCCCGGTTACTGGGCAAGAGCGAGGTGTGTCATACATACCCTATCCCTATAGCCTTACCTTACATACTAACACCTTACCCAATATTTAGGGTATCCTAGCAGGTGTTCCCTTCTTCGATGAAGTCTTCTCACAACTGGGTTGCACGTACGGCCTCCCCCCCCCCCCACCCACCTTCCTCCCCTCCCCCCAAACGGTCCCCCCAAACACTGACAAGAAAGAAAAACAGAGTAACCTGGCACATTCCCGAAACCACCCCCATCTCTCCCATAACGCACATCGCCACCGTCCGAGGTCCCATCCGCAAAATTCTCCTCGGCGAGCGCGTAGCCCTAAACATCCTGGCGCGATGCTCCGGCATCGCAACAAAAACTTCCACTCTTGTTACCGCTCTCCGCGCCCACGGCTGGGCCGGCACATTGGCCGGAACCCGCAAAACAACGCCGGGATTCCGGGTGGTCGAGAAATACGGCATCTTGGTCGGCGGGGCGGATCCACATCGGCACGATCTGAGCGCGATGACGATGCTCAAGGATAATCATGTCTGGGCGTGTGCAAATAACAGTGCGGCCAAGGATGGGGGAAGTGCGGTCAAGGTGGTCGGGGAGCAGGAAGGCGGCATAGTGGCTGCGATTCCGCGCGCCGTGCAGGCGGCTAAGGCGGTTGGGGGGTTCGCGACTAAGGTGGAGGTTGAGTGTCGGAGTTTGGAGGAGGCTGGGGCTGCGATTGAGGCGGGGGCGGATGTGATTATGTTGGACAACTTCACGCCCGAGGGGGTGAGGGATGCGGCGAGGAGGTTGAAGGAGGAGTGGAAGGGAAAGGAGAAGGCGTTTTTGATTGAGGTTAGTGGCGGGTTAAATGAGGGCAATGCGGCGCTGTATGCGTGCCCCGATGTGGATATTCTGTCGACGAGCTCGATTCATCAGGGTACGGGGATTGTGGACTTTTCCTTGAAGGTGTCGTTGCGCTGAGTCGGCCTTGGGCTTGGGGCTTGGGGCAGTCTATGATATGATGTGTATGTCTATAAGGTTGTTAACAGTATGGTGGTCGTTTGGGCCAAGGCCGAGTGTAGGCTTCACCCGTACGATGTAGCAAGTCGAATACTGCCTGTCTCCTTATGTACATCTGTGCCCATGCGCTCAACTGCCATAACCAACGCGAGTTCAATGCAAAAGGCCCACAGCGTGCTGGCGAATGTCCAAGAAAGAAGACCGGAACACGATAACAGAGAACCGAAGGGTATATGATACATGCAATGATACGAACAACCAAAACAGCCCGATGAACACGGGGCGAACCGCAATGATTCACCCCCTAACGATATGAGCCCGTAACAATGTGCCGGAAGCCACGCAACTTCAAGACGCCGAATACTCCCCCATGATCAAACCTCAATGTCCACGTAGATACCCTCTCCCTCGCTCGAGCTCAGCTCCTCGTCCCGTCGGCGATCATATCCATCGCTCGTGCCCGGGTCTGAGCCCTCAAGCCGTCCTTGACCCGCCCCGCGGATCTCGTCGTCCGTCGATGTGCCGGCGGACAGTTCTTTACACATGCGCTGTCTCTCGAGCTGCGCGCGAAGCCTCTGGTTCTCGGCATCTCGCTCCTCCAGCCGCCGCCGCGCCCCGCTGCGGTCCAGCAAGCGAGCCTCCCGCTCAGCCTTCAATCGCTTCTCCAGCTCATGCAACCGTTGGATCCACTTCTCGTTGCTGGGGTCCGCCGACATGTGCCGAGACCGAGAGGCTTGCACCATGGCCCCCGGCCCATCGGCGAGAGTCATTGTTGAGGTGGTTGAGGAAACATGCGAGGGCTGGGGGATGCCGGTGGTTGCGCTCCGCGTCAGGCCGCGCGGCGGAGTGGGTTTCTCGATCGCCGAATGGTGGCGGATCAAGGATGCTGGCTCCGCCTCTGCACCCGGGTCCAGGCTGAGAGTGCGTGTGGGCGAACGCGGGGAGTTGGATGCGATGCCTGCGGCGACGGCGGCGGCGGCGGCAGAGGTTGGTGGCGGCCCCCGACTGCGGGAATGAGACTGCAGCAGGTTCAGCTCCGCCTTCAACAGCCGGTTCTCTCCCCGGAGCTTCGCCATCTCCGGCGACATCCCGGACTGGTTGCGGCTGTGCTGCTGCGCGCGCATGCTCATCATCGACTCCTCGAGGCGGTCGAGCTTCTTGACCCGCAGGCTGAAGGTGTGCTCCAGCATCTGGTACTGCTTGGTCAGGTCCCGCTCGACGCCCTTGATGCGGGACTTGAACCCCGAGATCACGCTCTCGACCGTCTTTACGGCGAGCAGGAGGTTGCGGCTGAACCCGGGCCAGAAGAGGATGTTGCCGATGACCTCCTGGCTGGGCAGGTTGCCGTTGATCAGGCTGTTCGAATGCGCCCAGTCCGGCCCGCACATGGCCGACAGCCGTTTCCAGATGTTCAGGAGCATCACGTTCCGCTCGCTCAGCTGGTCCCGGAACTGCTGCTCGAGCGTGGTGAAGCGTTTGCGGTCCTGGTTCCGCGCGCTCTCCAGCTCCGAGATACGCGAGTTGTTCTGCGTGATGGTGCGAGATGCCTGGTGGTGGGACTTCAGCGCCTGCTCGAACGACTGCTTGTCAGCCCGGCGCGCATGGCGCTCGCGCTCGAGCAGCTCGGCCAGCTTGCGCGACTCCAGCCCGTGGCTTTCCAGCAGCGCATCGCGGTTGCGCAGAATCGACTCCTTGTCGTCGAGCTTGGACCGAGTGCTCTCGAGCTCCAACGCCGTCGACTCCAGTTCCTTCTGCAGTTTCATGATGTTGGAGATCAGACTGGACCGGCTGCCCGTGAGATCGCCCAGCGTCTCCCGCAGGTTGTTCTCAAGGTCCATTAGGCGTTCCTTCCAGGTGGCGGCTTCGATCTCTTGCGCCGACAGATTCTTCTTGAGCTTGCGGGCTTCCTCCTTGGCGGTCGATGCCTCGCGGTTCAGTTCGTTGACGATCCGCTGCACCTCTTGCTTCTCTTTGCTGCCGACGACCTCGCGCTGGTGCCGTTCCTCGGCCAACCGTTCTTCGAGATCGCGCGCCTTGTCCCTTTCGCTCTGCAGGCTCATCCGGTAGGTCTTGAGTTCCGACTCCAGATCTCCAATCTTGATCTTGTCGCCGTCTTGCTCCTCGCGCAGGAACGCGATCTCGTTCTGGCTCGACTCGATCTGGACGGTCAACCGCTGAACCTTGGTGTTGGCTTCGTAGAGGCCCTTCTCCAGCGACTCCATCTCCCGGTTGCAGTCCTCCAGTTCCTGTTGGACGGCCTTGTACCGCTGGAGGTTGTTTTGCGCATCTTCTTCGAGCCGGATAATGCCCTCGCTGGCGGACCGCATTTCCGCTTGTAATGCCCGGAGATTTTCGTCCTGCACTCGCAATTCCTCACCCAGCCGCTGGCACTCCTCCACCTTCTGATCGAGCTCGTCTCCGAGGGCATCCAGCTCCTCCTGAGCCTCCGCCCGGAGGTCCTGGAAAGCTTCGTCGCGCTCATCGGCCATCTGCAAGGCCTGGTCGCGTTCCTGTTGGAGGTTCTGCATCTCCTCTTCCGCCTGGTCGACATCGGCCTGATACGCCTTGTCCAGCGCTTCGTAGTCCCGGACGGTGTCATCCATCTGCTCCCGGATTGCTTGGTTCTCCAGCTTGAGGGCCGAAACCTGGTCACGCAACTGGCCCACCCGCGTCTCCAGGTCCTCCCGCTCTGCATCGTCGCTCGGGGAGTGGCCTGTCCCATCGCTGGCGCGCGACGAGGGTCGGCCATGCGCTCGGGACGCCGAGCGATCGAAGATGCTATCGCCCGCAACCGATCGATTTCCATCCCGGCGTTGGCCCAGCTTGAGCTCCTCGATTTCCTGGTACAGCCGCTCCTTTTCCCGGTTTCGGGACGTGAGCATTGAGGTCTGCGCGCTCACTTCCTTCCTCAGCTCGGCATTTTCTTGCTTGAGCAGCTCCAGCTCCATCACCAGGGTGGAGCTAGACGAGCTGACGGTATGGGGATCGCGGGGAAACTCCCTCTCCGAGGCGACCGAGTAGGAGGCCATGGAGCCGATCCGGTCGCGCTGGCCGACTCGGGCGGCGACGACCGGGAAGCTCATCTCGCTCTTCAGGCGCAGGGCTTCCTCGCGCAGGCGCTTGTTTTCCTCCTCGGCCTGCTCCCGAGCCGCAGTCTCGGCCTCCAGCATGTCCTTCCACATATCCTACAAGCACGATCAATCAGTATCTGGACTGCGCGGGACTGAGTGACATCGGTTCCATCACTTACCCTCTCCTCCCGGGCCCCCACATCGGATCCCATCGGTCGTCCGTCGCTGAGGGATTTCACCATCTCGGCCAGCCGGCGCTTCTCACTCTCGCGGGCGATACTTTCCGATCGGAGGCGCTCAATTTCCAATTCGTACGTCTCCACTCGCTCACGCAAGAAGAGGATCTCCTCGTCCTGTGCCGGGTCGCGGTCCTCCTCGTCAGACCCTTCGGGATCATGGTTCAGCATGGATTCCTTGTCGGACTGCTGGTCTTTGAGCTGTTTCTCGAGATCGCGAATCTTGCGCTTCAGACTTTGACTATCCTTCTGCAGCTTCAGCTTGTCGGATTTCAGCTCCACGTTCTCGGAGATCATCTCCTTGATGCCCTCTTCGGAGCGTCGATTCAAGGCTTCGTTGAGAAAGTGGATCCGCATCTTGAGATCAAAGTTCTCCTTGGAGAGACGGTCGATGGTGCTGCTCTGTTCCTTCAGCGTCATGGTACGGCCGCTCTTGGCAAAGGCCGGCGTGGCGCTCGTACGCTTGTCCGGCGATAATCCACGGCCGCCATAATCCTCCCGGAACTGCTTCATGAAGGTGCTGGGCACCTGGACGTCCTTGACACGTTCCGCGATGGCCGTATCCGTCGGAAAGCTGTGATCTTGGGGTTTCGCCCTTGGCGTCATCGGCCCGGAAACGTCGTCGGGAATGGATTGCTGTTGGGGGAGTTGCTCGGGCTGTTGCTGGGGTTGCTGCCACTGGTATGATGACCCAGGACGTGACTGCGATGGACCCTCTTCTTCATCCAAGGTCTGTAGGCCTCCTTCTGTAGCCACGCTAGGATTCTTCCGCTCGAATATGTTCTCATCACTGTATCCCGAGATGCCCGATGCCATGCTCCCCAAGCTGACCGATCGAGCCAAAGTGTTACGTTGACCGGCATGGGCCGTACTAGGATTGCCTGGCGCGGCCCCCCCTGACTGAAGGGCATAATCGGCGCCCAGCGTCGCATCGCTATTTGTAACTTCCGTCCCAGCGCTCGTCACCGAGGAATACGACAGACGATGGGCTGATTGGCGACTAGTCAAATATTTTGGTCGATTACTCCTTCGACTGCTCGTGCGGGAGGCGCCCTCTATATCATTCGCGCCGTTGTCCTGGAACAGCCTTGGAGCTCCAGGCGACAGACTGCGTGACATGCTGCGAACTTTATGATGGGTCGACTGCAGTGAGAAGTCTGCATCCGGAATTGGGGATCGATCGAAAGACTCGCTTAAGGTAATTTGGCTTGTGTGGTGAGCATGCTGGGATGACCTAGATTGGTTCCGGGAAATCGATCTCGCTGCGGCAGCCGCCGAGGGGGATGATGGCATAGCTTCAAGTAGCGTAGTATGATCGCCGGGTCGCTCTAGAGAAGCAGCGGGGGTCGCGTCCAAATCCACCGCTGCGTCCTGTCTGGGTCCCTGGGTAGGCGTCTGAGGGATGGGAACACCATCCCCAGCCGCCGTAATATCATGACTAGAATCATCGGGCGCCACAAAAGATATCTGAGTATGTTCTATCCTTGCAGGGATTGGAGCCGTATCTCCAGGTAACCCCAGCAAGTAGGTATCATCCGCACCAAGGGTCCGATTCGCCGCTGCGGCTTCGATCGTCGAGGGTTCTGGCAGAAAGCTGGATTCCATGTCCATCAACCTCCGTCGCATTTCCTTTTCTCTTATAAACGTCTGATCGTCGACCCGTTCCTGGTAGTCATAGTCGCCGGACAAAAGCAGGCTGCTATCGTCGTTGTCGGGTAAGGGGGCAGAGACAAGGTCGAGTCATCGCCGGGCGGCTCTTCAACTGCCGACGTATCGACTGCGGAATCATACGGTTGGGCATGAGCAGGTTCCCTGTGGATGTGGTGGTTAATACCGCCGCCTCGACCGGAAGTTTCCATCATGCTTGGGGATCCTCCCCGCGCGTCCACCTCCACCATCAAAGAAACTGGATGGCGAAACACGTCTGCCAGGGTCGGAAGTCCTTCGTCTGGGGGGGTATTGGGGGTCGTGGAGTAGGTCGAGGAGCTACGCACCGGTTGCGCGTGGTCGGCGGCGTTGGGGGAGTCAGGCGAAGGCGAGGAGGATGCTGGTTGAAGCGATGCGGTCGACATGGTGACGGGGGGGTCAGGGTCGGGTATTTGTTTTCTCCACATCCTAACCCCTAGGGGCCTAGGAAGAACGGCGCTGAAACGCGGCGCCGTCTAGACTCGGGCTCTTGTGCTACCCACTTCGGCGCGACAGCCTTAGGAGTTAGCGCCAATGCCAGGCCCGCCAGCTCTCCTCCGACTCGCCCGGAAGCGTGGCCCGTTGGTGGACTCTTGCGTGTTTGTTTGTGGGTACTGGGTAGGTAAAAGACGGAGGGTTGGAGAGTGAAGTATCGAGGGGGAAAGAAAAGAGAGGCCCGGATCGAAGAGCTGCCGGTCATTGTTTATTTCGCCCTTCCCCAATCACCAGCACGTGCCAGGTCCGGCCCCAACAAGCCCATCACTAACAACAGTATTACTCGATTTACTCCGATGCATCCATCAACTGGCGTCAATTGTCTACGTCCAAGAATCTTCATGGCACCCATCACGTTAACCTCGTCATTCCGGATTGGAGCCAAAAAAAAAAAAAAAAAAAAATACAGCAAAGATCGGAGGGGAAATGGAGAGCAAGGCAGAAGATAGCACAGGCCACATATAAAAAAAAGAAAAGAAAGAAAGAAAGAAAGAAAGAAAAAAGAAAGAGAATCCAAGGTCCTCATGGCGCACGCTCATGGTCTGATATCAGCTTTACAATGATAGGAGAGAAGAAGTGAAGGATCATCGGTACAAAAGGATCGAAAGCTGGGGCGGACATTGAAACGGGGCTGGGGGTATACAAGCAAAAGCGTGAGCTTCCTAGCGCTCCTAGCATTTACGCCGAGAGCCAGCTCGATCGAATGGATTCGGCGCCGAATCCACTGGCGTTGGGCCAACAATTACGATGCCGGGGCGCTCTCTTCCCGGTTGGCATAGATCCGGTTCTTCTGGTCCAAAGCCGCGGAGAGAGAGTCAATATAGGTCCGGAACTTCACGATTTCCCGCAACAGATACGAGGACTTGCGCTCCCAGTTGGCCAGAGCCTTGGCGGCATTGGGGTGGCGGGGAGAAAATGCGAGGATCATGGCGGGTCGGAGTTCGTTATGTCGCTGCAGCTCCTCTTCGACGTTTTTGACATACGTCTGCAAGGCTTTCAGCTGTTCGGCCTCCGCAAGGGCAGAGGCCATCATGCTCTGTTGCGGAGGGGCCCAATCGCTGATGTGCACTCGGTCCGCTGGGAGTCGGGGCCGTACCCCCTGCTGATCAATGGAGCTTCGGATCGAGCTCTGGATGCTCGGACGCGCTCCAGACGAGGACGGCGGAGTTCGGCTGCTCTCGGCGCTGATCAGGGCGCTGTTGATGACGGCATCGCTCCATCCATACTCCATGTTACTGATGCCCCCAATCAACGGCTCCTTGGACAGTCTTGCGCTCCAGTAGTTGGCACTGGAGACGAACTCACGGACAATCTCCGGCGTGCCCGCTTGGAAGAGATGCACAGCGCCGGTGGGTAGGCTCAGGGCCCAGACATGGGGGCGAGATTTGGAGTAACCCGGGGGTGGAAGTGCGCTGGCGATTGTTTGACGCAAAAGAAATTTCCAGATCTCTTCGGCATTCTCTGTCCAGTTTCCTCCTCCCACCACGACACCGCCGGGATGACGTTGCTTGGCCTTCTGCCGGACCGACTTCATGGGTGCGTTGAAGGAGAATAGGCGCATCCAGCCTTGTTGTATGACGGCAAAGCATTCGTTCCAATTGCGGTCTTTGGCCCTCTTATCGACCGAGTCCAAGTGATGTTTGTGTTTCAGACTTCCCTCCTTGGCCCAGGGAGCGCCCGCAAGTTGTAGAGTTTCATCCTCTAAAAGAGGTGTGGTCCGCTCTGCGTCCTCAAAACTAGCAATCGAGTGGGCAGAATCTTCGCGAATAATGGCCTGGCTCAATGCATTGGCGAACCCGATGGACTGCTGGTAATCCCCGCGCGGGTAATCCGAGCCGAAAGAATCTACCGACGCTGAGGTCAGCTTCCCTGAAGAGTATTTGCTCCACGTACTGGATGCGGATGGGCTCCAGAGCGATGACTGGTCATCCAAGCTAGTTCGGCTGGAGCCCATAGTAGAAGGAGGGTACAGCCTCGCTCGCGAACGAGGCTTCGAAGACCACCGTGCCGTGCCGTAGCGGGAATCTGCAGAGCGGCCGCGTGGATAGATGTCGGAGCCACTTTTGCTCACTGTACTGGGGCTTCTGCGCAGCCCACCCGGGTGAGGACCAAGCAGATTGTTCGAGGAGTTGCGCGTCCCGTCTTTATCCACTGGGGCCCCATGCAGCGGAAGCTTCTGCTTCTGAATCGATGTGTAAAAATCTCGGAGGACCATCTCGACTTGCTGTTCCCAAGCCCTCATGGTGCCCGTGAAGGGGGCGCTGACGAGTGGGCCGGTGTCGCTGTCAGGGTCGCTCACCATTTTGGCCGAGAGATCCGTGCGGGAGAGTCGGTTGACCAACTTCGCAGGGACATTGTTCGGCTTATCCGCACTTGAGAGGTCTTCGGCGGGAGCAGACTGAAGATTAGAGCCAGAAGGGGAGTCTGGAGCTTTCGACTTGCTGGCCCCTCGGGCTTCAACCCCATCGGGTGCTGCCTCCGCCGCCACGCGATGGATGGTTGGCATGGTGTTTCGGACGAATTGGGTCTTGGTCATCTTCTGCTCGATATCCGCCAGATGTAGGTCGGTGTTAAGCAAAAGGAGCGAGTAACAGATGGTGTGCACGACATCTGGAGAATGTTAGCGAAGCTATCCAGCAGCGAGGCAGGGCCGGAGGGCCATATTGCACATACCAGATGCTTTGAAGCTATGACGCGGATTGCACTCGCACCACCGGGTGGAAAAGGCATCCAAGACTCGGTCTACTTGCTGGGTCTCACCTTTCAACACCAATCGGTTGCAAAGTCGTCGAAGCGCCGCCAGAATATGTAGATTGGACCAGTCAAATAGCTCCATGTAAGCTTTGCGAACCAGGGCCCGGTCCGGATCGCCGAGCCAAGCCGCGGCAGGCTCGCTCCCGACGACTTGATCCTGGCTATCAAAGAGCATCTGCGCCTGTTCTTTGTCAGAACGGGTTGGCTCCCCCGCCGGGACCTCGTCGGGCTTCGTTTCTGTTGCATCGGCGGGCTTGGGCTCGGTCGAGACCATTGCTGCACTCTCAGAGGCCGTATAGTAGTTCGACATTTCCGATATGGAGGCCCGTGGGGAACCACTAAGCCCGGCTGCCGGAGCAGAAAACCGGCTAACACTATCGAGACCCTCTCTGTACATGTCGGAGCCATACAAGTCCTTGCCTTCGTCGGGCTCCTTCAAGCTGGAAAGAAGAACGTCTTCGGAACTGTGGGTGGGCGTCATACTCATCTGAGAGAAACTCTCGATTACGGGCGACAGCGAAGAAACAACGGTCTCCTGTGGTTTCAAACCGCCTTGGGAACCAGAGGCTTGGTCAATGTCCACCGAGTCCCTGTCACTGCTGCGCGAATGAACCCCATCTCTAGATGCCCTCGGGCCTTGTGCGCGGTCGACCAAAGGGGCCGAAACGACCGAATCCTGGCCACTGGGCGGGGACTGGGTACCGGGCTCCTCATCTCCGCTGCTGGTCCCTAAGAAGGTAGCATCGGGAGGGTTGACGGACGAAACCAGCGGATATAGACTGTATTTGGCTTTGGACTGTCCGGGGGTGGTCAGGAGGCTTCCTCGCTGGTTCTGTGTCGACGGCGCTCCTGGATTCTTGGGCTCCGCATCCTCTGGCGCCGCCCGCAACGGCGAGAGCTTGTTGGCCTGGGTGGACATGGATACCCCGGAATCGGCGATATAAGGGTTCATTACTTTCTTCAAACTACTGGCCGGGCTAGGTTCGGGCTTCATTAACTCCGTCGCCCGCTGGCCGGCAAGCTCTTGAGGAAGCACGATCGGAGGCGGGGCACTTTCAGCAACGGACTTCTTCCGCCGGCGGAAGAAGGACGACTTTTTGGTCACCACCTGATGACTTCCATCACGAGCCGTATTGCCACCCCCCGCACTATGCTTCAGTGGCTGTCTCCAGCTCTTAGAATATGTGCCCAGCCCATTGGAATCCTTGGTGTCATTCTCCTGGGCAAATGGGTAGTCGGATTGATGGTAATCGGACGGGCCGAAAGTGGGAGCTTTGGGGCCGAACACGCGCCGGAAGAATCCCGGTCGTTCCTTGGCTGGCATCGGCTCGGGCGGCGGAGGAAAAATCGGTTTGTTAAATGATATAGTCGGACTGGGCGCAGGCGGGTCGAGCGAGGCCGGTATTGCTGGCGGAGGCTCTAGGCCCGAATCCGCAAGGTTCGCTAGATCGAGATCGCGATTTTTGACGATACCAGTGCCAATGTTGTCCGGGCGAGACTTCCGGGTAGGATTTGCCCGCGGGGACTTGATACTGTTTCGTCGCGAGGCTACAGGCGTCGGGGACTGCTGCGGGTTGAGAGGCCCGGCATACTCCGCTTGCGATGACGCATGGTATTTGCTTGGTCCGCCGGGAATACTTGGCGTAGGAGCCGCGTCGAATTCACTGAACGACCAAGAATCGTAATCGACGATGGGCTCGGGAAAGGGAATGAACGGCTGCCGAGTACCGAAGTCAAAGCTCGCCGAGCGCCTCTCGCCGGTTGAATCCGCTCGACGATGTAACAGAGGGGGGCCAAAGTCCAGGTGAGAGGAGGCACTCCCTTTACTCCCATTTCTGGCATTGCGAGCCCCTGCTGCCACATTAGAGCCCGGTCGAAAGTCAAAGAGCTGGCCGCGCGAACCAGTCCCTTCACGACTGCGCGTGCTCCCAAATCTTCTTAGACTGGAATGGTAGTTCGAGCTGCTGTTGCTCCTGCGACCCCTCGGGGGTTGAGGCGCATGCCGCGCCGCGCCGTCCTCAAACGTGCCCTCCACTTCCGATGACAGAGACGAGGAAAAGGTGTGCCCGCGATAGCGTCGCTGGATCATCGAGTCGGGCGAACCGTGGCCGTACAAATCCGTTTCGAAGACTGAATTGAATAGCCGGTAGTCATCCAACACTGAACCAGATGCGAACTGGTCTAGGGAGAGGAGCATATTATCAACAATTGATGTGCGGGCTGCATGTTGCGGAGACAGAGAGAGATCGTGAGGGTCTCGCTCGTCACAGGACTCATTGCCCCCGTTTGCGTTATCCGCTGGGTTAAAGTCATCCAAGAACGTCTCACGGACGGAGGGCCGCGGATGCGTCCCTCTCCTTGTAGGCTTACCATTGCCGGCTTCAGAAGGAGGTGTTCGAGGTGGTGAACTGTCGACGTGCTGCTGAGGCATTCTGAGGCAGCCCGGTCGTATGGCACGACTCATTGATGGTAGTCGAAATCCTCCGGCATTCGTGGTATTGAACAAGATAGGAGCGGGAAGGGCTTAAGTATAATCGTCGCTAAGTTCCTGTGGTTCGTTGCCATGGACGATTGAGCAGGCAAGCACTTCAGGCAACTGTCCACTCTCACTGATAGCCTGGATTGAGAATCCGAAGTTTTCCCCAGGGTCGCGTGGTCAAAATCGAATTGAAGGGTCGAATTGCAATCTCGTGGACTAGGGTCGACCGTCGTCAGGGCGCAGTCAAGGGTGGTTTGTGTCACTTGTCGGTCATTGCGTGAGGGGGGAGGGGACAAGTTATTTCGTAGTGTAAGGGGGATCGCCGTTGGTCCAATGCCGGAGTGGATAGAGAGGAAACCAACGTCCTGAAGGGAAGATGTTCTGGAGCTTTTCGGGGTCAGACAGGTTAGTACCAGCTCGAAAAGGTATCTAGGTAGATAACAGACAACGTTGAAAGAAAAATGGAGCGAGCCAAGGACGACAACAGGAAAAGGAACGGGGAACCGACGGGCTCAGATGACGATCGTGGGGGGAGTTCGTCGCCACGGTGGGAACTGGAACGATCGAGGAAGGGTTTACTTTAACGATCGAATTCCTGAGTAAGGCCCGGACTGGCAGGTGAAGGGCGCACAGGAACGGCAGATCAGCCGACGGCGAGAAGGAGAAGGAGGCAAAGGAGGCAGAGGAGGAGGAGAAGGAGGAAGAAATGGAGGAGGAGCATGGACGACGTTAAAGACTTTACCTACTCCGTACTCCGTAGTAGTAGTTTGTTTAGGGGATGTTACGATGTACTGTCACAGGCAGCGGACTTGTCACGGACGAACGACTAGTTGCGTAGCGTTCACTAGTCGCGGGTCTAGAGTCCCTCTAGCGCCCATGGCTTCAGGGGCAAGCCTTCAACCTGCATATCGAGTACCTAGACATTCATCTATCTATCTAGGTAGTAGGTACACAGTACGGAGTGATCCTCGCTCCAGCTCGCGCGGCGACTCTCTGGCACATCCATGTCGTGTGCATCAACCGACCCTGCGTCCTTTGTTTACTTTGGTACACCCTACCTACTAGCGAGCAAATGATAAAACCAAGACAAGTCCGGTGGAGCCTGCCAATTGAAAGGGGCCCTCAGTGGAAACGGGCCGCCACTAGAGAAAATAATACTGATAATAATGATAATATAATAATCATCTAGTAGGTACTAGATATGTAGTAGTACTATACCGATCTATCATCTCGTCCGATTCCGAAACTGGTCCTGGCTGTGACCCATCGCACAGCTCCATTGAAGAGCTCCATCACTCTGATGGAGGTGCAGGATTCGTGACTGAGGATTCCTTCTGGTCGGGATCGCATCGACCACGATGCACCCCCTCGTTGCTGCCGGAGATTTACCTACCTATGCTGACGCCATCCCTGTGCAGGTCGGGTCCCTCAGGGCCTGCCCCGGAAGCTCCTCTACGGATGTCAGTCAAACTTCCGTCACCCGAAGCCTAAGGGATCCCCGGCTCTGTCATTTCCATTTCCAACATTCGATACAGAGAGAGAGACCGAGATATTATGAAAGGAGTCCCTTTCAGTTGCCGTCGTTGCAGCTTGTCCATATCAGGCAAACATCGCGACCACCGAAATGTGATACACCGGCGTTGAGGAGACGATCATCTACAGGGATGTTATCAATGGGTTTCCACTTTCCAGACTTCTCCAGCTATCCAGTAGGTCTCCACTAGATAGATCCCATAATTCCCATTGTCCGATGCCCCGTGCCTACTAGAGTACGGAGTACATGATGAAGACATATCAACTAGTACTTGAGCGTAAGAAAAGAGTTTCTCTCCGTCCTCGGAAAATCAAAATTAGCATTTGAGATGCACGTTAATAATATATACTCCGTATATAGATGGAAAAAAAAGAAAGTGGAAGAAAAAAAGAAAGAGAAGCCAAGACGGAAAACCGGGTTGTAAGATGATCCGGGGGCCAGGCGATGACATAATAATACCCCCAACGGTCGTTGGCTCGACAGGGTGGACTGTTACAGACCCCTGCTAGCCAGGTTACTAGCGGAGCGGGCTTGTTAGGCAGAAAAGTGACGACAAGGCAGGACTCGGACAATCAGCAACTCTTATCGAGTAGAATCCCGGTCTGAGTAACGTCCGGAGCAGCGCTGTGTCACGTGACCATCTACCATCAGATCTACCATCGAGGGTATACGGAAGGTATACTGGAATCCAGGAACATGATTAGATCGATCCTCGATCTACCCTGAATAGTATATGATATGGTATATGAAGGATAGAATATAAGGACACTCTTTCATGTACTTAGTTAGTTCTGTTCTTCGTGCTCAATATAACTGTCTTTAAGTAACCATATGTTTTGATAAAGCTTAGTGATAATACTCGTCCGTACTTACTTACAGATAGCTGCACGGCACTATCTAGCCTTACTTCTCTTCTCTTATTCAGGACCAGTCACCTTTAGATAATCATCAGTCTGACTTACCTCGATTCAGTTCGAAGATACGTATTGAAACAGGAGCTAAGCTAACAGGAACAGGAAGAAGTGATCCTAGGATTTGATATATTAAGTACCAGTCAGTATGAGTATTATTTAGTGATAATTATTCATTATATTGATTATATTAAACTCATCGCGTGCCCTATAGCAGCAGGGCCTGATAATACAAGAACTAATAAGTATGGTTAATTAGTTATAAGAAAGCATCATTGTCTTAAAATAATAAAACCAGTTACTTAAAGATCGCTTGGTAGTCAAATCTGTTAAGATCTAATTACTAGAATTATTTAACAGTAATTAAGCAAAGCTCAGGACTTTCTTAATCCAGTTAGACTTATATCTTAGCATGAATAAAGAAAAGCTCAGAAATAAGATTAATAAGATTCTTTTTATATCTATCTACCTGATTAAAACAATATTTAATTAGTTTAAACCATATATTCACAAGTATTAAGAAAAGTTAGTAAAAAATCAGAATAATAATATAAAGTAAATTTTTACTAGTTATACTAGATTCAAGCAGTATCTTAAACAGATATTTAAAGATATTAATACAGTATGAAATACTGAGTAAAAGTTATAATAACTTAGACAGACTAGATTAATATTTAAATATACTTTAGAATTTTTATAAATTATTAATTACTTAGATTAGAATAATGATATCTACATTACATGATTTGAAGAAGAACTCAAGATAAAGATCTAAGAGAAACTCATCTAACAAGAACAATTGAACACATTATTAAAGATGATTAAAGCAGTAGTCAAGATTAATAATAAGTTATATAAATATAATATAAAATAATAAGAAGATTGATAAACTAGCAGATCTATATTTTAATAAAATAGCTAATCAGATTATCAAGCTAATAACAGAAGGTTAGTATAATCTAGAAGCTTGGGATACAAAGATTTCTACAGACTAAAACTAATGGAGCTGGATGCAGCACAGCATCAGACTCAACAGAGTAGAATATCTAAGAAGAAACTTGAATAGTATAAATAAGACTGCTTGTATTTTAACTATAGTAAAACAGATTATTAATTAAAGAACTGCAGTTAGAAACAGTCTCAGAAGTAGTTAAGAGCTATAAACCAAGATTAAGACAGAGAAGTCTATGATATTACTACTATTCAGTACAAAGTTTAGATAGAATCTATAATATAGATACTAGATAATAAAAAGTTATATATTATTTAATATGGTTAATTATTAGAGAATAAGATATATTATAATTAGTTAAGATAATAGATTATCACAGATAAGCCAACAGCACCACTAAGTTAATAAGAAGATTAATGATTATCTGTATTATTAGCTTGGACTATGAAAATTAATAATAGTAGTAAGCTAGTTCTGAGAAATAACTATCCCAGTATAGTTTAGAATAAATTTGATTTATTAAATAAAGAGTATAGTACTTAGTTTAAAGGTCTTAGACCCAGTAAGAAGAGACTTAGTAAGATATTTAATATCCTGAAAAAATCTCTATCAGAAATTAGTAAATCCTGTCCAACGTAGTGAGACAAGGATAAAAAGAATTAAAAAAATAATTAAAATAATGTTACTTATTAATTAAACCATATTTTAAAAAAGATCTCAGAAAATCTAACATGATTTTATCTAAAGTTTAAGAAGATTATGCAGCATTACTCATATTAAGATTTAAAATATTAAGAATTATAGAATAAGACTTAAAAATAATATTTATAAAGATACTCTTATTATCTAAAAATTTATCTAATATATAGATAAGATAATACAGACTATTATTACTAATTATTAAAGATTAGCTAGAAGATATATATTACAGAAACAGAACCTTGGTATAATAAATCATATTTATACATTTATTTTAAAGAAAGTAAGAATTATTTAAAACATAATAAACTTTCTTGGCTTGTATACTACATAAATACATGCTTAATATATCATAATTAGAAGTATATTATTAATTACTGATCTAAGATATTAAAAGTAGTTAAAATTAAGATAAGTTACTATCTATATTTAATCTTTAATTGCGCATGTAAAGAATATCAGAGACATTCTTATTATAGATTAATATATTAGCTAGCATGTTTTAATAATTAGTGATTATTAAGTTGAGGCCATATCTAAAGATCCAGGCAGTTATATTAGATTAATTAACTTAAGTATTAGTAGACTCTGGAGCAACTAGAAACTTTATAAACCTATGATTTATATAATAGCTTAAAATATTTAAATAATAAAAAACAGAATCTGAACTGATTATAGAACTAAATAAAAAGAATTTAGAAATTCTTGTGTTAACAGTTAAGTCAGAAACTATATTTATAATTATAAAGAATCACTATAAATATACAAACTTTGATATAATATCTTTAAAATAATATAATATTATATTAAGAATTTTATAACTTAAAAATCATAATCTACAGATTGATTAGAAGACTGAAAGTCTCTAATTTATGAATTATGATTATCTAAGACAATACTAGCAAGGACTAGATTTAGGATCTGGATCTATACAGCCTGCTATTCAGTAAGAAGCTAAAACAAGGATTAAGTAATCTATAAAGAGATTGAGAATACTATAAAAGCTTAACACGCCAGATATTGAAAATAATTTAGAGAAAAATAATATCTTAAGTATAGTTATATAAGTAATAGCAGTAATTAAATTATTATAGTAAGATTGGCTCATGGAATTATCAGAATAGGTACTAATAATAATAAAAGAGTACTAAGAGTATAGTATTGACAGTTTTAATATAGAGATTAAGATGTTAAAACAAGGACTAGAAGATTTATAGAAACTTCTAGTTATAGTTAAGAATAATATATAAATCTTACTATAGTATAAGAGATTTAAGGACTTGTTTAAAC